CCAGCCTGAGTCAAGGCTTTCTGAGGAATCGGATGGTGGAGATTAATTCCTGGGCGGGCAGAACAAATGGACGAAGGCATGACTTAACGGCTATGAAGTGGGGCAGGCAGGACTTATAGTCTGTGCTGCATGGGGGATTGTTGCAGACTTTATCAGTCCTAGAGAAAGGAGGTAATTAGAGAGTCAACTGTGCAAGTGTGCTCCCTTGGAAATCCCTGGGGGCGAGGGGGGTGGTAACAGCCTGTTGGATGTGCATCCCGACATGTCCTCCTAGCACACGATTCTGCAGCTTCACGACGTGGCACACTAAAAAGTCCCTTTAAAAGTTAGAGTTTGTGTGGGCTGTCTCCGATTCCATAGATGGACACAGTCAAGGGTGGCACTATAAGTCACAGTGCTGAATCACTAAGGCTAAATCTGCCACTGACCAGACAGCACCTGTATGGTCTGTGTGAGGAGGCACCCTTCCTTGTACGTCCCCACCAACCATCGTGACCCCACTCGGGAGAAACCCACTACTGAAAAGATTCTGGGGGATTAAGATCAACTCTCAGGCAGAACCCTTTCCCTTATCTCTGCTCTTAGTTTAGCAAAGACAACAACTGCCAGGAGGTCACTGAACTGCTAATGAAGCCAACAGGCTCTAAGCAAACTAAAGGCAGGAAAAGAAAACCTAGTAGAAAAGATGCAGCAAGATAGCAAGGCAGAACTTATTTTCCTCTTCTGATCCAAGTAGCAAGGTTTCCCTTTTTTTTTTTTTTTTGGCTTTTTGGGTCACACCCAGTGATGCTCAGAGGTTACTCCTGGCTCTGTATTCAGGAATATCTCCTGGCGGTACTTGGGGGACCATATGGGACACTGGGGATTGAACCCAGGTAGGCCGCGTGCAAGGCAAACACCCTACCCGCTGTGCTATCGCTCCGGCCCCTGCAAGGTTTCTTGAAATCCTCAGTATTCTTGGTTAGGCTTGCCATGCAGCTGTGGTCATGTCCGAGGCCAGGACAGACTCCTGGGATACCCAAGTGGGAAGCAGAGGCCATTAATGGACACGTCCAATCCAATGACCCTCTGACAACTCACTGTGTAAATTGTGAATTCAGGGTAGTGTCCCCACTTGCAGATTTAAGTGATTAAAGGCTCTGTCACCACAGAAGTGATGTTGGAGAGGCCAATGTAAGAAGGGGTTAAAAACCCTCAGGAGAAGTTAAATGAGACCCAGAGAAAAAGTTTGCTGAGGAACTATCCTGTTTTAGGCTTTTTTCTTTTTCATAGGTTGTTGCTTGTTCTTGGGAAAGCATGGGAAATTCTATTTCAGTTTCCAATGACTCCCCTCTGGGAACTATTTAACACTTATTGAAACATTGGAAAAGTTTCCAATTAGATCAGCGAAGAGGGAAGCATCTTACCGACCTTTGTAATACCCCATGGTGCTTCAAGCCTGCCTGAAGAAGGGGGGCCATGGTGTGGTCCCGGCTGTCACCTCCAGTCAAGCTCAGCCCAGCCGTGTGGGGAAGCTGAGTCACAGAGCCGTCACACAGTTTCTGCAGGAGCTCGAGCTCGGAGATGCCACAACACCTCAGTGCAACACAGAAGGGTCTGCAGCACTGGCACTGCTGAACAGACGGAAACCCCGCTCCTCCTGCTGTCCCCGCCAAAGGGGGCCAGCAAGTGCCCCAGTCCTCTCTGGGCTCACCTTGCAGGCCAGCAATGCTGACTCTTTTGGTGAGGTCTACCTCAGCCTGTGCCCAGCAGGATGGCCCTGGGGCCTGGGCACTGTCCCCAGCACTAGCACCACGTCCATGTGTAGTGCCTGTGCAGGGATGCTGCACACCCAGTGCCACAGTGACAATCCCCTCCTATGCATGGCTAGGAAGAAGACGCAGCTGTGCTGCCCCCAGGAAGCCCCAATACCACCATAGCTGCTCAACTGTGAGGAGCACCTGGAGCCTGCGCACGGCTCCTGGGGACTGGGCCAGAGACAGGGCATGGTGTGCTGTCATGGCTGAACAGGCAGCTGGTGTCAGGGTCCACTGACACTGACTGCAGACAGACACTACGGTGTGTGGAATTACATGACCCCCGAGGGGGGGCTCCAGGCGTGATGGCTGTGGCGTGTGGGACCCAGGGCAGGCTTGCATGGGGACAGTTGTGGTCAGAGCCAGCCTGGGGCAAGCAACCTTCAAGCAGGGAGACAGGAAAAGCTTCTCTTTATTGTGGGGCGGGTGGGCGGAGTCCAGAGCGGAGCCGCAGTGACTGGGAAGCGGTGATGAGGGTCAGGCGTGTAGGAAGCGGTTAAAGGCGTTATAGGCCGACTCCAGGTCGAACAGCATCTGGCGCACCTGGGAGTCATCCAGCTCATCTGATGCTGACATGCCACTCAGGGTCTGCAGCCTGCGGGACACAGGATGGCCCTGGTGAAGTGCCTTGTGGGGGCGGGTGTGTGCATCACGCTGAGGGGGCTAGGGAGAGCGTGTGCTGACGAGGGCAGGGAGGCTCATGCCGTGGGGGGCCGGGGGGTAGGTGCCGTGGAGACCAGGGAGGCGTGTGCTGTGGAGTGTTGGGCTACATGTGAGCTGCGGAGTGGAGGTGTGTGGTGTGCCGGATGCGGAGGGGGTTCTGGGCTGGGGGGGACAGTCACCACTGGCTGACGGTCTGGCGGCCCTCGAAGTCTGGAGGCAGATGGCTCATGCGGTGCATGGTCTCCATCAGCTCCCGCAGGTCAGGCTGGATCTGCAGGCGACACAGCAGCTGGGCCCACGATCTGGCCCCCTGCCCCACCCCCAGACCCCCGGCCTCTCCCCAGCCCCACCTCGTCCATGGCTCGGATCTCCAAGCGCAGTTTGTCCATCACCGTGATGAAGAGCTGAGGGTGAGAGGGTGAGAGTGAGCCTAGGTCATGTGGCCGTGGCCAGGTGTCTCTAAGGTGTCAGCCCAGCCTGCCTTTCCTTCTCCCTGTGGCTGTGGCCTAGCCTGAGTTCTGTGGTGAGCATGGGGAAGTGCAGGCAAGCCCTCCATGCTGTGCCCCTGGGCGCACCGAGACCACGTCAGCAATGCAGCGGTTCAGGTTGCCCTTGTCGTCCTTGATCGTGATGGGCCGGTCCTCCTTGATCCTCTCCATGGCGAGTGGACAGTCCAGCTGGTGGGAGGGAGAGGTGTGGGCACCGGCCTGGCGGGCTGAGGGCTCCCCACAGCCCGACGCAAGCCCCACTCACCCGGAACTTGCGACAGAACTCATCAATGGAGCCGATCTCTGAGCCCTGGACCTGCCGGAAGGCAGCTTTGTACTGGACCAGGAGGCGGGAGCAGGCGGCTGTGTACCTGCGGGGTCGGTCACGCCCTCAGCCCTGCCCAGCTGTGGCCAGCCCGCACACAGGAGAAGGCCACGAGTTCCTGGAGGTCTACACAAGGGGCAATCCTGCAGAGCGGCGAGGGGTGGCTGAGAGGCAGCTACGGTGCACCGGGCGGGAACACTGGGGCTGAGGCCTGACCAGAGTTCCCTTGGGTTGTCCTCCTTGATAGCACAGCGGTAGGGCATGCCTTGCGCGCAGCCAGCCCGGCCGAGCCGGGTTCGATTCCTCCGCCCCTCTCGGAGAGCCCGGCAAGCTACTGAGAGTATCTTGCCCGCACTGCAAAGCCTGGCAAGCTACCCGTGACGTATTCGATATGCTAAACACTGTAACTGGGCCTGCTCGAGCAAATTGATGAACAATGGGAGGGCTGTGTCCGTGACCGTCCTCCTTGAACCTGGGGGCCTTCTGAAGCCCCTCCAGCACGGACATTCCCCTCCCGGCCCTGGGGAGTCAGCAAGAGGCTCACTCGTTGGGGGTGACGCAGTCCTTGATGTAGGCCTTCTCCAGGGCCTGCATGGTCTTCACCACCGCAAACAGTTCTGCCATGTTGTCGTACCTGCGGGGAGGTGCCATCAGGATGCCAGCGTGGCCCCCACACGAGCCCTCCCACAGGGCAAGCACCGGGGTGGGGGGCTGGGGTCTCACTTCTCCCGCTCCCGGGCATTCTTGTACAGCTTCACCTCCTGTGGGGACAACAGCGGAGCATCACGCGGGGGGCCTGCCTGGGTCCCACGCGCGCAGCAGGCCGGGGGCCACTCACCTCGTACAGCTCGGGCTTGTTCCCAGGGCCTGCAGAGAGGAGAGAGAGCTGGGCACGGAGACCAGCCTCGGCCGCGCCCTGGGCATCCTGAGGGTCGGCCCGGAGTGCCTGGAGGCTGTGACCACTTGTGGGGGCCCTCGTCGCGACGCCCCTAGGGCCGGGGCTGTGCCCACCCTCGGGGACGAGCCCCCGTGCCCAAGCCACTCACCTCCCCCGGCCTGCGTGGCTGGGATCCCATGGAACATGCTGAGCGCTCTGGGGGTGCTGCAGAGACCTGGGGGGCAGAGCCGGCCACTCAAGGGGACCGCCCGGGAGGGGGCCCAGATGCAGGAGGGGAAGCGGGGATGAACTCGGGACCAAGGGGCTCCCGGGGGGCGTGCCCGAGGCTCCGCTGCCCTCCCGGGGCGGGACTCGCGGGACACCGGCGTCCAGAGGTCCCAGCGGAGCTGCAGGGCCAGATCCAGCCCCACCCCCGGGGAGCCGGTGCGCGGAAGGCCCGCGAGCGACACACCCGGGGGTCCCTGACGGCTCCCCAGTACCTGGCAGGCGCGCACAACCGCGGCGATCCAGGAACGTAGGCCGCAGGGTGGCCCGCGCGTGCGCGGCCCGCCCCCCAGTGAAGCAAACCACGCCCCCGAGAGAAGACAAGCCATACGCAAGATCCCGTCCCCGCGAGACCACAAACCACGCCCCGAAAGGGAACCAGCCCTGCGCGCGCGCAGCCCCGCCCCCAGCGAAGCAAACCACACCCCCTAGAGGAGGACCAGCCCCGCGGGCCCCTCCCCCGTAAGACCACAAACCACGCCCGAGAGGGGACCAGCCCCGCGCGTGCGCGGCCCGCCCCCCAGTGAGAGGACCAGCCGGGAGTGGGAGCAGTGGCGTTTATTGGGGTTCAGAGGCGCTGGAAGAAGAGCTTGTGGGCGCGGTCCAGTGCGCACGCGCCTGCGCCTGGCGGCAGCAGCTGTCGTAGTCTGTCGCGGTCCTCGGTAGACAGGTGGCGGCTGCACAGCTGCAACTCCTGCAGCTGCGCGGTCATCTGGGCCCACAGGCTCGGGCCCAGGGGACCCCGGACGGAGCAGCCTGCAGTGGGGGCAGGACCCCAGACCATCAGGGCGCCCCAGACAGGAGCATTATGTCCACTGCCAGGGACCGGGCTGCTTCCCCACCTAGGGCTTCACCGTGGCTATGGAGGACTGAACCTGGGGATGTCCTCCCACCCCACCCCCTCGCCCCGCAACAGGCCATGGGGCGCTGCAGCCTCTCCCCTCACCGGACAGGCTCAAGAAGCGGAGCCCGCGGGGCCGCTCTTGCAGAACGGATAGGAGCTGCTCCAGGCCAGTGCGGCTGATCCTGGGGTTGGCAGACAAGTCCAGGGAGACGAGAGAGAGGCACTTGGGGAGGCATCTGTGACGGGGAGTCACAGACCGGGTGGGTCAGCTCCAGGGACGTGGCCCCCAACAGACTACTCCGGGGGCTGCAGGCTGCCACAGCCCTTGTTCCTGTGGGCCTGAGGCAGGACCAGTGGGAAAGGCCCTAAGAGTCTCAGGGACATGAGGGACACAAGGAGCACTTGACGGGGACTGGCTAAGCTCCTACAAGAAGTAGCACAAGGGGGCAGGTGGGGGCATCGGCATCACCTGCTCAGGGCTCCCACAGCCTCATCGTCCAGGTGGTTTGCAGACAGGCTCAGGTGTGCCAGGGCACAGCCTTCCTGGACACAAGCAGAGGCCCGGGGGCCAGATCCAGTGGGTGCTTGTCCCTTGCTGCCCAGAGGGGACAGTCTCCCACCTCGGAACAGGACCCATGCAGCTTCCAATGCCCACTCAGAGGGGACAGCATCCCCCCTAGGAGGCAGATTGGAAGTATCCTTCAGCACATCTGGAGGAAATCTGCCCAAACCCACCACCCTTGCCCTGGGTGCAGGGGGCATGCACACCTTTGTCAGGTACACAGCCACTGGCTCCATAAGGTCCGAGTTGTGAGGCCTGCCCAGCACACTGCCGAGGTCCAGGTGCAGAAGGCTGCTGGTGCGCAGGCTCTGCAGCAACTGGGCCATTGCTGTAGGGCCCAGGGCATTGTAGGACAGCGACAGTGTCTTCAAGCACTGGGCATCTGCAGCAGAGGCCAGACTGTTCCTCAGCCCACAGGCCACTCCCGCCCCACTGCCGTCCTGGGTCAAACCCCAGTGACGCTAAATGTCCACACTTAGAAAACTGAGGCCACTACCTGGGTCCTCTGGCTGGGAGGGGCAGGTCAGATTCCCACTCTGGGTCCCTGCTGCCCCTCTACCAGGACCATGGCCTTGGGGGCTCCAGGCCACCATGTCCTGGTACTGACCCATTGTGGCTTCATGCTCATGGCCCCCAGACCCCAGCAAAGGTCCTGGACATACTGGCCGCACACCTTGGAAGGCGCTTCCCAAGGCTGCCTGATGGCGCAGGAAGAGGTGGGGGCCCAAACCGCAGGCCTGGAGCCGCAGAGTGCTGAGCGCAGGGCAGGCCCGGAGGACAGAGGCCAGGGCAGGGCCACAGGCATCTCCTAGGGGGTTCATGCTCAGGTCCAGTTCCTCGAGACTCTGTGGGAGATGCAGATTAGCACCGGGCACCTGCCTGGGACCCCGAGCCCTGTGGCTGGGCTGCTGCCCCATCCTACCTGTGAGGACACCATGCCCCCAAGGCCATCGGCGAGCTGACGTAGGCCCTCAGGGCCCAGGTGGTTGGATGACAGGTCGAGAAGGATCAGGCTGGGCACAGTGCCCAGGGTGGCCAGCAACTCGGGAGTGCAGGTGTCCCCGAGTCGGTTCCCTGCCAGGCGCAGCTCCCGGAGTGTGGCATGCAGTTTGAGTGCCCGCAGGAGGGGGGTGAGCTGGGCCTGGCGCAGGGCCAGGCTGCAGGCGCTGAAGGTGGGGGCCAAGCCCTGGCGCTCTGTGGCCTGAAGCACCTGCTGGTGCTCTCCTGCGGGGAGGGCTGTGTCACCAGCTGGTCTGCCCTGTGAATGCCAGCCCCCCATCACCCAGATGCCAGGGCTCCATTAGGAAATGCTAGAGATCCACCCCTAGCCTATAGCCCAGGCCCAGCTCCAAACGTCCTCTCTGCTCACACGTGACCCGGGAACAGCTGGAGTAGATGTGTGGGGTTAGTGATAACCAAGTACAGGTGTGTGAAGAGCTAGCTCACTGAGGATAGGTGTGTGTAGACCACCAAGGACAAGTATGAAGAGCTCATTAAGGACAGGCGTATGAAGAGACCACCGAGGGCAGATGGGTGTGGAGACCAAGGACAGGTGAGAAGAGATCACTGAGAACAGGTGTGAAGAGACCACCAGGGCAGTTGTGTGTGTAGGATGACACTGCTTTGTCCTTTCTCCCTTGCCACAAGGAGCTTAGGTTTATTGGGTCACTCCCATTCTTTTGTAAGGTCAGAGCTTTCTAGGACACTGAACTTGTAAATTAATATTGCCTTTCTCCTCTCCTTATGTCTTTTGAATAGTTTACTTTAAAGCAATGTTCTTTTGTATAGACACAAGAAGACAATTAATATTATGCTTTTGTAACTTGGGATTTAATTGGCTTCGAATATTATTCATTCCCGGGCATCTGCTTTCTCAACTTAAGCCTCAGTTGCCCTCTGTTGCTAGCACCCCAAAAGTAGGGTCCCGACGAGGGACTGAATGGAACCAGGGCAAGCAGTATGCTATGTGCTACCCTGGGATTGAGATGGGCCTGGCCCAAGTGCCATAATGCTTAACTGTAAGTTAAGAGCTTGGTCATGGACAAATGCTGTCATGATCAAAAAAGTAAAAACTAGATTCGGACCCTGCTAGGGCTAGGAATAATTAATCTGGCCTGAGTGCTGTAGTCTGAGTCTGTAGCAAAATATTCCCAGGAGAGCTGCCCTACAAGCCTCAATGGTATCTCTTACTTTGTCCATACAAAAATAACTAGTATTAAGATGATGATACTTATTGAACTGAGGAAAGGAGTAAAACACCTTAAGAGGTATTTTGCCCTTGGGAAGTCAAGAAGGGCTTTCTTTTGTTGATTTGGCTACATGACTGAGTGCAGTGTCAGCCCAGAGTGCTGGGGAGTCTGAGAAGAGAGTTGGAGAGAGTGGAAGGAGCAGGGTAGCAAGATGGAGTGCGTAGAGGCTAGCAAGGGGGACAGAGAGAGAAGGATGTAGAAAAATACAGGAGCAGGCATGTGGAGAGAGAGCCCAGGCTGCAAGATGGAGTGGAGAGATGAGCAAAGACAGGAGATGGGAATGAGGGGAGTGTGAGACTAGAATGGGGGGGCTCAGAGAGACTGGGGCAGGCACGTGGGGAGAATGGAATAAATGGCATCTGATCAATCAACTGCTTAGCCCTCATTTCCTCTGCCGTCTGCCCCATGTCCCGGGCTGTCCCAGCTGGGGGAGCAGCCCAGGCCCACCCTGACGGCTAGGGGAAGAGCCGTCGGGGCCTCCCCCGGGTGCCCCCTGGAGATACTATACAATGTGAAGAGGACAGGCATGTGAGGGTGTGTGAGTGTGTGTGTGTGTGTGTGTGTGTGTGTGTGTGTGTGTACGAAGAGGCTCACCTACCTTGCTCCAGGCTCTGGCAGGCCCGGCAGGCATGTGAGGGTGTGTGTGTGTGTGTGTGTGTGTGTGTGTGTGTGTGTGTGTATGAAGAGGTGTGGTGTGTGTGTGTGTGTACGTATGAAGAGGCTCACCTACCTTGCTCCAGGCTCTGGCAGGCCCGGCGGTAGCGTTCACTCAGGGGAGGCAGGTCCCAGGAAGTCACCTCAGCCAACACCTGGAAGGGGTTGTTGTAAGCGACAGCTGGGTCCAGGGTGCAAGCTGGGCTCAGTCAGGGTCGCTCACCTCCTCGTTGCTTTGCAGCACATCAGGTATGGGGTCCTGCGGGGCCAGCAGGGCACCCTCCTTCCTCAAGGTGAGCCGCGGCAGCAGCCCACACGCCTGGTGGTAGCGCTGGGCAGCCTGCCTGGCCAGCCAATCCACAGAACGGGCGTTGGGACTGCGGGAGGGAGTGGCCAAGTGGGGCTGGCCCCAGCAGCACTGACCCACTGCTCCAGAAACCCCGCCGGCATCCCATTTGTCCCTTCTCTGGTGCCCCTCCAAGCTGCTCTGGCTACAAGTCCCCGGGGCAGAGCCTCACCCCGGCAGGTCCTTGCCGAACCTCGTCACCAGCTGCAAATGCGAGGTGGCATGGAGCTGCTGGGTGTGGGGGCACGTGGCTGACCGGGTGGGGACCTTACCTGTGTGGGACGGGGATAAGGAAAAGGTTGTCCTGAAAGCGAACCCGAACCCGGATGGGAGGGGGCAGGCTGGGACCCTGCGGGCAGGGAGGGGGGCAGTCAGGAAGACCAGCCCCGGCCCCAGTCGCCCCACCCCTCCTGCACCTACCGAGGGCTGTAAGGCCGGGATGGTGGGAGACCCCGAGGCTGAACTACCATCTCCACGCGGGGCGTCCGGGACACCTCTGTCCTGTCTTGCCCGGGCCCGGGGCCTGACGGGGCTGTCATCGCTGCTGGCCCCAGGGCTGCTGGGCGCGTCCTCCTCCAGCCAGTCCCCTGCTAGGCACTCCTCCTCAGGGATCAGCGCAGCCAGGGCCGCGCCCTCACGGGGGCTCCGCAGAGACCGCTGGCAGCTCGGGGCCCTGCCCACTCCGCCACCAGCTGTCCACGCGGCTGTGCGGCTGGGCGCGCGGGCAGCGACCGCTGGGGCCTTGTTCCGCTGTCGCTTCCGGGCTGGCCGAAGGGGCCTTGTGCTGTCCTCCCCCTCTGAGCTGCTGCCCCCCTCCAGCTGCTGCCAGCTCCTTCGAGGCCTGGGGGCGCCCTGAGGGGCGTGGGGGGGTCCTGGGCAGGGGCTCCGGGGAGGAGAGGTCTCAGGGTCAAACAGACAGCTGTCAGGCAGAGTCTGGGGAGCCGGGGGACTGTGGGGAGCTGAGGAGAGGAGACAGAGGCGTGAGGCAGGAGGCTCCACCGAGTGGGGCGGGGCTTGCCAAAGCCACTTGCCTGCATCAGCAGAGGCCCCGCGCAGCAGCTGCTCCATGGCGCCAACCTTCTCGCGGGTGTCACGGTCCAGCTCCCGGTGATAGAGCTGCACCCACTGCTGCAGTGTCTCCAGCGGGCGGTGGCCCTGCGTGTGTGTGGGCGCTGAGCAGGGCAGGCCCCCACTGCCCGCCCTCCAACCACCTCCGTCGGGCTGCTCACCTTCGTGGTTCGTGCAGAGAGCGACGCCCCCCGCCCGATGAGCAGCTCAGCCACTTCGAAGTGACCGCAGGTGAGTGCATCGTGCAGGGGGGTGATGCCCTCACAGCCCGGGCCCCCGGGGTCGTCCACCAAGGCTCCATGGTCCAGCAAGAAGCGCACAATATCTGCGGCCAACACCCAGGACATGCATTGGACCCACCACCTGGTGCCAACCAAATCAGGAGCCGCTGCCCAGTCTCCCCGTTCAGCCCGATACCCAGCCAGGTGTCTGTGGGACCCACGGACCTATCTAGGTACACGTGGGACCCTCTATCCACAGTTCCCACCCTGCCCGACACCTACCCAGGTGTCCATAGTTGCAGGCCTCATGCAACGGTGTCCAGCCACAGTAGTCCCGAGGGTTTAGGGGGTGACCCTGTGACCGAAGATCAGCCTCAGTTTCAGATAAGAACCAAGCCCTCTGCCAGCTGTGGCCTCCCCAAGAGGCAGGCAAGGCTTCCACGTGGGCACTGCAGGCCTGCCCCAGCCCCGGACACACAGGGCACCCACCTGCCTCACGAGGTCCTGGACGCGGCCCAGGCGGCCCTCAATGCAGGCCCGGTGAAGCAGTGTCTCCCCCACGTCATTGCGCCTGTTCCACTGTGGACACAGCCCCGGGATAGGCAGAGTGAGGGGCAGGTCGCGTGCAGATGCGTGGGCACACGCTCAGCCTGTCCCCTTACCTTGTTTCCCCTTTGTCGGGGGGCCCGAAGCTCCTCCTCCTCATCGTCCTGCTGCCGCCGCCTGGGTGGAGACATGCCCTCGTCCTCTTCCTCTGGAAAAGAGTGCAGCAGCCTGAGGCCCAGTCCTCACCCGGGGGCTGCGGCCCTGACCTTTCTGTCCATGGGACCCCATCCCTGAAGCCCCTGCGTCCCACCCCGGCTCTCCGGGGCTGCCTAAGAACTGCCGGTCCCCAGGGCCCATGCTTGCTCCTTTGACCCCTCCCTCCTCTTCCTCTGACCTTTTCTAGAAACTTCACAGGCTCATCTTCCTGAGATCAACTGTCCAGTGTCCAGCTGGCAGCCCTCCAGGACACACCCTGGATGTCCTAAAGGCAGCTGGCCATTCCCCAACAGGTTCCCGGTCCCTGAGAATCCAGACCCACAACCCAAAAGTCCGCCCTGGACGCCGCCGTCACCTCATGGAACCAGTGGCCTCACCACTTCTACCCAGCCTGCCCCTCATTGGTCAACTCAGTTCCTGTCGGCTGGGCCTCCCATTGGTGCCGAGGAGCTCAGGGTCTTCCATCCAGGGACACGGAGTCCTCACCACTCTCTGAGAGCTCCAGCTCACTGGCCTCCGGGCTGCTGCTGTCCGCATCCAGGTCTGCATCCTGCTCCTCCTCCTCCCCCTCAGTCTCTTCACTCAGTCCCTGCAGCTTGGCTTCGGTGTGGGGAGCTTCCTGAGGGCGCAGCCGCAGCTGCACGGCATGGAGGTGCTGCAGAATCTGCCTCTGAGGGCAGGGAGACGTCCAGCTCAGGATGGGACAGGGGTGGGGGCACACGGACGCTGGAGGGGTCCGGGCCAGGGCGGCAGGAAGCACACCTGGAGCCGGGGTTGCTGGGTCTGCCGAGCACAGTTCAGCGCCTCCTGGAAGCATGGCACCAGCAGTTCGTAGGCGTCACCCGCCTCGTCCCGGGACAGAGCGATGTTCAGCCACGTCTGGGCCTCCTGGATGGGAGAGGGACTCAGGCTGCGGCCACAGCCCCCAGGAGCGTCAGGGAAGGTGGCCTGGACAAAAGCACTGTGCAGGGGGCTAGCGCAACAGGACAGCAGGGAGGGCGTCTGCCTTGTACACGGCCCACCCAGGTGCGATCTGGGAACCTCGTCTTGGTCCCCGAGGCCCACCAGAAGTGATTTCTGAGTGTAGAGCTAGCAAGAAACTCTGAGCGTCACTGAGTATGGCCTCCCCCCCAGAAACAGAAAAACACGACAGCCTTCACCTCCGTGAAGTGTGCGTTCCCTCACCTCCAGGGTGTTGCCGGCTCGAAGCCGCAGCTCCTCCTGGTAGTGGTGCACGGCCCCGCTGTGGTCCTTCATGTCCCCCAGGGTGGTGGCCAGGGACACGTGGATGACAGCCAGCTCGGGCCCAGGCCTGTTCAGCTGTTCCGCCAAATGCAGCTGGGGAGGCAGTGACAGTGAGGCTCGTCTCGCGGCCCGGACCCTCTTCTGCACTGAGCCCAGTGTGGTACCTGCCGCCGGTAGGCGTCTGCTGCCTTGGGGAAGTCGCCCGCCTTTGAGAATAGGTCCCCCAGCTGCTCGCAGATGCCCATGGCACTCTGAGGATCACTCCCCTCTGGTTCCTCCTGCTGCTGCTGCAGACGGACCACTGCCAGCACTGCCAGAGAGAAGCTTGTGCAGGAGGGGTTGACCTGGTGTTCTCCTGCACCCCGTGGGGGAGTGAGGCCAAAGGGTGTGCCAACTAACGTGAGGGTTGAAACGGAATCACGCAGAACCCTGCTTGCCACAGCCCGGTATTGCCAGCGCAAACCAGGTACTGCCTCAGCTTCCTGAAGGAGAGGACCCTAGCACACCTGGGCACCTCCCTGAGCTCTGGCAGGAAAGAACCTCGACACATACTGGGTACTCCCCTGATCTCTGGTGGGAAAGAAGCCTGGCACACACTGGGTACTCCCCTGAGCCCTGGCGACCACCCCAAACCAAGCCTTGAGGCTCAGGAAGAAAAGAGCTTCTTCTCTACAGGCTACCTTGGCTAAAGCATGGTGCTTGGGGCTCCCCTCCATTCCCCCTGGCGCTCACCATGCTTGAGGGCCTGGCGGACAGCTGCCTTCTGAGAAGGCTTCTGGGAGCCCAGTCTGTAGGCCTTCTTCAGGGCTCTCTTCGCAGCCAAGAAGTCCCCCAAGTCCTGCAACACCTGGAGGAAGGAGGGACAGCTGTGGCCGCTGCACCGGCCCCCCCCCCAGCCAGCCCCTAGCCAGCCCCCGCCGAGTGGCACCTGGGAGAGAAGCAGGCAGCAGTCACTCTCCATGCAGCCCTTCCTCAGCACCCGGGCGCACTCCCGGGCACCCTCCAGGCAGCGCATGGCCTGCGAGTGCTGTCCCCTGCGCCAATGCATGGCACCCAGGTTGTAGCGGGCCCGGAACAGGTCCTCATAGAGGTGGTTTTGCCTGGGGAGGGAGACAGAGGGTGGGATCCATTCAGGACTCCAGCCTCCTGCAGAGCAAGTCTGTACTGCCCCCCCTGACGGGGCAGGTGAGGCCCCCGACGCACACAGAGCAGGCCTTACTCTGCGAGGAAGATGCTCTTCTTGAAGAACTCACTGCAAAGGGCCTCCTGCTGCTGGCTCTCGAAGGTGAGCCCCAAGTTGAGGTACAGCCGGGTTCTCATCTCACTAAGCTCCCGCTGTGCCAATGTCCCTGGAAGGTGTCAGGCAGACACTCGTGTCTCATACCCACACTGGCCCTCCTGCTGTGGCCTTGCCTAGCTGCCCACTTCCTGCAACCCCCGGGCCTCTTGCAGGAGGGGCTTCTCATGCATCCTGTATTCATGAAGGGGGGTCGCAGGCGTGGGTGGGAATGGTGGAGAGGGCCAGCCCAGGGGCACTCACCCTCCAGCTTCTCATCCACGATGGCCAGGCTCTTCTCAAACGCGGCCTGTGCCTGCAGCAAGGCCTCCTGGGACTGGCAGTGGTCATAGACGTCCAGGTGGGTGCGGCCAATGGTGGCCCAGGCCCTCTGCAGCTCGATGTGGTTGGACAGGGACTCAGCCAGCTCCAGGTAGCAGTGCTGGTGCTGGGGGGCAGAGGATGGGCCAGTGCGACCTCCCTGGCAAACTCACTGGTCCTGGGTCACCACCAGGAGAGTGAGTGGCGCCAGCCCGCCGCCTCCCTGGGGAGCGGATCCTCTGCTACATCCAGCATTGCCAGCTTCACGACAGTCAGCCACCCGCCACTCTGACAAGTGCCCAGGCCCGGCGAGACGCTGCCCACCTGCAAAGCAGCAGCGTAGTCCTCCAGCTCGGCCAGCCGCTCCCCGACCTTGCGGTGGGCCAAGGCGCAGCCCAGAGGGTCGCCCGCGCTCTCCAGCAGCAGGAGTTCCTGCTGGTGTTCCCGCAGCGCCTCCGTGTAGCGGCCTAGGGGGCGCAGCAGACTTCAGCCCGGTGGCCCCGGCCCCGGCCCCCCGCCCGGCCCCCAGCACGCACCATGGCCAGCCAGCAGCTCCCCCAGCTGGTGGCAGAGGGCGGCTTCCTCCTGCGGCTGTCCGCTCCTTCTGGCCTTGGCCTTGGCCTTGCTCAGCTCTGTGGATACAAGCAGGAGGCCGGGAGGATAAGCGCCTCGCGGTGAGCCTCGGCCCCCCCGCCCCCGGGCCCACCCGGGCCCGGCGCGCTCACCGCGGAGCTCGCGCTCCAGACTCATGCTCCGCCAGCCCAGCCCGCGGGCCCGGATTTCCCGCGCTCGGCCGCCGCCCCGCTCCGCGGGGCATCCCGGGAAGTGTAGTCCGCGCCCCGCGGCACCCTGGGAGTTGTAGTCCGGGGAGTGTCGTGCGCAGCCAGCCTGGCGGGCGGGGCGCGCCGGGAGAGTCGGGTGCAGGCGGCACGGGGCTTCGGGACGCAGCGGGGGCGGGCCGGGGTCGGGACAGAACCAGAGCTGGCGGGAGGGCGGGTGGGGAGGACCTTGAGAAGGGTGGGGAGCCGTGAGAGCAGGAGGGGAAAAGCGGGTGATGGTGGGCGGGAAAGGACGGAAGGGCGGGGACAGGCGGCAGGAGCGGGGTCAGGAGGGAGGGGCGGGGACAGGTGGGAGGGGCGGGGACAGGCGGGAGGGCGGGGACAGGCGCGAGGGCGGGAATGGGCGGGAGTAGGAGGGGAGAGGGGCGTTGGGGGGGCGGGGACAGAGACAGGTGCGCCCCGCGGGGCGGGGTCAGCGAGAGGCGGGGACAGCGGGAAGGAGCCACCTTGTCCACACCTGTCTGGAGCCTGGCGAGCAGACCACAAGAGCACCTGCCATCACCTTGCAGTGAGATTACGCAGAAGAAAGGACGCGTTCCCGGGAGACCCGCCTGATCGGAGCCACTCCGGTGCCCAGTGAGGGCGGACTGGTGAAATGCGCCCTTCGTCTGTCTGCGGGAGTGCGTGTCCCCCACCCCACACCCCCAATGAACACATCAGGTTTTGCCTCGGAGTGTGTGCGTCCACTTGGGTTCCGTTGGTCCAAAACGCAAACTGGCCCCTCTCTGAATTTGCACTTGGGCCTCCAACGCTAACTGCCTATCATGTCCTGCATTGCCTTGGAGACCAAATACCTGGCATGCCTCTGGGTGTTCCAGGGCCTGAGGCCCAAGGGGCAGGAAGTGGGAGGGACACCTGGAAACAGACGCACTGGATCACACTCTCCACTCCCACTTGATGCACAGCCACGTCTGTGGAGGCGGAGGGGGCACAAAGGTGCACTGGCCAGGCAGGCAGCAGGCCTGAGCTTCAGGGGTCCTCCCTTTCTCCTCTGCAAGTGGGCAGGTCTGGGCTCAGCAGGCTCCAGTGGGGTGCAGAGGCCAGTCACCCTCAGGGAACTGACTGCCCAGAGAGACCTCATGCTCAGGCAGGATGTCTCTGACGTGTACAGCTTAGGGGCTGAAGGTGCAGGATGCATACCCAGAAATGTCTGAGAGTGTCCTCTCCGAGGGAAGAGACAAGGCTTTTTGACATCAGTTACAAACATCCAGAGAGAATGCAGACTACAAAAGCACCTGCCAATCACCCAGAAGCAGTGAACCTCACTCTACTCTTGAAAAAGGTACTTTTATTGTTTGATCAGTGTCTCACTGCAGGGGTATAAAGCTCACAGGGTAGGGGGGTGAGAGGGAGGGAGGGACTACTTGGCTTGTCCCCAAGCCTGCCCACCCCTAGGATCCTCAGAGATGACCCATAAACGACTGGATCAGGATGCCTGCCCCGATGATGTCCTAGAGACAAGTCATTGGTTTTTTGCCTAGCAGTTGTGGGTGGCACGAAGGCAAAGACCTTCCTGGGGGCTGGAAAGCAAAAACCCATGGTGACATGCTGCCAGAAACTCATGACAGTGTCCTGAGGGCCTGGCTCAGAATGTGCAGTGATGGCAATGGGTTGGGGTGCAGAGTCGCACTCCCAGACGGACAGAAGGGTGGAGAGATGAACACACATACCTACACCCTGCAGGGAAGCCTAGTTCCTCCTGTCCCCCCAGGGTGGGACAGAGTGAGGTGCCTCTGCCAGCCCTGGCTTTGCCCTCCTCACAACCTCCACCACCTTCCTGGGCAGCCAGCTGAAGTCCTGTCCTCACCTGCTCCCACCCCAGCGCCCCTCAACTGAAGAGTGTTGGTCCCAAGACGCCAATGTGAGAGTCATCACCCTCATGCACACAGAGGCTATTCTCTGGGGCACTGCTGCCTCCAAAGCTGTGGGTGGGTCTTTGGAGAAGGTAGAGTAACTTCTTTCCACCCACCGCCACTGCAGGGTTGGCCCAGTGGCCAGGGGGGAGCAGAGAGCAGTGGCTTCTCCAACCAGCTCGGCAGTCTGGCCATGGAGGAGAGCAAGACCACGACCTGAGCACCCGGCTCCCTGGGGCTTCCCACTTCTACCTGGAACCTGGGACAGGCCTGGCCTCCGCCACCCAGGCCACTCTGCCCCTTCGGCCAGGACAAAGGGAGGTAGGGGCGCAGGCAACAGGCTCTGGAGGCATGGGGTGGGCCGTGCCAGACAAAAAAAATCATTCTTTGGTATTGAAGTCACAAAATGCTGCCACTGCAGAAGAGCTGCTCTGGGGTGGGGGTGGGGGCGTGACACCGAAGCCCTCCAGCAGCAGTCAGGGTCGGCCAAGGACAGGGCCACGGGCTCCTCCCTAGCCTGGCCCACCTCCCTGGAACAGCAGCAGCCACCTGTGTGCCAGGAACCCTGCTGGGGCAGTGAAGGGGCAGCCGGCTCACAACATCCCACCCCCAAGTCCACCACCCACGGCCACCTTCTCAGCGGGTATGCTGTAGTCCTGGGCCAAGAACAGAAAATAGATTCTTTTGCTAAATGTGCGTAATTCATAGAAGATCCTGTAGGAGTTTAATTTTTTCCTGGAAGAGACAGAATTTCACCCTGCGTTCCGAAAGCATCTGCTGAGCCCTGATGGTCAGGTACTGCCTCCCCAGGAGAGGCCGGGGGGGGGGGGGAGGGGTCCGGGGCCTCTGGGAGAGCGACTTGGGACCCAGGGGACAGCAACCGAGTGTGGGGACAGGGGTGGGTGGGCAGGCTCTGACGCCAGGTCAAACCGAACTTCCAGCTGTCGTTAACAGCCACGCCGTCCAACAAAACAGAAAGTGGGAAACAAGGGTGCCTTTTTTAATTGCCATCAAATGTGCAGTCCCAAGTCAGCGAGGCCCCGAGTCCGGCCCAGAGCAGGCAGCGCACCAGGGCGCGTGGTGGGGCTGGGTCACTGCTGGCAACCCGCCCAGTCCCTGAGCCTGTCTCCTGCGTGGGCGGCCCAGCCTCAGGCACTGGGACAGGGCAGGTGGGCGCAGGGAGGTGGCGGGCGCTCACACCTTCACACACGCATGCAGACAGACTTCCCAAGGTTTGGTCACGTTCGCTCCCCCCGCCAGGACGGGTGACAGCTCTGTGAAGCTGCGGGCAGGTGTGGCCAGCGGTGGGCCGCCTACTTCTGCATCTGGAACAGGAAGAACCGCAGGTTGATGTTCTTGGCGGCCAGCAGCTTGTTGCACTCCACAGAGTCGACGATGGGCAGCGGCACGTAGTCCGTCTCGTTGCTCTCGTTGGTGAAGACGAAGTGGTAGATGACGGGGCTGATCTTCACGTCGTCGTAGGGGCCCTTGAGCAGCAGGAAGGAGCACTCCAGGGGCGCCGTGACCTTGCTCTTGAGCAACAGCTGGAAGGAGAGCGTGCGCTTGCACGACAAGCTGGGGTTGCGCTCTGAGTCGTTGACGCGTGCCTTGAGCACCCACGTCTGGCTGAGCACCGTGAAGCGGGGCGTCTCGTAGTACAGGCGTGTGATGAAGTCGTCCGTTCGGTAGGGCCGGAACTGGACCTCTGCGGGAGACAGGGGCGGGTGCCGTGAGAGCGGGCAGGGCTGTGAGGCGCCTTCCCACGGCTGAGGACTCGGGCTCAGCCAGGGAGGAAGGCACTTACCAGCACAGCGCGTTCTACTCGTCACAAGGCAAACCAAACGCAACTATGGCAAACGGAGGCCACAAGCTGGGGAACTATAACAGAATGACACGCATTAGCTGCACGGAGGCGGGAGGCTGCCAGAGTCGGACCGTGTCCCAGGCCAGCTCAGCCCCGACCCCGTGGGCCTCCCTGCTGGCCCTCCCCAGGCCGGCCCAGCCGAAGGGAGGCCCGGCCCCGGGCGTGGGGAAGCAGACACACAGACAGGATGCGGTTCTGAGAATCAGTGACTTTATTGGTTCCGATACATATGCCAGAAAAGCTGGCGGGAGGGCTGCACGGGCATCAGCCGTGGGGCCCAGCGCAGGGCTGGTGTCTGGGCGAGCAAGTGCACGCTCATGCCGGTCAGTCGGTGGCGGCTCAGCCGTCACATAGTTCTCTCAGTGCAGCCGGGAGCCGACCAGTCCTTCTGCATGGAGGGGGCTCCCCCACCCCCAGTCACTGCCGCGCACGTGAATCTTGGGCCCACCGGGACCCCTGAGTCCTGGCCTGGCCTGCCTGGGGCACGGCGCCCAGCTGCCCAGGATGGTGAGGCTGTGACTAATGGGGGTTGCAGCCTTCTGCTACTTGGGCCCACACATGTGGCCTCTCAGGCTGCAGAGGCCCACACTGAGCCCAACCCAGTCCAGGTGTGACTAGCTGATTGGCCGCCCGCACAGCTCAGTGGCCGCCCGCAGTGGGCTGGGCAGTGGCGGCTGCATCTCCCAGGTGGCCCCAGCGTCAGCTTCATTCTTGGGTCTGAGCCAGGCTCTGGCCTGGATCCTGCTCCCCAACGTGTCCAGAGGTGGTGGCCACGGCCCGAAGAGCCCACGAGATCCAGTGAGCCTGGGTGGGTGCAGTCTGGCCTGCCCTTCCCTGGGCATCCACTCCCAGTTCTGCTGTGAGCGGGCCCCCCTCAGCTGCTCCTTCTGTGGCCACTGCAGTGACCGCCCCCCAGCCCGGCAGCAGTGTTTGTGCGGCCCCCGCACCCACACACACCTCCTGGTTCGAGCCCCTGTGGCCTGGAGGCTGTGCAGCCCCGCCCCAGGGGGACCCGACCCCGAGGGACAGGTGCCTCTGAGAGCCATGCGGATGCCCCAGGTGTGGCCCTGCCTCCTCTCCCCGAGGCATCCTCCCACTGGCCAGAACCTGTCCAGTGCCTGCGGCCCCAGTTCCCCTCCGCACACACCCCATGCAGCAAGGGGCGGCAGGCGCCTCACCTGTGTAGCCAATCTTCTCGAAGCTGAGCAGGCTGAAGATGCCATTGTACAGCTGCATCTCTCGGCGGTGGCTCTGGTCCATCTCATCCAGGATCTCCATCAGCTCGTTGCCCGTCTTGGTGGGGTGGGCACAAGCGGCCTCATGCACTGTCAGTTCATGGAAGGGGCCGTGCCACGGGCAGCCAATGCGCTTGTACTTGCACTGGGTCACCCTAGGGAAGGCGAGCGCTGGTCACAGCTTGGCCCGACTCCCCCACGCCCTCCCGGTGGGAGGCAAGAGCACGCACCTCCGCCACAGGCCTGGTGGGCACCGGCCACCCCCGCACTACCTGTCCTGGCATTCCTCCTTCTGGTGCCTCTCCAGGAGGGAGCGGGGGAACTGGCGCAGACAGAAGCCGCACTCGCACGGCAGCTCACTCACGGCCTTCTCCACGGCCAGGTTGCGGCAGCAGAGGCTCTTACTGATCTCGCAGCGGCAGTTGGGGCACGTGGCCTGCTCCTCCTTCAGCCGGGCATCTGCTAGTAGGTGGATAAAACAGCCAGCGCACATCAAGTGACCGTTAGTGCACTGCGGAGAAGGAAAGGAAGGTGAGCCGCAGACCTGTATGTCCGCTCGCGCCTGCTGGCCTCAAGGCGCCACTGCGGACAGTGCCCAGCACAGGGCCACCCACGCCACAAGGGGACGCGCCAGGGTGGCCCTCGGGCTCCTCAGGGAGGCCACTGGTCTGCACATGGCCTCGCTGCTTGGGGCTGAGCCTCTCCAGGTGGACACGATGACGGTGGCCCCGGCCAGGGGCTGCTGCAGGAGGGAGGGAAGGAGGGGACAGGCACTGCCCCCACAGGTGAGGCAGCCATAGCTTGTCTTGGGCCTCTCGGTGGTGACTGGGGAGGCATGCTGCTCTCAGGACAGGGTGTGCGGGAGCCCATAGGCTGTGGGCCTGTGGCTCTGCCTGTTTAGGGGCTCCAAGGCACGGGAGCGGGGACAGTTGTGTATCCTCACGCCTGGCAGACACAAGGGTGTCTGTTTCCATCTGGAGAGCGCCTCACAGTGGCCACTTCCAGACAGCCTTTGGCTACGAGGTCCCTGCTGTTCCCCTGGTGTAGGAGGAGCCAGGTGGACGGAGCCATGCGGGAGAAACTGGACACGACGCGCAGCGGAGCAGAGGATGTGCTCAGACTACTGTGCAGAGGCCACAGCTCAACTCCTCCTCCGGAGCCCTTGTAGGTGCTGCACGCAGACCCCTCTTCTTGAAAGGGGAGAAGAGGACCTCCCACTGTGCTCACATTCCTCAAAGTGGCTGCCAGGCAACACCCCAACTTTGGTTCTGTCTTAAAGGAGCCCAGTCCCCTTCCGAGACCCTGCAGCTCTGGGGGTCTCCCACATTCTTCCAGGCCAGCTCCCCCAGCCCTCCATCCGCCCTGCTCATCCCTCACCGGCCTTCTAGCCCTTCCTTGGGGGGCCAGGCCGGGCAGAGGCTCAGCTCTGACTGGGAGCTGTAGGATCACTGGCCCTTTGGCTCACACAGCCCACCAGACCAGACGCCCCACCTCAGTAATTGAAGGACAGGCACACTCTGGGGGAACCCAGTGGATGGGTCACAGCAAGGCCGCCACCACCAGAAAAGTCCCCCCACCTGCAGCCTCTGGAAGACAAGTGCTGGTGGCAGTGTGCTGTGTGCAGGGCAGCGACATGCCAGGCACACCACTCATCACCTGGTACCCAGACACGTGACCAGCAGTGCCCCAGCCAGGAGGTGCCTGGCGGGGGGTGGGGTGGATGAGAGAGCAAGGTCTGCTGGGAAGGAGCCCTCTCTTCCTCCCGGGGGTTCCCATCCCGCTCCCCCAAAAGGAACCCTCCAGTGTGTCTTCACTTTTGGGTCAGACCTGGCAAAGGCTTCTACAGCCGCGGATGAGCAACTGGACCTGCTCCCCAGGTCCTGGCTGTGGCAAGCCTCTCCCGACTCTGGGAAACAAGTCCAGAGCACATAGCCTGGAAGCTGGGGTCCTGTGGGCAGCCACCCTGCAGCCTAGCTGGAGACTGTCCAGCTCCAGGATGTGCATCCTGCATCCGCAGGCCTGGTCAAGTCACTCCTGACCCTTTTATCCAGGGAGCAGGAAGAGGCTGGCATAGAAACCAAGTTGCACAGTGGATCCAGGTGAAGATGGGCCTCTAATCTTCAAATCCCTGGGAACCAGAAGTCACTAGAACACAGAAACCAAGTACTTCCTAGGTGAAAGGCCAACTCCCACCCCAATCAAGGAAGTTGACAAGGAAGTGTTTCTCACCCAGCCAAGAATCCATAAATGTCAACTCTCTGAGTTTGGGAAGTGGGTGAGGTACCAGGAGGTACCTCAACTCTGTGGTGGACTCAGTCCCCTTGAACAGAGTCTGGACAAGGCATGAGGGAGGGACCCTAAGGCCATACCATCAGTTGGGGACGCGGCCGAGGTAGAGTCTCTGACCAGCACAGCCTGGTGACCACTGGCCTGGGTCAGGGCCTGCACCTTGTGAATGAGGGTGCTACAGGGACCATGGAGCTCCCAAAGGGGCAAGGAGGGCACACATAGCTTAAGGAGTGAGCACTGCCCACAGCCCAGGCCATCAGAGGACCCAATCAAACTTCCCCCCAGCGAGGCCAAGCTGCTCCCTGCAGACAGGCTGTGAACATGGAGGATGTGATAGCCAAGGGATGGGCTGTGACAGCCTGGGAGGCCATATCCCAGGGTTCAGATCCTACCAGTAACATCAGAAGAGCCCAAGGCCTCTTCTCCAGGCCACACATAGCAGCAGCCCCCCCCCCAGACAGGGTCAGGCCTCCCCATGAAGGTCCCTGGAGCACCTGCCTGCCCAGAATTCCAGAAGGTGGCCACATACCTTGCTGGGCCAGTCATCAAGGCCACACCTGACACCCACACAGAGCATCAAAGCAGTCAATGGGCCTGCCCTGCCCACCCTAAGAGGCCGACGGCCACTGGTACGGGATCAAGGGTGTGTATAGCAGCTGGCCTGTGGGCCAGGCACAGACCTGGGGACAGCCTGCCTGTGCTCCAGTGTTCACTGCTGCCCAAGAGTTCCTGTCAGTGTCCAAGTAGGGCTGGAGCCCGGGAGCAAGCCCCCAAGTCACTCTGTGCCTTTGCTGCCCCCAGCCACATTCTGCAGCAGGGCCTGAGTAAGCCCCAGGCTTGCCCAGTCTCCCTGGCGCTGACCCTGAGCACTTGTCAGTGAAGTCAGGTCAAGTGGCCAGCAAGAACTGAGCAGGATGTGCCACCTGCGTGAGGGTGGTGGCACCAGTCAGCTGAGGAACATGGCCCAGGCCAAGTAGGGGACCCATGCGTGCAGGATTCAGATCCCACCAGTAACAAGCCCAACTTTGATGCAGCCGGCGGGTCACTGCTGAGTCCCTGAGGACCTCCACATTCCCAGTCTCACGGAAAGTCTAGCGCTCACGGCTTCGGCCCAGGCGGAGGAATCAGAGCTCGCCTCTCCCAGAAAGTAGTGACCAGCCCGCGAGGCCAGAGTGCTGACCTCCACTCAGCACCACTGCCCAGCTTTTTGCTTGCTTCCCGGGCCCAGGGCAGCACAGGGCTCCGGGCACAGCTGGCCCTGGCAGCTCTGGCTGCCAGAGCCAGGTTTTCTATACTGGGTAGCCAGGAAACAGTTTCACTCACTTGCAGAGGAAGCTGGAGACCCCCTCCCCACTGTCCCTTCAAGGCCGCAAGAAGGAAGACCCCTTCCCTCCAGCAGTCACGGGGCCTGACTGGGCAACTGGGGCGAAGCGGCGAGGGGCACCCCAAGGCCTGCCCACAGCCTACAGGGAAGCTCCCACGGCCTCTCCTGCACATCCCAGGCACCCCCGGCCCCCTCCGGTGCCCCGGCAACGTAAGGCCAGGCCAGAGCGGGCTGGTCAGGGACTCAGCCCCAGGTCCGGCGGCCCGCGGCACAAAGGAAAGGCCCGGGGTACCGCCTGCTGGTTACAGCTCAGGCGCGGGCGCAGCAGGGCAGGAGAAGCTGAGACAAAGAAGCAACAGCCCAGGCCAGGTCCACGGGGCCGGGGGCCTACGGGCGCGGCGCGCACCGGGCGGTCTGGGCTAGGCCCCGGCCTCATACCGACCACCCGGCGGGGGTGTGGTTGCCGGGGGTCTGGCCCGGCCCCGGGCGGCCGGGGGAGACCGGGTGGGCACAGCTGCAGGGAGGCCGCGGCGGGGCGGGAGGGGGCGCAGGGGGTCCCGGGAGGAGGAGGGTCGCCGAGCGCGGGAGGCGCGGGCCGGGGCGGCCGGGGCGGGGTCGGCCGGCGGCCCTACCTGGTACACGGAGGCCTTGGGCAGGTCCAGGCACACGGTGCAGCACAGCACCGAGTAGAGCCGCTCCTCCAGCTTCCCGCTGCCCGCCGCCGCCGCCGCCGCCGCCTCGGCCGCCTCGGCCGCGCGCAGCCGCTTCTTGGGCGGCGCGTCGGGGTCGCCGGCCGCCTCCTGCAGCTGCCGGGCGCCGGCCAGGCCCGCCTCGTCCGGGAGCCCGGGCCCCGCCGCCTCGCCCAGCGCCGCCGCCGCCGCCGCCGCCGGCCCCGCGGCCGCCCCGGCCCCGGCCCCGGCTCCGCCCCCGGCCCCGGCGGGCACGGCACCCGCGGGCCCCGCGGCCGGGCCGCCCCCGCCGGCCTCCTCGGCGCCGGACATCGCAGCCGGCCGGCCCGGCGGGCGGGCGCCGGCGCGCTCCCGCGGCTAGAGTTGGGGCCGCCGCGCGCTCCCGCCGCCCTCTCGCCGCCGCAGCGACCCCGCCGCCCCGCTCCCGGCGCCGCCGCCTCAGAGGCTCCGGCCCGCGCGTCGCCCCGCAGTCGCCGCGGCCACCGACCCCGGCGCGGCCGCCATCTTTGTTTTCGCTGCGCGCTCCCCCGCCGCCGCCGCCGCCGCCGCCCCCTCGGCTCCGGGTCACGTGAGCCTCGCGGGACCAATGGGCGCGCCGCTCGGGGCCAGCCGGCGCGGCTGACGAAGCCAATGGGCGCGCGAGGGCCGCCCCTGCAGAAAGGGGAGGGGCCGGGCGATCCCGGGGTGGGGGCGGGGCGTGCACCTGGCGCGGAGCGGTCCCGGGGACGGGGGAAGAGAGGCGCTTCCGGGGCGGCCCGGGAGCGATCCGGGGCCTCTGGATCCATCCTCCAGGGTGGCTGGTCCTGGGCTATTGTGCGCCTAGGCTCCCATGAATGTGTGCCGGGCGCGCCAGAGGGCAGGGGTCAGTGCAAGAAATCGTGCCGGCCACCACCTTGGTCCTGCGCGTGACCCGCTCTACTTAGATGAGCACAGGGGGCTGCTAGAGCCCCCTCATCTAAGCAGCTACTCGGTCCAATCTTGTTTCCTAACCCTGGGGCAGGGCGCTGAAAGCCAGCCAGGGTCTTAGGGAATCAGGATTTCAAGTATCAGTGGCCAGCCCTGGAAGGGGTTGTGTGCTTGGGATAGCATAAGGGGGCAACAGCTGAGGTCCAGTTTTTCCTACCCACCCCTTGAAGGTCACTGCCCCAAAGGGCCATCTGCCAGGTGGCACAAGATCACTCTAAGCGCTACAGCATCCGAGGAGACCCAGGGCTCAGGAGTAGGGTGCCTTCCAGTCCAGGCTGCCTTCTTTTAAGTTTTTGGGCGGAGCTTAGGAGGTGACTCCTGGCGCTGCACTCAGTATCACTCCCGGTGGGCTCAGGACCATATCGGATGCCAGTAATGTAACCTGATTTGGCAATGGGCAAGGTAGGTGCACCTCCTCCCTTAGGCTGCCCTCTATCAGTGATGCAGCAGCAGGCCAGGATAGGGAAGCAGAGGTGGGGTGGGGCGGGGAGGCCCTGTCCTGCCCACTTGTTAATGGACAGATTTCACACTCCTGCTGAGTCCCTATGGTTTATTGGAGACAAAATCACTCTGTACCCCACAACAATGTCTTTCCTGGATGCAGGTACCCAAATGTTCTGGGCTAGGTAAGCATCTATTCTCAGCAACTCAGAAGAGGAGCAGCTTCCACACACAGACAGCCCTGGGCTGCAACCTACAAGATGCCCCCTGTGGAGAGGTCCCAGTCAAGGTGAAGCTGCCCGCATTTGTAGCTATCACTCCCACTGCAGGTGCTGTGCGTGCAGGGCACGGTGGTAGGCCCAGCTGCCTGCGGCCAGGGTCCAGCGACACACATCCTCCTTGGGCAGTGGCAGCAGGCTGTCCTGGTCCAGCCGGCTCAGGAGTCCTGCGGTGCCCAGCATCACGCCCCCCCACATACCGTACGTGTTGGTGGTGAAAACGGCCACGATGAGGATGGTCACTGCCACCACCAGCACCACAGCCTGGCCTGCCACAGAGCGGGCCTCGGCGCCCAGGTGCTCGCCAGCCACTGCCAGCACCATGCCTCCTCCCAGGAGCAGGTTGGCTGAGGAACGGTCCCCATTCACCCAGTGGAAGTCAAAGGCTAAAAGGGGCAGGCCGATGACAGTGGCTACCCAGGATCCAGCAAAGCCATCTTCATCAGTGCCTAGCCCTGGGGTCAGCATAGTGGCAGCAGCTAGGGCTTGGAGCAGGAAGCCAGCAGCAGCCCCTCGGCTGGCCTGTGGACACAGGGCAGGGGGCGTGGGAAGAGGCCAGGCTTTCCCTCATGCGAGAGAGGGCTGGGGGGCTCCCAGGAGCCTGATTTCCAGACTCCCTCCCGCCACAGCCCCCTTTTCTGGGATCCGGGGCCCGGCATGGGGATCCTCGTTTCCGAGAGCAACCCAACTTGTCCCGACCTCCCCGTGGCACTCACCTGGGCAGTGTTTACAGCTGCGTGCAGAGACACCACTCCCAGCACCAGGTGGGACAGGGCCGTGCTCCACTCGCCCCAAGCTTTGGGGGCCATGGCACCTCGGGGGACGGCGCGCTCCAGCCAAGGGGAAGAGTTGGAGCCTTCGCGGCGGCTCCGCTGACCCCCGGCCTCAACACGTTGGAACAGGCTCATGCAAAACTCCCCGCAGTCCCGAGGCCGCCGGAGACAACTGTGGAGAAGAAGAGGGGGAGAATTCGGCCGAGAGCAGGAGAGGGAACGCGGCGCGCGGCAGGCTGGGTGCGCGGGAGCCGAGCGGACGCGGGGCCAGCGGCAGAGGGGAGCCGGCGCCCGCGGCCTCGTCCCCTAGTCGGCGCCGTCTCCGTGCTCGGGGCTCCGCCCGGAAGAGAAACAAGTGAGGGGATGTCCTCGGGTAGCGCGGCTCGACCCGGCCCGGCCCGACGCGGTGCGGTGCGGAGCGGGAGGCCTCGGCCAGCCACCGCGCCTGGCCGCGGACCAGCGAGAGGAGCGACGGCTAGAGCGGCGGGGCGGGGCCTCGGCCCAGGCGCGGAGGCGGGGCCGGCTGGAGGCACGCGAGACCGCGCGGGGACCGGGAACTGGGGCACGGACGACTCTGGGAGCATCCGGTCCCGCCAAGGCGAGGGGCTGTGGGCGTGGCTATGGGCGTGGTTCCGCGGAGGGCGTGGCTGTGCGGGGCCCCGTGGAGGGGAGGGGCGGGGCGGGCGGGGCAGAGGGCCAGCGCGTGGGAACGGGTGGATTGTGGCCGTGAGGGGCGGAAGGAGGTTCGGTTGAAGAGGGGCTTCTCGGGGGAGAGGCTGGTATGGGGAGATAATTGGGGAGCCTGGCGGGGGGCGTTGAGCCCTCGCGCTGGGCACGGAGAATTAGGAGAGGGCGCGGGGTGGGGCTTGGCCCGCGCTCTCCGCGCCCGTTCTGCGCAGGAGGCCAGCGCGGCTCCGGGGACACCTGCCTCGCGCTCCCCTCTCCTGGGCTCTCCCCGCCTGCCGGGTCCGCGCGTGGGGGCGGCCGAGCATGCGCACCCGCTCTGCGGCGCGCGGGTGCGGAGTGCGGGCGCGGGGACGCGGGGCCCTCTGCCGCCCTGCGCCCCCATGTACGCCTTCTACTCGCTGCTCATCTACATCTTCTACAGCCTCTTCCGCAGGGATGGAGGCGCAGCGGCGGCTGCCCGCTCCGAGGACGCTGCGCAGGTGAGGGCTGGGGAGGGCCGCCGAGCAGCGCTTTCCGGCCTCGGCGTCGGGAGCAGGTCGCGCCAGGACCTGGGCTCCCGGCTGATGCTGGATGCGCGGAGACTCGCAGGGAAGGGTGGAGCGGGGGTGGGCGCCACGGGTCGCTGTTCTCTCAGGGGCCCCCGCTCCCTCCCTAGAGTGCCCGCTGTAAGCCGGAGGGCCGCCGCCGGTCCGGCCAGTCACCGGCCGAGCTGTGGAACGAGCTGACCGGCCTGGTGGGTAGGTGACGCCGGTGCGTGGCAACGCTGCACCCTGGGAGCTCCGCGTTCGGCCTGGCCGGGAGGGTCCTGCAGGTGCCGGACGCAGCCCGCCTGACGCAGCCCGCCTCCCACCCGTCCAGGCTGCGCGGAGTCGGAGGATGGGTCCGGACCGCGCGCCGCCGCCGAGCGCCGGCCGGCCGAGGTGTCCCTGGAAGAGGCGCTTGTGCGCCTCGCAGAGTTCCTCTCGGTCCAGCTGGGGGCAGAAGAGAGCTGCGGGAACCCTCTGGACCTGAGCAAGGTGAGGAGTGGTGGGAGGTGGGAGGGGAGCGCATCCCCATCCCAGGGCCCTCCGGGAGGGACTTGGTGCCGACTCTGGTCTCCGACACAGCCCAGCGACATACCTCCGCTACTGACAGTCACCGGCCAGCTTTTGGCCCTGCTGGCCTGGGTCCGGAGCCCTCGGTGGAGGCAGTCAGTCCCAGGGAAGCAGACCCCCACACCGGATGATGGTGCGTGAGTAGTCGGCTGGAAGGGGGCTGGCCATAGGCACCGAGCTGCCCAGAGTGCCAGCCCTGAGCCTGTGCACCCCGCTCCAGGGCCCTCATCTCAGGAAGACGCTCCTTCCCCGGGTCCCCGAGATGAAGCCCAGGTGGAGGAGGAGCAGAGGGCTTGGCAGCGGCTGGAGCAGCTCATTCTTGGTCAGGTGAGGGGCCAGGAGGCAGCAGGGTCTGGGCGAATGCTGGAGGAAGGTGCTCACCCTCTGCCCATCCTTCATGCCCAGCTGGAAGAACTGAAGCAGCAGCTGGACCTGCAGGAGGAGGAACTGGATCAGCTGCGCCTGGGCGTGGTGAGGAGCCTTCCCTGGGGCTGCCCCCCCCCCCCCCCCCCCCCCCCCCCCCCGCAGCAGGAGGCGGGCTGGGGGCTGATGCTGGGCTGAGTGTTCGTTCTCCACCAGGGGGCGACAGATTCAGAGAAGCGGGTTCAGCACCTGACCCTGGAGAACGAGGCCCTGAAGCAGAGTCTGAGCCTCACCAGGGACCTGCTGCTGCACTGGGGACCCAGCTCCCCCCCGAGGGCCCCCCAGGTACACTACCTGTTAGCTGCCTGAGCGCCTAGCATGGGCTCCTGCATACCGGGCCCAGCAGGAGCTTCGGGCCTCATGATACAGAGCTGTGGTCAGCTCCAGGGTTGGACCCCAAGAACAGAGGCACAGGGGAAAGTGGCCTGCATGTGGCTGGCCACTGCGCCTGTCTCTCCAGGAGCACACACTGACCCCCCCATGGCCTCGCTGAGCTGCCCCTGCCCCCCCCCACCCCCACAGGAGGAGGCAAAGGTCCTGGCCGAGCTGCAGGACCGTCTGCAGGAGGCCCAGGACTCCACTGAGGCCCTCCGGGTGCAGGTGGGTCCAAGCCCAGGGCCAGGAGGTGGGGGCCTAGGAGGGGGCGCATGAGGTGGGGCCTGGTGAGTGCCTGTTTCCTCAGTGATGGGGGGGGCAGCTGGGGGGGCAGGAGGTGCAGCTGCAGGACCTGCGGGGGGCCCTCCGGCAGCTGCAGCAGGAGATGGAGCAGAACTGCAGGCGGGAGTTGCAGCAGGTGCACGGGCAGCTGGCAGGTACTGGGGGGCCCAGGGAGGGGCTAGCCCCCTGCTCTGGGCAGGGCTCCCCTCATTCCTGCCTCCACTGCAGGGCTTCGGGCACGCATGGCCAGCCTGCGCCAGGGCTGCGGGGACCTCCGAGGCCTGGTCAGCACCTTCACTCAGAGCTGGCAAGGCTCCCTGAGCGAGGCCCAGGGCCAGGTCAGCACCCACCGGACAAGCTCTCCAGAGCCCCCGTGCTCCTGCAACCCTCCCCATGGGACTTGAGTGACCTCACCTTTGGGTCCTGCTTTGTTCATGTAGATTGGGGTGACAGCAAACCTTCCCAGGACTGGTAGTGAGCCTGGGGCTTTACCCAACGATACCCTGAAAACTGGGTCAACATGGCTGGGAGGCCCCACACACCCCGGGACACCCCATCCCTCCCCAGCTCCTGGTGGTCTCCCCACACCATGTTCCCTCAGGTTTCCTGGGCTCTGGGGGCACTGTCAGCTGGTGGGGCTGGCACGCAGCTCCCAGCAGAACAGCAGAGACCCTCACCTGGATGCCCGGGCCGGCTGCTGGAGCTCAAGGGTATGTACGAATGTAGGGGCAGGGCAGTGACCGCGGCAGCTGCGGCGGGGGGAGTGCACCTTCTTACCTCAGGCCCCATCTTCACCCCAGGAAACATCCGCGTTCTGTGTCGCCTGAGACCAGGGATGCCCTCTGGCCTGGTGAATGCCGAACCAGGTCCTGGTGGCACCATCTCCACCTGCTATCGAGGCCGCCATCGTCGCTTCCGTCTTGATTGGGTCTTTCCTCCGGACGCCAGCCAGGAGGAGGTGACCCTGCACTCAGCCCTGGCACCTCCTCCCTAATCACCCCTCCCTGCCCACCAGCTGCCCACAAGACAGTGGCTGGCTCAGCAGGAAGGGCCAGGCCCTCCTTTCCTTCCTTGAGGGCCCCTTTGCCCTGCTTCCAACAGGCTCTGCAGAGCCGGAAACAGCCTTCTGTGTAGACAGGACCATATCCGGAAGCTAAGGGGAATGAAGCTGTTGAGTTGCATGGCCGGGCAAACGCCTCTCCTGGGGCTACAGTGCAAGCTCTAGCTGTGTGCACAGGTGGCACACCTCCACGGCAGATTGTGCCAGGCTTTTGCTTCCCTGACTCAGAGCTGGAGGGGACAGGTCTGGCAAGGAGGAGGCTCACTTTCTTAAGAAAGTGTGTGCAGAGCTGAGCATGGGCCCCCAACTCCTGTTTGTCCACAAACTGCCCAGCCTCAACCATGAGCCCCCTCCTCACCCTGCAACTAACGTCCTCCCAGCCACCTGCTGAGATGGCCTTCTGGGCGTGTCCTTCCAGCTCCGCATGATACAGAAGCTAGAAGTAGTACCACATGATACAGAGGCTAGAAGTAGTACCGTGTATAAGGTGTTTGCTTTGCACTCAGCTGACCCAGGTTCAATCCCCAGCACCCATTATGGTTCACTGAACCCCACAAGGGTCCCTGAGCAGAGCTATCTGAGTGCGGCCCCCCAAAAGGCCCAATGCAATGTGAGGCACCTCTCTTTTGGTATCCCTCTGCAAGGCCACCATGCCCCTCCTCAACAGCCACCCTAACCTTTGCTTGGTCGTCCGACTTTCCAGCACTGCGAACCACTGTCACCTCTGGGCGGGAAGCTGGCTGTCATGGCCCCAAGGCTGCCATGCTCCAGTGGTACACAGGAAATAAGACCAGCTGCCTCTGCACCCTCTCCGGCCAGGTCCACAGTCCTGACCCACCATCATCCCACATGCCACAGTCCTTGTGGCCAAAAGTCACCTCTGTGGTCCCTGCATGTTTTCGTCCTCCTGGGACATGAGACTCATACAGAGTTGCTGCCTGAGGCTCCAGGACCTCTGTGCCCTCCTGGCGCGGGCTGTTCTGTAGTTCCCCGCCCAAGGGACACTCCACAGCTTACCCAGTGTGGACCAGGAGCAGAACCTAACCTGGGACTCCTGTCACCTTCCCCAGGTCTTCCGGGAGCTGGAGCCAGCGGTGCTGTCCTGCCTCGGGGGTTACAATGTCTGCATCTTTACCTATGGTCAGACGGGGACGGGGAAGACCTACAGCATGGAGGTGGGGACCAAGGGCGCTTTGGGGGCTCAGGGGCTGTGATGGGAGCCCATGTGACACCCTGCCCTGTCCCCAGGGCCCCCCTGAGGACCCGGGCATCGCTCCTAGGGCGCTGCAGTCACTGTTCCGGGAAATGGGCACCAGAGGCGCACACCGGGTGACCCTAAGCATGGTGGAGATCTACAATGAGGCTGTGAGGTTGGCACACTCCCTCTTTCCCTCCCTCCCTGGGCTCTCTTGTCGGCAGACCCCCCCCCCCCCCCAGCCTCCCTGCTTCTCTCCCTGCTAGAGACCTCCTAGCCCCGGGCCCTCCAGAGCGCCTGGCCGTGCGCCAGGGTCCAGCAGGCCAGGGGGAGATCCAGGTGGCTGGCCTCACCTACTGGGATGTGCCCAATCTGGAGACGCTGCACCAGGTAAGGTGGCCGGTGGGCTGCAGGTGGTGGTGCGCGCCACCTGGGGGCAGGGTCCTGCAACAGGCCAGCCTCCTCCACCCGCCAGATGCTGAGCCTGGGGAGAAGCAACCGGGCCACCGCCGCCACCGCCATGAACCAGCGCAGCTCGCGTTCTCACGCTCTGGTCACGCTGACGCTTCGCGGAGCCGCCCCTCCGCGGGGCCCGGGCACCGCAGGTACCTCAGTGGGCGCGGGGCCCGGCACAACCCCGACCCCTCGTACCTGGCTCCGAGTCCTCCCTCCCTCCCCCCCACACACAGACACTTCCCTTGCGGCCGGTTTGCCCCTGCAGGCACGCTGCACCTGGTGGACCTGGCAGGATCCGAGCGTGCCTGGAAGGCGGCGGCGGCGGGGCCGGCGCGCGGAGACCGGGAAGGCGCTCAGCGTCTGCGGGAGGCCCGCACCATCAACCGCTCCCTTCTGGCGCTGGGCGGTGTGATGGCCGCGCTGCGGGCCCGCCGGCCACACGTGCCCTTCCGCGACTCGCAGCTCACGCGCCTGCTGCAGCCTGCGCTCGGGCCTGGCGCCACCGCGGTGCTGTTGCTGCAGGTGCGCGCGCGCGCGCGGGGCGAGGGAGCCCAGCCCGGCCGCTGGACTCACGCTCCGCCGCCCCGCAGATCTCCACGCGGCTGGAGGACCTCGGGGAAACCGTGTGCTCGCTCAAGTTCGCCGAGCGCGTGGGTCGAGTGGAGCTGGGCCCGGCCCGACGGCGCCGGGCGCCGCGCTCCGGGACGCCCTCCTCGCTCAGCACCGACACGGCGCTCTCCGGGACCCCCGGCAGCCCCCCGAGTCCACGCCCCGACAGCGGCGCCAGCTCAGCCCTGGCGCACCCGGAGGACCTGCCCTCGTAGCCTGCGTCCCGCCTCTGCCGGCAGAGGCCGCCGCCGGGCCAGCCCGGGTGTCCCCCACCCCCGCGCACTCCCCGCAGAGCTGCAGGCCCGGCCCGGGAACGGCCGCCCCTCCCCCAGGCCCGCGGCCCCCTTATCGCCATCTGTGGTTATCGCAGTACGCAGCGGGGCACCTCCAGCCAAGTGGCCGCTCGGGCGCCCACCCCCCCACGCCAAGAATCAGACCCGGCATTAAAATGTTGTGCTCCTTTACTGTTATCGGCCACCCGGCTTGAGGGCGGGTGGGGTCTTCGTTCCCGCCCTCTCCCCGGAAAGACGCCACCGCCGCCGCCGCAGCTCCCCGCCCCCACCCTCCCCGCCCCCCTCACAGGCGGTACCAGGAGAGCCGCCAGCTGGGGGCGGGCGCCGCCAGGTCCCGGGGGTGGCTGACCCACACGTCGTAGATGCTCTTGTTGGGCGGCACCCCCCGGAAGAGCGCATCCAGGTCCCAGAGCAGCCGCGGGGGGCCGTGGGGGTCAGGAGGCACCCCCCAGTAGGCCGGGCTGGTGGAGGCTGGGCACTGGGGACAGGAGGGAGCTGGCAGCGGGGGCGCCAGGGGCATTACCACGTTGGGGGTGTAGATGGGCAGGTAGGAGGTGGGCAGCTGCCCCCAGCCGGGGGCTGCCTCCGGGTCCGGGGCGCCCTGCGCGAAGTGGAGGGGCCAGGGCGCCGGCTCGGGGGAGCGCCCGCTCGCGCTCCCCGGGGAGGTCGCCCCGACCGCCGCGCTGGTTCTCTCCGAGGGCCGGGGCGGCGTGGGATGCGTTCGGCCCGCCGCCTCCCCCGGCTCCCCGAGCAGGGACTTGATGCTGAAACCCTCGCGGGCGGGCGGCGCGGGCGCGGGCGCGGGCGCGGGCGGGCGGTAGGGGCGGCCGTGCAGCACGTAGGGGCCCAGGTCTTTGGCGAAGGCGCCGCGCGCGCCCCGGCTCTGCCAGCGGCGGCACAGCGCGGTGTTCTGCAGCCGCAGCGCCTCGGCGGGGATCAGGCTCACGTCCACCGCCCAGAAGTTGCCCTTGGCCTGAGGCTTCGCGGGGTCCTTGGGTACCTGGGGGAGTGGGAAGCGCAGGCTTGGGTGCGGCCTCCGCCAGGCCCGGGACTGGGGGCTCCCGCGCCCGCCCCGCCCCGGCGCCTGCCCCACCTTGCGGAAGCATGGGTTGGAGGAGAGGTTGTGGCGGATGGAGTCCTTCCAGCCCTCGTAGTCGTCCCTGAAGAAGGGGAACACCGCCTGGACCTGGCGAATGATCTGAAACGGTCGGGCAGTCGTGAGCCCGGCCCCAACCCCGGCACAGTCTTACCCCAGCTGCGCCAATCGGTGCCCCCCACATCCACCCCGGCAGGCCCTGTCCGGTGTCCCCACATCCTAGTCGGGCTCAGTATACATGCATTCGCACCCTGCTCTCTCCAGCCCCACGAGACAGGCCGCCCCCCCAGGAAACGAGCGAGTTACCTCGTGTAGGGAGGGCGCCTGCTCACCTGGGCTAGCTTCAGCCTGCGGGAGGGCGCCGCCTGGATCACCAACGCGATCATAGCCAAGTAGGTGTAGGGCGGCTTGTCATGCCTCAGGTATCTCTTCTTCCTCCTCTTGGGGGGCTGAGAGGGCAGCTCTGCGCTGGGGAGCCCCAGGCCTGGGCTGCTGCAGGGCCCCATTCGGGGTCTGGCAGCGTGGGCAGGAGCCTGGCCCGTGCAGGGCGCAGGGCAAAGGGGCAGTGGTCCGGGGACTCAGGGCCGGGTGCAGGCCGGTGGGGACAGGCCGGCGGGGCCCTTTATCATTCGGATGAAAGGGGGAGGGGAAGCCTGGCTGGGAGGAATAACTGTGGGGGAGGGGACTATGCAGAGGACTGGCCACAATTAGCAGGTTCCAGTTAATCTGGAAGGGAGGGGCTGCCTGAGGTGGCTTTCCGCCTTCTGGGGACCCCCTAAAGGCTGGGAGGAAAAGGGGCCCACCTCAGTGAGGTACTTTGCTCAGGTACTTTGCTCTGCCCGAGTTGGGTATCACGTACCCATTTAACAGAGAGGGTTGATCTGACCAGGTCAAGCTGGTGGGGCCAGCTCAGAGTTCAAGGCCAAGATGCAACAGTGCCTAGTTGGTGATCTGGGAACTTCCTGCAGTAAACTGGATGCAGATGACTGGGACTTTCCCCAGGGGCCACTTGCTTCCCAACCCACAGACAGTCAGCTATGCTCCTGGGAGCTGACCAGGCCTCGTTTCCTGGGCATTCCCTTGGGTGGGTGTCATGGAGGAAGGGAGTGAGCCTAGATGTGTTATGGGGAGCAAGGACTAGGGTGGGGTCCTGTACTGCGTGTATGTGGGGTGTTCCAGGGGAGGAGGGAGACTCCAGGTATAGACAGTCAGGCTGGAAAGCTGATGGGATTAGCGCTTCCACAGGTCAAGAGCTTTAGGTAAAGAGCTGCCTGGTAGCTGCCCTGCCTGAGCAGGGGCTTCCTGATGGATGGATGCGCGGAGGCTTACATCAGCCAAGTCATGTTCCCACAACCAGGCGCCCAAATGGGCGTGAGACCCAAGGCCCTGGCAGGATGGCTGATGCTGGGATCAGGTCACAGGAGCACTGGGACACACCAGGTGTCACTTCAGGCCAGGAGTTGGGTGTTTCCTGTGGACTCCTAGAGGGTGGGGCACACAGAGCTGGCGCCAGGGGGCAGTGCCAGAGGATCCCATCTTACACAGAGACCTCTGTCTACTCTGGTTTCCTGGGTTTGTTTCTGGACCACGATCAGCAGTGCTCAGGGCTGATGTCTGGCTCTGTGCTCAGGGATCACTCCTGGTGGGGTGCTGGGGACTGAAGCTGGGTTGGCCATGTGCAGTACTGTCTCTCCTGCCCCCTACCAGGCTTCCTCTGGACTGCACTGCTGTCACTGCTGTTCCTTCCTGGCCCCAGGCTTCACTTTATTCATTTTTTTTTTGCTTTTTGGGTCACACCCGGTTACTCCTGGCTCTGCACTCAGGAGTTACTCCTGGCGGTGCTCAGGGGACCATATGGGATGCTAGGAATTGAACCTGGGTTGGCCGCATGCAAGGCAAATGCCCTACCTGCTGTGCTATCTCTCCAGCCCCTCAGACTTTTCTTTAGAGCTTTCCAGATTAATGGCAGGTCTTTCTCTCCTACAGTGTCTCTTTCCCGCGGGGGGGGGGGGGGTGTCGCTTTCCCAAGCAGTGCTCAGAGACCTCCTAACACCAATTCTTGGTTCAGTGCTCAGGGGAGTCCAGGGCACAGTCTACCACGTTCCTAATGCCATGTCTAGGCAGTCACATCCGTACCTCTGTACTAGCTCCCTGTACGTTCTTGCGGGGAGCTGGGGGCACACTCACGGCGCTCAAGGGTCCCAGAGATGGTGCTAGGGGACCCCGCCGCCGGAGTCCCCCCCCATCCCCCTTCCCCCCCCCCCACACGCCTGCTCACACAGCAGGCGCTCCAGCCCCCGGGCCATCGCCCAGCCCTTCTTTCCTTCTGGGGGGTGGGAGTCAAGGTCAGGCTTGTTCCCGATAGCATCGGGGCCCATTCCACGCTGGTCCTGTGGGCCCTTCAGGTCGATAGCCCAGCTCCTCGCTGCGCCCGCCGCCCCGGACCCGGCCCGGGAACAGCCACGCCCCCGGCCCGCGAGGCGCCCGACTTCCGGTGGCGGCGGCGCGGCCGGAAGTGTCGCGTTGCCATGGCGAAGGCCGCGCGGGGCCCGCCCCCGGGCGCGCGGACGAGCGCGGGGAGGCCGGAGTGGCCGGCGGGCGCGGCGCTGGTGGCGGCGGCGACGGCGGCGGCGGCGGCGGAAGGTGCGGCGCGGGCTTCCGGGCGCGGGGGCGCGGGGCCGGGGGACGGGGCCCGGCGCGGGGACGCGGCGGGGCTGGCTGGGCCGGCGACGCGGGGCCGCGCGCGCGGGGTGGCCGGGGGCGGCCGCTTCGGCCGCGGGGACCCCCACGGCGCCGCCGCCGCCGCCGCCGCTTCCCGCTTGGCCCGGCCTCCCAGTGGGCAGCGCCCGGCGTCGCCCTGCGGCCGCCGAGCGTGACACGGGCCCGCGCAGCAGGGACCGCCGGGCTGGGCTTGGAGTTAGGCCAGACAAGAAACCGGAGCCCGGCGGCGCAGGTGCCGGGTACGGCCGGGCTGCAGGTGACCTCACCTGTGGCATGGGGTCCTGGCCCCACCCGTGCCCAGAACCGCCCAGAAGCGCAGGCCAGCAAGTGCCAGGCCGGTGGCCGCCGGTGTCCAGGGGGGACCCTGCCTGATGCTCGCCCTCCTCCCCGGGCCCTAACCCTCCTCCCGGCCTGCCGGCTGAAAGCGCTGTGTGATCCACCTTTTGCAAAGTGGTCTGCACAGGGCCCAGAGTTGGAGCCCTGGGCTCAGCTGACCCTCCAGTGACCCGGGGCAGCCCCGAGTCCCCAGGCTGCCGCCCCTCTGCCCTTCTGTGACCATCCATTGTCTCTGCGGAGTCCACCTGTGAGGGGCCCAGGCGTGCTACGCCCTGAACCCTACCTGTGGCTCCTCACTGTCCCCACAGAGGCTGGCCTGCTAGTGGACCGGAATGGCCACTCTGCCAGCCTCATTTGTTCCGTGTGTTCCGTGGCCAGGGCTGAGGGCGGGGACCCTGTGAGGCTGGGGGCTAAGACTGTGACCCCCATAGAGTCAGGACACACAGACTGACTGCATGGGTGCGGCAGAGGTGTGGGGTGGAGGGGTGACAGCCGCGGGCAGGCCTTCCACTTCAGAGGAGAGGGCAGAGCGCCCAGCGAGTGGAGGGGTGCTGAGGTGGAGCCCCAAGTGCAGCAGGCTTCTCCCGATGCCCTCTCAGCCGTTCTTGGGGCTGTTGGTGTCTTCATTTTGTGTGAGGGACTGTGTAAGTATCCAGGGGATATGTGGGGAATGAATCTGACCTCAGGGAGCCCCGGGCCAGTCCCCTACACAGGGAACCATGAATGTCCCTCTGCTGGCCAGAGTCAGAACTTGGCTGGCCGATGGGCCCGTCTGTGCATCCCGTGGGAGCAGGGGGCTGTGTGGTGTCACCCCAGCCCTGAGCACAGCCCCTCAAGACTGGGTTAGCGGGATATTGTCGAGCTAGTGAGTTCTTGTTGCAGACATGAGAGAAGGCTCCCTGAGGGCCTGGAGACAGCGCCCAGTGCTGGAGCCTGCCAGGAGGGACAGCCCCTGAGCACTGCTGGATGTGATGCCAAAATGCACTCCCTCCAAAAGTTCACTGAAGTGAGCTGGATTTTTGAATGTTGGTTTTGTTTCTCCAAGCCCATGGGGACACACACCAGGTAGGAGAAGCCAGGACATTTGCTTGAGAATGTGGCAGAGTTCTGGAAGAAGGTATCTCTGTACCTGCCTTACAGCACCGCCAGCACCATGATGTGGGGCTTGGAGGGGATAGAGTCTGCTGTCAGGCCTCAGGACCAGCCAGGGGAGACAGCAAGAACCTCTCGGGTGTGAAACGAGTTCACTTTCTGCCCTGAGCAGGGCCTGGGAGGGAAGTTACAATTTAAAATAGCCTTTTTGGGGCTGGAGTGATAGTACAGCACCAAGGGCATTTGTCTTGCACGCAGCCAACCCAAGTTCGATTCCCAGCATCCCGTATGGTCCCCTGAGCACCGCCAAGAGTGATTCCTGAGTGCATGAGTCAGGAATAACCCCTATGCATTGCCAGGTGTGACCCAAAAAGCAAAAAAAAAGGAAAAAAATTGCCTTTTTTTCTGTGTGATCAGACTCCACAGTGGCTCCTGACACCAAATAATAAGACATATAATAATTTATTAGCAACCACAGGGCCTTAGAGATAGCAGAGGGCTGTGTACACACAGATTCAGTGCAGTCCAGCATGACATGATAACCGGAGCACTGCTGGGAATGACCCCCAGCACCACCAAACACCACAGGTATGGCTCCAAAACAAACATAATAAACTGATAATAGGTAGCTGCATAATGCAGCTGAGGCAGAGTCCCTGCCATTGACCAACTGAGTCAGCCCCTTGCCCCTCAGTGACTCACGGGCTGGGCTGGGAGGACAAATGGTGTGGTGTCAAAATCGAACAGAGGGGCTGGAGCGATAGCACAGGGCCATGCGGGTTCCCCCAGCAGGCACCGTGTGGCCCTGGAGTCTGCAGTGTCTTGCACCCACCTGGAGCCTGCCTGAACCCACAGTGCAGATGCTCTTGCCTTGCACATGGCCAACCCCCATTCCATCTCGAGTATCCCATATGGTACCCTGAGCCCACCAGGAATGATTCCTGAGTTCAGAGTCAGGAGTAACCCCTGAGCAGCGCCTGGTGTAGCCCAAAACCAAGAACAAAAGTCAGACAGGATGGGGCGCTTGCCTTGCATTGGGCCAACCTGGGTTCAATCCCTAGCACTCCAGGCTCTGCCTCTCCTGGCTCCCCTCACTCGGGAGCAGAGTTTCATCCTCTTTCACGGAGGTAGTGCTGGCCTCTATGCCCACTCATACCGTACCCGTTTCCCAGGGATCTGGCTTTTCTTGAGACAGGCCTCCCTGAACTTCCTGTCAATGAGGGCCTGGGGGTGCCTGCACTGGCATTGCCGAGGGTGGCCTAGCCATGCCTCCCAGCGCCCAGCTGACCAGCGGCTTGGGCACCAGTATGTTGCCTGGCCTTCTCCAGGCATGTGTGCAGCAGCTCCTGAGTCCCGGGAAGGGGTGCTGTGGCATGGGCCACACTGGGCCGTGCGGGCTCCCAGCAGGCACCATGTGGCCCTGGAGTCCGCAGTGTCTGGCACCCACCTGGCGCCTGCCTGGACCCACAGTGCAGATTCCCTCTGACTCAGCCCCGGCCTAAGATGGACCCTGGGGTCTGCTGCACCTGCCCCTCCTTTCTTTTGTCTCTGGGCAGCAAGTGAAGGAAGGAAGGAAGGAAGAAAGGAAGGAAGGAAGGAAGGTCCACGGGACCAGCCCTTCACACAACCTGCTGTGGGGCGGAGGGCGCAACCCTGGAAAGGAAGGAGGGAGGGAGGGAGAAGAGAAGAAAGAAAAGAAAAAATAAAGAAAAGCCCAGAAAGGAAGGATGGAAGGGAGAGGAAGGAAGGAAGGAAGGAAGGAAGGCCGGCCGGCCCACAGGACCAGCCATTCACACAACCTGCTGCGGGGCGGAGGGCGCAGCCCTGGAAAGAAAGGAAGAAGGGAGAGAGGGAGGGAGGAAGAAGAGAAGAAAAGAAAAAGAAAAGCCCAGAAAGGAAGGGGGGAGGGAGGGAGGGAGAGAGGAAGGAGTACAGGACTAGCCATTCACACAGCCTGCTGCTGGGGCGCAGCCCTGGGGTCAGGCCGCTTTGGTTTCCTCCTGCAGGAATGGTGTGCTGGCCTGTGGCAGTGTGAAAATGGGTGTGGCCTGCTGGGGGGCAGCACCCATGTCTCCTCAGGAGCCCACCTTGCCCACCCCTGCGCCTGAGTGGCTTACCCAGGCACGGAGCTGCGACCAGCATGGCTGCCCAGATTATCTCTGTTTGACATTCCAGGGAGGCTTGGAGAGCGTGTGTGCTGGGTGTGGTGCCCAGGAACTAGGGGTCCTGGGTGCCCTACCGTCCTGGCAGTGTTCAGTGCAGCAGCGGGAGCTGACTTGGCAGCAGTCCAGTGGAGACTCTGGGCCGGTGCCCCGATGCCCCTCCCCTTTTCTCTCCCTAGGCTGCCCCAGGCCTCGGGCCATTCTGAGCAGCCTGGGGCTGTGAGGGCCTTGCAAGCTGCCTGTGCTCTGCCCACAGCCAGGCCTGGGCAGCCTCTGCCCATCCATACACTGCTGAGAGCTTGGGGGGCCTGAAGCCCCTCTTCCTTTCTGAATTTCCTGAGCTCTGCGGGGCCCGCATACCCCGGCCCTCCCACCACCTGTTCCTCTGGCATTTGTGGCTCCCGAGAGCAAGGTGTGTCTGACCCTCGGCTCCTCAGGGCGGGAGCTGGCAGTGCAGCTCTGCCCTGGAACTTGAGCCTCAGAGGGCAAAGGTGGACTTGGGAGCTTCTGTGGAGTGGGAAGGGCGCAGGCCATGACTAGACCTCGGGTTCTCCAGCCTGGAAGTGTCAGAGCACTGCAGAACGCACGACAGGCCACTCCCGGACGAAGGCTGGTCAGTGGGTCCGGGAGCATGTGAGGCCTGGTGGCAGGAGGGGACCCTCCCAGTGCGAAGCCCCCCCCGGGTGCACAGGAGGCCCAGATATGGGGGTCAGGGCTGGAGCTGGGCAGGAGGCAAAGGCCAGAGACGGGGCAGAGCAAGATGCCGAGGTGCGACGGTGGCGTGCGTGGAATGGGCCCATCGTGCCATGCCCTGCCCTGCTACCCAGCTCCCATCCCAGACGGGCTTCCTCCACTCTGTCGGGAGCCCCACCCTGGAGCCAACCTTCATTGTCGCCTCCTCCTCCTCCCCAGGCATCTGAGAGCCCTGCTGTCCCCGCCTGCTGCTGCTCCGCAGAGGACACACTCCGGCCCGGGCCTGACTCTCAGCACACGCCTGGCCTGGCCTGGCCTCCCTGTACCAGTGGCTCCTCGCTCAGAGGTGGGCGTGTGCGGACTGTGGCACCCAGACAGCAGAGGGGAGGCCAGGCCGGGCATGACTGCTCCCGGGCCTCCCCCAGCTTCTGCGCGCCAGAAGGGGAGGGCCTGGGCCCCACCTCACCCCCAGCCCTGAGCGCAGAGCCGTCTGGAGTCTGGACTGAGGCTGCTGGTGCCAACTGTGCTCCTGACCTGAGCTGTTCTCATCTGCTGTGCGGCTGTGGTGCCTTTGCTCCCTGGTGCCACACAACGCTTGTCACCTGGGTCTGCGCCCCTCAGGCTGGCGGGGGCGTGGTCCCAGGAGGGTCTCTTGACTCAGCCTTGCCAAGGTCAGAGGGCACTGAGCCTTGAGGTGGGGATGCCCCCACGGGTCCCAGTCCAGCCAGCTGCGCTGCCCCTCAGGCCTGGGCTGGCCCGTGTACTCCCCAGTCCAGCGGCCCGAGCAGCCCCCTTGGCCGGCCTCCCTCACCATGGCCGAACACCTGGAACTGCTGGCAGAGATGCCCATGGTGGGCAGGATGAGTGCTCAGGAGCGACTGAAGCATGCCCAGAAGCGCCGCGCACAGCAGGTGAAGCTGTGGGCCCAGGCTGAGAAGGAGGCCCAGACCTGGAGGGGCCCCAGGGACAGGCCACAGCAGGAGGGGGCCAGTGGGCCACAGCGGCGTGTCCGCTTCCCACCCAACGTCACCCTGCTGGAGGCTGCTGCCCGCAATGACCTGGAGGAAGGTGAGTATGGAGCCCGTGAAGGACTCACCCTGAGAGTTGCCCAGTCCTGCTGCTTGCTCTGTGAGACCTTGCAGAACCAGAGTCTGGCCTCCCCGGGGAAGCCCTTGGCCACATTGGGGAGATCGGCCAGGCATCGCCCAGGTGGGGTGTCTGCAGTAGCACCCAGAGCTCTGTTGGGGGATGGGAGCAGCTGGAGCAGAAAGGGGGTCTTTAGGTGCCGGAGCACAGCAGTGTGGGCCCTGCTGGGGCGTTCAGACAGGGGACCCTTGCGCCCGCTCGTCTGCCTTTTCACCCTTGTCAGCAACACAGGCCTGACCACACCCACCCACTTCCTCAGTCCGCCAGTTCCTCAGCAGCGGGGTCAGTCCTGACCTGGCCAATGAGGACGGCCTGACGGCGTTGCACCAGGTCAGCCTTGCTGTGGGGTGTGGGTTGGGGGCATGCAGGGGGCCTGGGGGCTGCTCAGGCCCTGCATTCCACAGAGCTGCATCGACGACTTCCGGGAGATGGTGCAGCAGCTCCTGGAGGCCGGGGCCACAGTCAACGCTCATGACAGCGAGTCCTGGACGCCCCTGCATGCCGCAGCCACCTGCGGCCACCTGCACCTGGTGGAGCTGCTCATTGCCCGGTAAAGCCCACCTTGTGCAGTTCAGCTCAGTCTACCCGAGCCTCTGTGCCTCTCATGGTCTCTCCCCCTTACCTGGCTTTGTCTGTGTCAGGACGTGGAGAGCAGGGGAATAAGCACACGCTATGGGCAGGTGTCTTGTGTGCCCACTCTAGGGTCCTACTGTGGTCAGACTGGAATTAGGAGACAGGGAACTCGGATTCTGGGGAGCTGGGCTCTTGCATCTCTCTTCCTGGCTAAGCAGGAAGGAGGTGAACTGCCCCAGGCCTGGTTTCTATGTGGCCTTTCCACACCAGCTCTCTGGTAGGGCTGATGTCCAGGTGCCCATGAGCAGCCTAGGCTGCTAGTGGCAGTGACCTGTGTGTGGGAGCATCTGGGGGCCGCACAACGGTCATCATCACAGGCAGGCTTCCCTGGGAGCTGGATGGTCGCCACCCTCTCCAGAGTTCCAGTGCCCCTTCCCAGCCACTGTCGGCATGTTTGTGGGCACCTAGTGATGACACAGCCAGAGCCCCACATGGCTTGCAGACAGGACCTGGAGCTGAGGGGCTGACCTGCTGAGTGGGGGCCCGAGGATAGCTCTGCCAAAAGTCACTAGGACCTGACCAGTGCCACTTCCGTCCACACTCTCCAAAAGGGCAAAGCTCTGAGAGGAGACTGAGGGCTTGTCCTTCCCCACAGTGGGGCCGACCTGCTGGCTGTCAACACTGATGGGAATATGCCCTACGACCTGTGTGAGGATGAGCAGACGCTGGACTGTCTGGAGACGGCTATGGCCAACCGGGGTGAGTGCAGCCCTGACTCCTTGCCCACGCTGAGTGGGTGTGGGAGCAATCACTGAGCCTGCTGCCTGGCAGGGGTCACCCAGGACAGCATCGAGAGTGCCCGGGCCTTGCCAGAGCTGCACATGCTGAATGATATCCGGAGCCAGCTGCAGGCAGGGGCTGATCTGGATGCCCCTCGGGACCACGGAGCTACTCTGGTGAGGACTTGGTTAAGCCAGACAATAGTGGGGGGAGACTTCAGGGGGCCCTGCCTGGCACTCAGGGTGGGCGGTCTGTCTGCAGCTCCACATTGCCGCTGCCAATGGGTTCAGTGAGGCCGCAGCCCTGTTGCTGGAACACCGAGCCAGCCTGAGCGCCAAAGACCTGGATGGCTGGGAACCACTGCACGCTGCGGCCTACTGGGGGCAGGTGAGCACTCCTACCAGGCTGGCTGGCCCCGCGAGCTGATCCCGACATCTTCAGCAGCCCGGCTGCCTTCCGACAGGTGCACCTCGTAGAGCTGCTCGTGGCACACGGCGCCGACCTGAACGGGAAGACCCTGATGGACGAGACGCCTCTGGGTGAGCTGCGGACCACCTCCTCCCGGCGCAGGGTGCCAGGGAGGTCGCCCGTGACCCGTCGCCCGCCTCTCTGCAGATGTGTGCGGTGACGAGGAGGTGCGGGCCAAGCTGCTGGAACTGAAGCACAAACACGATGCGCTCCTGCGTGCCCAGGGCCGCCAGCGCTCTCTCCTGCGCCGCCGCACATCGAGCGCTGGCAGCAGGGGGTGAGCCCCGCCCCCCGGGGGCCCCGCCCCGTCCGGAAGGGGAGCCCCGCCCCGTCCGGAAGGGGAGCCCCGCCCCTCCCGGAAGACCCGCCCCCGCCGCCCTGCCCCGCCCTCTCGGCCTGGCCTGGCTCCTGCTGACATCAGCCTGCGTGCCAGGTTCCAGGTGCCCGGTGCCAGCTGCAGCTCGGGGCAGAGTCCGTGGGGCAGGGTGGGGCCTCTCCCCACGGGCACCTTCCTCTCCCGCAGGAAAGTGGTGAGGCGGGTGAGCCTGACCCAGCGCACCAACCTGTACCGTAAGGAGCATGCCCAGGAGGCCATCGTGTGGCAGCAGCCTTCGCTGCAGACCCTCAGCCCGGAGGGTTCGGAGCCTCCCGAGGACCCAGAACCCCCCGCAGCCCCGGAGCCCGAGGACGAGGACCGCCAGACTGATGCTGAGCTCCGGCTGAGCCCGGAGGTGAGCCCCGCCCCTGCAGGCCTGGGCCTGGCACACCCCACGTTGCTCAGCTCATAACGTGAACTTGTGTCCCGAGAGCGGACTTGTGCCCCACCCTCGTGTCTGACCCCATCGCCACGCAGCCCGTGCCAGGGCCAGTGAGGGCCTGGTGTATGCTATCCCTACAGGAGGACCCTGAGGCTGCCAGACCACTGAATGGCCGAGTGGGGACCGCCCCGGGAAGGCACCTGTACTCCAAGCGCCTGGACCGCAGCGTCTCCTACCAGCTGAGCCCCCTGGAGAGCGAAGCCCCAGATGGCCTGGTTAAGGCCAAGGCCCATCACACACTGGCAGAGCTGAAGCGCCAGCGAGCTGCCGCCAAGCTGCAGCGGCCTCTGCCTGAGGGGCCTGGGATCCCGGAGTCTTGCCCTGCTGAGGATGCCCAGAGCCCCCAGCCCCAGGGAGGCACCAGGACTGGTGGAGACCCACCTTTGCTCAGGCTCACAGCCCCCTCAGAGGAAGCTCCCCTGGAGAAGAGGCCGTGCTGCCAGCTCATGTGAGGGCCGTGCGTGCCACCTGCAAGTGGCTGCCTCAGGGCCTCTGTGATGGAGACCCCCATGTGTGCTGCTCCTCAGCTGTGGCCCCAGCAGCCACGGCTGGGCCTGGAAACAGAGCATTGACATGTGACTATTGATAAAGGGCTGTTCTGCCGCGTTCCTTGTTGTGTGTCTCAGTGGGGCCACCATCCCACAGTAGGGAATGCATGTTGCCAGGCCTGTCCTGTGAGCACCTGTCTGGGGCCTATAGGTGCAGCCCAGCCCAGCGTGGGATGAGGCCCAGGGCCGGCTGGGCCAGAAGTGGGCCCCTTTGCACCCTCCTGTGTCCCTGGAGGCCCTTCTGTCACCTTCCCTGAGAGCAGGGAATTCTGGCAGAACCTTTCCTGGACCTCTGTGCTCCAGGGTCAGCTCTGGCAGATTTTCTAAAAAGGCTCAGTGCTAGAAGCCTCTAGAAGGCCTGTGTCAGGGGCGTTCCCTGCCCTGCTCCTGGGCCTGGCATGCAACCCCAACTCTGGGGCCAGGCTACAGAGGGGCCAGCAGTGGGCTGCTCAGGCGCTGCGCTGGCTGGGCACCGTGTTGGGGCACAGAGATCATTTAGGGGCCTCTCGTGGGCAAGCGGGGGCACTGCAGGCTCATCTCCACGTAAGCCCCCTTTCATGCCTGCTCTCACCAGGTGGCCAGGCTTAGGTCACCACCCTCCCTGCTGTGCAGTGACCCGGCCAGCCCAGCCCCAGGACCGCCTACTCCAAGCATCAGTGGTTGGAGGGTGACCTCGGTACTGGGTGCAGCTGCCCAATGTCTGTCTGCCTCCTTCCTGCCACTTGGGCACAGCTGCCAGGAGGCGGGTGGGGGGCGGTCTCTGCCTAGGCCTGCACCCATATTAACCTGTGCTCCGGCCTGGGTGGCAGAGGAGCAGGCCTGCACAGGGAGACTGAGGTGACCTGCGGTGGACAGTTATCCAAAAGGAGCAAGGTGAGAGCTGGGCCGGCCTCACTCCAGCCCAGCAGCAGAGGAATGGGCCTTATCTGCCCAGCAGCAAGCCCAGTGGGGGAGGGGCAGTCTTCCTCGGGGCTGTGGAGGTGGGGCCCTGGGGGCCTATCAGGGAGCAGCCTAGCTGCCCTTTCTTCCACCAATCAGGAGCCACAGGGAAGCCAGCTCAGGTCACACACCCAGCCACTGCCTAAGTTCCAACCCCCTCCCCCAACAACCTCTACCCAGACTCTGCCTTGGGTCTTGCAAAGCTTTGCTGACCAAGGTCCAACTGAAGGTTCACGCAGCCTTCAGGCCAAGGCCCACAGCCCAAGAGGGGCCAGATGGAGCCCAGTGTCTGAGGTCTTCCTTCCTGCACCCCAGCATTCCTGAGGTATGGGAGACAGGCCCGCTGGCCCAGGCAAAGATGGACCCAGGGTCCAGAGAGGTAGCACAGTGGTTAGGGAGTTTGTCTTGCACCCAGCCAGCCTGGGTTCAATCCCTTGAGCCCACCAGGAGTCATCTCTGAGCACTCCTAGGAGTGACCCCCACCCAGAGGAAAAAGATGAGGGACCCAAGAGGACTAGGTCTGGGTAGTGCTGTGCTTGGGTGGACCTGCAGGTCTGGCTCCCTGCTTCCTGTGCATCATCCTGCCCAGCTCAGCCTACTGCCTGGGTGCCCACCACCACCATCTCAGCCACAGGCTTTGTGTGTCCCTTTCAACTCCGTGCCCCACTGCGGGTCTCTTGCCCGCATGAGAGCTCTGGGCAGGCACTGGGCCTCACCCCTGGCCCCGCCTCCTTCCTCACCCACTTGCCAGGGCTGTGCCCAGACTGTGGGGCGGGGCGCGGCGCTGGCCTCAGCTCCTGGCTCCTGCCCTCCCTGTCAGTGCCTTTGGCTGCAGGGTGCGGGGCAGCCTCTTTCACCTGTGGCCCCTTTCCCTGGCCCTGGTCTCAACCTGCACCTAGCCCCTGAGCCTCCTTCCTGCCTGGTCTGATCAGGGTCATGGCCTTGAGAGCCGGGGACCACAGTCAGGCCACAATGAATGGGCTGAAGGAGAAGGTGCTGACCCTGGAGACCATGAACCCCTGTGTCCGGAGACTGGAGTACGCCGTGCGAGGCCCCATCGTGCTGCGTGCCCAGGAGTTGGAGCAGGAGCTGCACCAGGTAATGCCCTGGGCCCTGAGGCCATGCCCCGTGCCTAGGGTCATTGCCTAAGGCAGTGTCGAGGCTCACTCTCAGGTTCCCCCAGGGTGTGAAGAAGCCCTTCACGGAGGTCATCCACGCCAACGTGGGTGATGCACACGCCATGGGGCAGAGACCCATCACCTTCCTGCGCCAGGTGAGGCCAGGCCCATCCCAGCTACTTTCCTGTTAGCCAGTGCTGGGGTCTCAGTACTCCTTCCTCCCAGGTGCTGGCCCTCTGTGTCCACCCGGATCTCCTCAATAGCCCCGACTTTCCTGAGGACACCAAAAGACGGGCAAAGCACATCTTGCAGGCTTGCAAGGGCCACAGCCTAGGTAAGAGGTCTGCAGGGAACTGCTGCAGGGAACTGCCGCACTCACAGAGGTGAAACAGGGCGGGAGGGAGGCAGTGGGAGTCCTGGGAGGTCATGAGAGACTCTCACTGTCCTCAAATACCCGCCTCGCCCCCATGCCAGGTGCCTACAGTGTCAGTTCCGGCATTGGGATGATCCGGGAGGATGTAGCACGGTACATCGAGAGGCGTGATGGAGGTATCCCTGCGGACCCCAACAACGTCTTTCTGTCCACAGGGGCCAGTGATGCCATCATGGTAGGCTGTGGGCAGCTGGGGGGGTCCCCTTGGTTCCTGGTCTGCCACCAACCTCGCACCCCTCCCCTACCCCTGCAGACAGTGCTGAAGTTGTTGGTGACGGGCGAGGGACGCCAGCGCACAGGCGTGCTGATCCCCATTCCGCAGTACCCGCTCTACTCTGCGGCGCTGGCCGAGTTCAATGCGGTTCAGGTGGACTACTACCTGGACGAGGAGCGCTCGTGGGCCCTCGACGTGTCCGAGCTGCGCCGGGCGCTGCATCAGGCACGGGAGCACTGCAACCCGCGGGCGCTCTGCATCATCAACCCTGGCAACCCCACCGGTGTGCCCCCCCCACCCAGCCTAGAGTCCCAGCCTAGAGTCCGAGTTCCCTGCCCCCCTCTCCCCGGCTGACCCACACTTGCTGTGTCCCCCGCGTGCAGGGCAGGTGCAGACCCGCGAGTGCATTGAAGCTGTGATCCGTTTCGCCTTCGAGGAGAGGCTTTTCCTGCTGGCCGACGAGGTGTGCGGGGCTGCGGGGAAGGGGAGAGGTGGGTAGTGCCCGTATCCCCAGCCCATGACGCGCATTGTCCGTCCAGGTGTACCAGGACAACGTGTATGCCGAGGGCTCTCAGTTCCATTCCTTCAAAAAGGTGCTCATGGAGATGGGGCCGCCTTACGCGACGCAACAAGAGCTGGCCTCCTTCCACTCCATCTCCAAGGGCTACATGGGCGAGTGAGTGCGGCGGGTGGGTTGACAAGCGGGGACGCGGGCTGCACTGGACCGGCTGGACCCACGCTCGCCTCGCAGGTGCGGGTTCCGTGGTGGCTACGTGGAGGTGGTGAACATGGACCCCGCAGTCCAGCAGCAGATGCTGAAGCTGATGAGCGTGCGGCTGTGCCCTCCCGCGCCGGGCCAGGCTGTGCTGGACATGGTGGTCAGCCCGCCCGTGCCCTCCGATCCCTCTTACCCGCAGTTCCAGGCGGTGAGTAGTGGGGGTGGTAACGCGGTCGCGAGGGGGGAAGGGGCGACGGCCGCCCAGCTCTGGCCTGACGGAACCTTCCTTGTGTGACCACAGGAGAGGCAGGCGGTGCTGGATGAGCTGGCGGCCAAGGCCAAGCTCACCGAGCAGGTCTTCAACGAGGCTCCTGGCATCAGCTGCAACCCGGTGCAGGGAGCCATGTACTCGTTCCCGCGCGTGGAGCTGCCCCCACGCGCCGTGCAGCGAGCTAAGGTCGGCGGGGGCGGGGCCTTCGCGGGTGGGGCGGGGCCTTCGCGGGGAGGGGAGGGGCCTTCGCGGGCGGGGCGGGGCCTTCGCGGGGAGGGGCGGGGCCTGCACGTGAGCGGGGCCCGACCCTGACCGCCCTGCTGCCCCAGGAGCTGGGCCTGGCCCCGGACATGTTCTTCTGCATGCGCTTGCTGGAGGAGACCGGCATCTGCGTGGTGCCGGGCAGCGGCTTCGGGCAGCGAGAAGGCACCTACCACTTCCGGTGAGTCCCGCCCCTGACCCCCTCCTGCAGTCCCTGGCCCGGCGCTTGGCGCTTACCTCTCGCCCCCGCCTTAGGATGACCATTCTGCCCCCCATGGAGAAACTGCGGCCCCTGCTGGAGAAACTGAGCCAGTTCCACGCCAAGTTCACCCGGGAGTACTCCTGAGCCTGCACCCAGGACTGCTGGACCCTGTACTGACCAGGGCCCGGGGCATCTCTGAGCCCTTAGACTTGTGCAGAGCTGCGCCTTGCCACTTGAGGTTCCAATAAAGCTGAGACTATAAACCTCTAGGAGACTGTTCATTCCTTGTGCCCTCTAACTGCTTGCCCCATTACCTCTGTAGCCCCCAGTCCCAAGTAGAGGAGTGGCCAGGAAGGGTCCCCACTGAGCCCCCTGCATACCTGATAAGACCCCAGTTGGGAAGACTGGTGTGTGTGAGACTGTGAAGTCCTGTCTATGACTGAGCCTGTGTGAGATCTGAGACATGGGATTGTGTAGAGTGGCTGGCTGTGAGGGACACTGGGGGGCTGTGGGACAGGGCTCTACGCCGCCAGCACCTCCTCAAGGACACCCCAGAACCGTAGGGGATGGGGCTTAATAGACACAGGGGAGGGGGCCCTGGGTGAGGTCTGTTCTCTTCCGTACAGGAGTGTTGAGCCAGAAGATGGAGTGGGCACAGGGAGACCCTCGGGGCTCAAGGAGAAAGTCCTAGTCTCCTGGTAACTGGGCAGATGGTGCCCACCCAGGGCTATTGCAGGAGCAGCTGTGCCGAGCAAGAAGGGGAACAAGGATTGGCCCCCTGGCAGCCATGATGCTGGACTGTGTGTGGGAGAGGCTCTGATGAGGAGGCAATTCCTGGGAGCAAAGGGAAGAACCCCAGGAGGAAGTGCCAGACATCTAGCTGAGTGGGTGGGCAGCCCTGTGTCCTGCCTCGTGGCACGTGCACCAGACACCCTGGGGTCACTTCCTGGGGCCCTGATGCAGGCATTGTACAGGTGAGGAAACCGGCCCCCAAAGCATGAGCAGATCTATCCAGTGGCCTCTGCAGCAGGAGGAGCGTGGGGGCTCCAGGGCTCCTTCAGGGCCAGCCATCTGTCCATGCCCTGGGCAGCAGATACCCTGCAGGAGCCCCTGACACTTCGTGATCTCCTCTTAGATGGCCTCTCCGCCCTGCTTGGCCTGGTCACCGCGCACGGGAGGCATATCTGGCAGCATCCTCTGCACACACCTGCGGGGCCTGGGCGGGTCGCGCAGGGAGCAGGGCCCGGCCCCAGTGCCCAGCGCGTGCCGGAGCTCAGCGGCCCCGGGTGGTGCTGCAGCGTCCGATCTGGCCAGCGGGGGCGCCCGAGGGGGACCGACAGACGCTCTGGCCCGCCGGGCTGCGCACTCTATGCCCGGCCCGCCTCCTCGCGGCGCTAACGCCCGGGTCCCCGGGCTGGCGCCCGACCGTCCCCGCCCCTGCGCCATGTGTGACCCCTGACCTGGCCGGACCCCAACAGGATCCGCTCTACCTCCCGGAGAGGGGCCTGCAGCCCCATGGCCGCCACGCACGGGAAGCTGCTGCTGCTGGCCGGCCTGTACCTGGTGCAGGGCCTGCCCTACGGACTGCAGTCCGGCCTGTTGCCCGTGCTGCTGCGGGCCCGCGGCCTGTCCCTGACGCGCGTGGGGCTGGCCAAGGTGCTGTATGCACCGTGGCTGTTCAAGCTGGTGTGGGCGCCACTGGTGGACACCCGGGGCACGCCGAGGGACTGGCTGACCCTCAGTACAGCCGCCCTGGGCCTGGTGTGTGGGCTGCTGGCCGCCCTGCCCCCAGCTGAAGCGGGACCCACGGGACTGTGGGCCGCGCTGGCCGGCCTGCTGCTGCTGCTGCTGAACCTGGGTGCTGCCGTGCAGGACGTGGCTCTGGACACGCTGGCCGTGCAGCTCCTGGAACCAGCGGAATTGGGGCCGGGTAACACAGTGCAGGTGGTGGCGTACAAACTGGGCTCAGTGCTGGCAGGGGGCGGCCTGCTCGCCCTGGTGCCCACTCTCTCCTGGCCACTGCTCTTTCTGTTCCTCGCTGTTACATATTGGCTGGCTGCTGCCCTGGCCTGGGCCGCCCCAGCCCTGCAAACACTGGCCACACTGCAGCCCAAGGACCGGCCCCTGTGCCGCCTGCGCAGCCTGCAGGAGGTGTTGGGTGTGCCCGGGACCCTGTGGATGGCAGGCTTTGTGCTCACATACAAGCTGGGTGAGTGTGGCCTGGAGCTGGGCAGCGGGTAGGTGCCTGGGAGGCTGGCATTCCCTGGCACTGACCTGACAGAGGCCAGCTCCGCCCTGGACCTTGACCTCAAAATATCCAGGGAGCAGGCCCAGGGCAGGCCAAGGCTGCTCACGCTCCCCGGCTCCCTGCAGGTGAGCAAGGTGCCAGCAGCCTGTTCCCGCTGCTTCTGCTGGATCGTGGTGTCTCTGCCCCTGAGCTGGGACTGTGGAATGGAGTGGGTGCTGTGGCGTGCTCCATCACTGGCTCATCCTTGGGAGGTGCCCTGCTTGCCAGGCACTGGTGAGCATTCCCACCTGCCCCCATCCCCATCCTTGCCCCCTGCCCTGTACTCCCAGACCCCAGCACTTACTCTCTCTAGGCAGCCGCTGTCCCTGCTGAAGTCGGTACTGAGAGTCCGTCTTGGAGGCCTGGTCTGCCAAACTGCCCTGCTCTTCCACTTGGACACACCAGGGGTCGATCTGGGCCCTGGCACAGTGCCCAGAGGTGAGGGACTGACTGCTTGGCAGGGGTGTGGGTCTGGGGGCCTGGGCCCTACGTCCCGTTAACTTCCGTCCTCCCAGAGGCAGCCTTACTGAGCCTGTGTCTGCAGCACTTCCTGGGGGGCCTGGCCACCACTGTCGCCTTCACTCTGATGATGCGCTGCAGCCAGCGGGCACCCAGTGTCCTGCAGGTGAGTGGGGCTGCAGGGGCTGCGGGCAGGTTCCATGCAGACCCTGACCAGACTCCTCCCCCAGGCCACACACTACAGCCTCCTGGCCACCTTGGAGCTCCTGGGGAAGCTGCTGCTGGGCGTGCTGGCCGGAGCCCTGGTTGACTGGCTGGGCCTGCAGCTCTGCTTCTCGTCCTTCCTTGCCCTCACGGTTGTGCCCCTCCTGCTCCTGGGCCTGGTGCCCTCCACCGTGGCCTGACCCGAGCTCAGCAGCTGGCCTGGTCAATAAAGCTGGGCCTGCCAGTGCCTGCTGTCCTCAGCCTGGTGACGATCCCTGCCAAGACTCCTGAGGGCGACTTGTGGCAGCTTTTATTACACACCGTGGCCCCTCCCCGCACCCCACTCCTGGCACTCAGCGGCCCCACGCCAGGACTTCCTTGGTGGCCAGCTGCATCAGGACGTGGAAGTTGAGGTGCAGGTATTTTCTCCAGAAGCGCCGGTCCCGCCCGTACACCTCGGCTGGGTAGCAAGGGCTTCCTGGGGGCAGGAGAAGCAGCTTGATAAGGCGGCCGGGGCTGCTCCCGCCTGCCCGAGTCAGAGCGGAGATACTGTGGGGGGGGGGCTCACCAATGCCATGCAAGATGCGGGCCACCGCCCTGCCAGAGAACTGCTGCTCTGGCCATGAGGACAGGAGGTGGCGGATGTCACGGCAGACCTGGTCCTCCCAATCTCCGAGCTGCAAGTGGGCAGAAGTTAACAGCTGCCCCTTCCACGCCTGAGGTGTGGCCGGGCCTCGCAGGGGTGGACGCACCGGAACTTGCCCTGGCTCTGGGCCAGGGCCCTGCTCCTCTTCCGAAACCCCCGGCCCCTTTTCCTCAAAGTAGCAGCTGAGTAGGGCCTTGAGTCGGCTGCTGCGCTCCTGGTTGGGCTGCTCCAGGCACGGCCCACAGCTGGGAAAGGCCACGCTGCGGGGCAGGGAGGGGGCTCAGTCCGGCGGCCGCCAATGGGTAGCCCACTCCTGCCAAGCCCTTCCTCTCCCACACCTGTGGAAGGTCTGGAAGGTGCGACGCAGCCGTGATAAAGCCTCCTGCTCCCGCGCCTGCACTCGGCCAAACAGGAAGCTGCAGATGTGGTCTGTCTCCTCGGGGCTCAGGTCCCCCCGGCTACGCAGGCAGAAGGCCAGCTGCCTGAATTCCACCAGCACGCCAGTGCCCTGGGATGCCCCTGCCAAAGAGCATGTCAGACACAGCGGGTGAGGGAGCAGGGCTGGCTCGTCCTGTCTAGGGGTGGGGGAGGCACACCTGTCCCCAGCTCGGGGTCCCGCTGCAGTTGCCGAAGCTCCCGCCGCACCAGGCACAGCTCCCAGCCCATGGAGTCTGCCAGCGCCACCATGTCAAAGTCCAGAGATACACCCCCCCCAGGTGTGCTCTTGGGCGTCTGACGGGCCACACAGGCGGCTAAGACCAGGCACCTATGAGAGTGGGCGGGGTGGTCAGCAGCAGCCCTGGTCCTCTGTCCCTGTGCCCTGCGGAGGACAGCTGCTTACCTGCGAGCCAGGGCCTGCAGCTGGGCGGGGCCCCTGGGGCACTGCAGGTGGCAGTGGGAGTAGGTGGGAGCCTGCAGCTCCACCCAGTGCTGGGGGTGCAGCTCGAGGTAGCTGAGCAGGGTCTCAATGGCTGGAGGAGGGCAGAGTCAGGGTCAGAGCAAGGCTTGGGAAGGGGCCCGGGGGGTGCTGCCCTCAGGCCCATGTCCGGACTCACCCTCCTCAGGCATGTCCAGGGCCTGCACCATCGGCTGCACCGGGAGGGCCCGCATGTGGCCTGGGCACCGAGCTGCCTGTGACTCGCTGGCTTGCTCCACCTTCTGCAGGGACCCTGGCTCTGGCGCGCTCCGCTGGCGGCAGCGGCAGGGTGGGAAGACACTCTGCACCAGCCTCTTCACCGCCAGGAAGTCGGTGCTCTGGGCGTGCACGTGCCTGCGGAGCTCCTGCAGGTCCTTGCCCTGCATCAGTGAGTGGGAAGGTGTGAGGGGGCTCGAGCCTGACCGGGCGAGGCTGGGGCCACACCCACCTGAGGCTGCAGGAACAGGTGACACTGGGCTGGCTGTCCGTCGCGCCCAGCTCGGCCCACAGCCTGCACGTAGCTCTCCAGGCTTGAGGGCAGCCCCAGGTGCAGGACGGCCCGCACGTCTGGCCGGTCCAGGCCCATCCCGAAGGCCACTGTCGCCACCACCACCCGCAGCTGGCTCCCCATGAAGGCCTGCTGTACCCGCCGCCGCTCGCGGCTGCTCATGCCTGCGTGGTAGGCTTCTGCTATGGTATCCAGGACTTGGCCTGCAGGGAAGAGGCAGGTGGGAGACCTGGCCTGTGCTGGGCAGCCCATGGGGGCCTGCTCTGAGCTTTGGCCTCACCTCTAGGCCCTCGGATCCCAGGCAGACAGGTGCGGAGCAGCGCAGCTACCCGCTCTGTGTCCTCACGCCTGTTGCAGTAGACAATGACAGAGTCCAGGGCACGGAAACGGTCACTCCGCAGCAGTGTCACCAGCGCCTGCAGGGGACAGGGTTCAGCATGGGCAGCAGGAGTCCAGGGCTCCAGGGGCCACACAGTGCCCTACCTGATCTGGGTCTCTGTCCATGGACACAGAGAGCTGCAGGTTGCTGGGGATGGCAGTGAGCCCCTGGGCCAGGCCGCTGGCTACACCCAGGTGCTGGGCCACGTCGAGGGCGGTGCTGCGCGTGGCTGTGGCTGTGAGACCCAGGAAGGTGTGCACGCCCACCTGCTCCCGCAGTACCTGTGGGGGGGGGGGGGGGAGGAGGATGCTCAGCCTTGTCTCTCCCCAACCTGCCCACGTGGACCCCACCAAGCAGACCCACCTTGGACCCACCTTGCAGACACGCAAATAGGAGGGCCGGAAATTGTGGGACCACTGTGAGAGGCAGTGGACTTCATCCAGGCAGGCAAATGCCACCGCAGGCAGCTGGGGGAGGCAGGCCAGGCCCCCAACCAGTGCCTCGGGTGACAGCATCAGCACATGCAGCTGGGCAGCCTGGGCCTGTGGCAACAAGGTCAGGAGGTCCGGATGGAGCAACCTCCTGGCACCCAGCCAGCTCACAGGTCAGCAGCTCACTCACCTTCTTTAGTACAGACTCCCGCTGTTTCCTGGTCATGCCGGAGTGGATGCAGGCAGCCTTCAGGCCTGGGGGCAGGCCAGACACCTGTGGGTTGAGGGACACTGTCGAGGACCAGACCCTGCACCTTGACCCGTCCACCAGGCCTGGATGGTCTAGGGAAGCTGTTGTCTGCACAGACCCAGGGGACACTGCGGGGCACATGTGTGCGGGGAGGGAGGGGAGGAGAGGTAGGCCCATCCTGCGGTCGGCCCCTGGCTTCCCACACTGCCCAGCTTGGGTAGGGATCAGGGCCTAATCCACACCTGGTCGTCCATGAGTGACAGGAGGGGCGAGACAACCAGCGTGAGGCAGGGGCTGCGTTGAAAGTACAGCAGTGCAGGAAGTTGGTAGCACAGGGACTTGCCGGCCCCAGTGGGCAGCACCAGCAGCGTGGACATGCCTGGGGGGGTGGGGAGGGCAGAGGGTCAGCAGGGCTAGTCGGTGGCCCAGCCTCAGTGGGCTCTGCTGCTCTCCTCACCACACAGAATCCGCATGATGGCCTGTTCCTGCCCCGGGCGGAAAGCCTGGTGTCCCAGATGGTGCAGAGCCTGGAAGACCTCGGCCGGCGTCTCTGTGGAAACACACAGGTCAGCATGGCTCCCAGGACTCCTGTGCAGGCTCCTGGCTGTGGGGCTGGCTCACCTGGCACCTGCCCTGAGGGTGCTGGCTGGTAGAATGGTAGCATGGGAGATGAGCAGGGTGTTTCAGGCAGGGGTCTCTGTGGGGACCCTGGACACTGTGGGCCGCTGGTTTCTGCGTCTGCTGAAGGCCGATGGGAGAGTGGGTGGGAGCTCCAGTTGGGAGTTGCTCGCTCCCTTCTCCTCCCACCCGGCTCACCAGGGCGCTGGCAGGAGACAGGGCTTGTGTCAGGGGTGACCGTCTCCATCATGGCCAGTGTCTGCGACTCGGCCTCGCCACCCTCTTGGGAGACCAAGGCTGCTTCTGGGTCAGAGAGAGGGAACTGGGAGGTCAGAGGGGAGCTGTACAGCAGCCTGGCCCACACCCCGACCCGGGTGAAGGCAAAACCCACCTTGCTGGGGACACCGAGATCCCAAGTGGCCAAACTGTCCACACTTAAAGCAAGAGTCCTGGCTCATGGGCCTGCGCCGACCCCTGCCAAGACCTTCTTTCTTTTGCCATTTCTGCTTCCATACCTGGAAGGCCCCACAGACAAGTCAGGTGGCAGGAGCCAGCAGGGGTCAGGAGAACACTTGCTGCCCATCTTACCTGCCGGCGGAGGAGTCTGCCACGCAGGGCTGGGCCCCGCACATAGCGCTTATGCTTCAAGTTTAGCCGTACGTAATTGCCCCGATTGTGCCTGGCGGGCCTAGAATGGATGCATAGAAGAAATGCACAGGTGAGCCTTGCCCAAGGCACTGTTCACCCAGGCTCATTTCAAGGGGTCCCCCTGGGAGGTGGCAGGTGTGGCACCTGGGAGCTGTGTGTGCAGGAAGGGTTGGGGCCTGCGTGGGCACCCCAGGGCTGGCTTCATCCATCAGTTCAGGTCCAGTAGAGTGAGTGGGGAACCCTCCTGCGCCCTGGTCTTCCTGAGCCCCCGTAGGCTCCCTGCTCCATCTCCTCTTCTTGTCTTCAGTTTTGCAGGGTTGAGAGGTCACCGTCTGCAAGACTGGAGCCTCCCCAGTCAGTGCCGGCATTTCAGGGCCAGTGTGGGGAGCGGAGATTGAAGGCTGGGATGTTTTGGTGTCCGGGCCAAGCTGGGATTCCCTGTCACACCGCTGCAGCCAATCGGGATCCAGGGAGCCAAGCCTCAGGCTCAGGGATGCCCGCAGCTGCTCTGGTCGGCCTGGCTTCGGCTGGGATCTGGAAGGCTGCGGGGGGCCCCTGAGGAAACCAGCAGGCTCTGTGTGTGGTGGTTCTGGGGAGGACAACTTGGATGAAGTTCCTGGTAGAGACAGGGACTGGTGGCCCACGGCTGGCCTTGCCTGGCAGGGGGAGGTGAGATCAACAAGCACAACTCAGCCCCAGACTGTAACAGACCTTAAGACCCACCACTTCCCTCCCCACGGCAGAGCCAGGTGAGGATGAGGAGCAGGCACGGACAAAGAGGCCGGGCTGGCCCTTCTGCAGGCACTGCCAGGCCTGGAGAGAAAGGAGTGTGCAGAGCCTGGCAGCGGTGGTTGGAGCTCGGGCGGGGGAGAAGGCAGCTCTAGACAAGGCTGAAGGCTCTGCTGCTGGTCCTCCCCCCTTACCTGAAGGGCCGCCTGGAAGTTAGCCTTGAGCCTTTTCCCATAGTCCGGTGGTAACCCATGAGATCTGGATCCTGGAGCCCGACGGGGCCTCTGGGTTGCAGCCCTATTCAGGTGGGAACCCCAAGAGCTGGGCGCAGACCCCTGCTAGAAGAGAGGGGTCCAGCCAGAGGAAGGGTGGACTGCGGGCAGACGTGCCTTCAGCCCCCGTGCTACCCTCCTCCACCCCACACAGGTCTATCCTATGCTCTGTGCCCACAGGGGCTTGATCTGCTCCTCCTCCGTTCCGACCCCACTGCTACCTCTGCAGGGGCCGGAAGCGGCTGCTGGGGATCGTGGGGTCCGACGCCGCCGGCACGGCGCGAGGTCTTCTTCAGGGCGCGGTATTCTCTGTAGAGCGCTGTCGGCGGCCGAGAGTGCGGAGGTAAATCGGGGCCCCACGTCCCTCCCAGTTCCCCGACCCGCGCCTGCGCTCACCTCGGGTCTCCTCGGGCGCCGCGTCCACGTCCTCCTGCGAAGCGAGCGCGTCAGCCTTGACCAGCCCCGGCCGCCCGCCCACCAGGCCCGCCCCACCCCTCCCTCACCTGGCCCGGCCGCCGTCCGTGTAGCTGCAGGAACGAGCGCTCCCAGCTCAGCAGCTGCTCCCGCACGTCCAAGACGTTCTCCATGGCGCGCTCGTGAACTTCCCGCCAGCCGGGCGCTGCCGCCGCTAGCCAATTAGGGCGCGCGGCGGGGCCGGGGGGCGGGCGGCGTGGTCTGGGCAGTCAATTAGGGCGCGCGGCGGGGCGGGGTCGAGGCCAGGCAGCTCAGGCTGGCCAGCCAACTAGGGCGCGCGGCGGGGCCGGGGGCGGGCGGCGTGGTCTGGGAAGCCAATTAGGGCGCGAGGCGGGGCCGGGGGGGCGGGCGGCGCGGCCGGCCAACCAATCCGCGGGGCGTCGGGGAGCGGCTCGTGGGCGGTGGCACGTCATCCCGGCGCGCCTCGACGCTCGGGGGAGCTGAGCGGGATGCGAGGCGGGGCCGGCGGCGGAGGCAGCAGCAGCGGGGCCGGTGAGCTCGGGCCGCTGCCGGGTCGGGGCCCCGGGCGCCGCCGCCGCACGAGGCGGGCGCGAACGCTCGGCCTGCGCAGCCGTGGGTAGCGGCCGGCCGAGGGAGGGGACCGAGAGGCCTTGGGCCTCACGGTCCGACCCGCCCGGGAAGTGGGATCGAGCGCATCCCGCTGGCCCGGCCTGGGCAGGACAGGGCAGGGCAGGGCGGGGGGACCCTGGGCCCCGCGGGGAGCGTTCTGGCCGACCCCGTTTCCTCTCGCGACAGGTGCTGTCTGCCGTGACCTGTCGCGGCGACGTGTGAGCTGCGCTCGCGAGATTTGGCCACGGGCGGAGCGGCGGTGGGCGTGGGAGGTCCGTGGCTTGGGCGCAGCCGCCCCTTGCCCCTGCTCCGCTACCGGGCTCAAGCCAGGACTCCCTGGCCTGTCAAAACTCAAGGTGTGCTGGGGAGACCGCGCCTGTGGCGACGGGCCAGGCGCACCGTTACTTGGGCAGGAGCGCCTACGGCCAGGTGCGTCCGCAGCGTGTCCGCGGCAGGTTGTCGGTCTACACGGTGCTCGCCTCTGCTCAGTTGGGTTGGATGCTTGACCTCTCAACCCGGCTGGGGTGTGGGAGTGGGGAGCGCAGTAAGTGGGTGCCTCCAGACGCAGCAGTTAGGGCTGGTCAGGAGCCCCACTCACCCTTGCCCTTGTCCCTCCCTGCCGTGCTGCGGGGAACAGCGCCTAGCCCCTGGGAGTCTACCGCCTCTCGGGTATTGGGTTGCTTCTCCAGAGCACCATGCAACTCTGGGTTAAGGGCTTTCAGCAGCGTCTCCTGGGTCTGAGCTGCTTGGATCGAAGCAGTGGACTCTGAAATGCTGGTTGAAGGCTGTTTCCCTGCAGAGACCCCCCACTTCCACACCCCCTCCCCTGCTGGAGCGCGGGGGCTGGGGTTTGGTCTTGCTCTTTCTACTCCTCGAGCTCCTTGTTGGTGCCTGGCAGCTGATTGTGCCATCCCAGTGCATGCAGGGGGCCGTGGCTGGGTGGTGGTCGAGGGGCTCTCCCCTCCACTGAAGGATCCTTCCCTGTAGGTGTCTGCCCACTCTGCCCAGCAACATGCACACACTGCTGTTCCTGAGCACACGGCAGGTGCTCCAGTGCCAGTCGGCCGCCTGTGAGGCTCTGCCCCTTCTTCCGCGAGAGCTTTTCCCCCTGCTGTTCAAGGTGGCCTTCATGGACAAGAAGACAGTTGTGCTTCGGGAGCTGGTCCACATATGGCCCTTCCCGTTGCTCAGCTTTCAGCAACTGCTGCAGGAATGTACTCACTGCAGCCGGGCGCTACTGCTGGAGAGACCCAGCACAGAGAGCATGCAGGCTGTGATCCTGGGACTGACCGCCCGGCTCCACACCCCAGACACCGAGCCCGGCACACAGCCCCTGTGCAGGTATGAGCTCTCAGGGCAGCCTCCAGTCGGGCAGGTGACAAATTAAGAAGGTTCTTAAAAGAGGTTCTAGTTCAATGTTAAGACACAGTGCAGTTTGGGTCAGTGACTTGTCCTGAGGTGGGTGGGTGTGGACTCTGCAGGTTGACCTGTCTTTGCTCTGCCATGCTTGCAGGAAGCACGCACTACGGGTGCTGGACATGACGGGCCTCCTGGACGATGGGGTGGAGCAGGACCCGGGCACCATGAGCATGTGGGATTGCACTGCAGCCGTGGCCCGCACCTGCATCGCCCAGCAGCAGGGCGGGACGGTGGGACCTGGGCTGGGCCCCTTGCCTGTGGAGGTGCGTGTGGACCTGCGGGTGAACCGAGCCTCCTATGCCTTCCTGCGAGAGGCGCTGCGCAGCAGCATGGACAGCCCGCTGCGGCTCTGCTGCCGGGACCTGCGGGCTGAGGACCTGCCCATGCGAAACACGGTGGCCCTGCTGCAGCTCCTGGATGCGGGCTGCCTGCGCCGCGTGGACCTGCGCTTCAACAACCTGGGCCTGCGTGGCTTATCCGTCATCATCCCACATGTGGCCCGCTTCCAGCAGCTGGCCAGCCTGCGGCTCCACTACGTCCACGGGGACTCACGGCAGCCCTCTGTGGATGGTGAGGACAACTTCCGCTACTTCCTTGCCCAGATGGGTCGTTTCACGTGTCTGCGGGAGCTCAGCATGGGTTCCTCTCTCCTCTCAGGGAGGCTGGACCAGCTGCTCAGGTGAGTTGGCCCCACTGCTGCCCCTCCTCCCTCCACGAGACCCTTCCCTGTTGCCTGACTCCTGTGTCCCCTGCAGCACCCTGCAGAGCCCCCTGGAGAGCCTAGAGCTGGCCTTCTGCGCTCTTCTGCCCGAGGACCTGCGCTTCCTGGCACAGAGCCCCCATGCTGTCAACCTTAAGAAGTTGGATTTGAGTGGCAACGACCTGTCTGGCAGCCAGCTGGAGCCCTTTCAAGGCCTGCTGCAGGCGGCATCTGGGACACTGCTGCATCTCGAGTTGACCGAGTGCCAGCTTGCTGACACGCAGCTGCTAGCAACACTCCCCGTGCTGATTCGTTGTGCCAGCCTCCGCTACCTCGGTCTCTATGGAAACCCGCTGTCCATGGTGGGGCTCAAGGAGCTTCTGAGGGACTCTGCGGCCCAGGCTGAACTACGCACAGTGGTGCATCCCTTTCCTGTGGACTGCTATGAGGGTCTTCCCTGGCCACCCCCTGCCTCTGTGCTGCTGGAGGCTTCCATCAATGAAGAGAAGTTTGCCCGGGTGGAGACTGAGTTGCATCAGCTACTGCTGGCCTCTGGCCGCGCCCATGTGCTCTGGACCACAGACATCTATGGGCGCCTGGCTGCTGACTACTTCAGCCTGTGACTGCAGGTCCTGGGGTCCAGGTGTGCCAGAGGCCCTCCCTCCTGGAGGTGTTTGGTTTCCTTATTCCCGTTGTCTGAGCCTGCCGTTCTACCCTGACTCTTGGCTGGATCCCAGGTTCTCCTTCACAGCCCGGCTTGGTTCAGCTGCTGTTTGTGGCCTTCTGCTGTCGTCGTCCTTTCTGTGGAACCTTCCTCACGTATCAGCTGCGAGCGCTTCTCTGGGCTCAGCGTAAAGGCGGGTAGCCCTGCGGTAGGCGTAGGGACAGGGACTGGCTTCCACAAGGATTGGGTCCCAGCTCTCAGGCTCCCTGTTACGGTTCTCCCTCCCTGGCATCTATGACACTGCCTGTGTGCTGGGCGTTTGGGACCAATGTGCACAGTGTTTGGAACTTCGGTTGTGCTGCTTTTTGTATGGCCTTAAGCGACTTGCCCCTCCCCTTTTCGCTAACAGACTGGGGTGGGTGTCGCCCAGGCCCTTGCGCATTCAGCGCGGAATGGGGCGGGGTGGGGGAGGTGTTTGCTCCCGGGCTCAGTGGGGTGTGGGGACCTACCCTCGCCGCCCTTCGTCCACGCCCGGACCCCACCACACACGGCTCACCCACACTGCACAGCTTCCACCCTTTACTGAGCCTGCGCGAGCCGCGTGATCCGCGCGCGCCCGCCCATCCGCCACGTCATCCGCGCGCGCCGCCCTCAGCAGCGCAGGTCGTAGGCCCGCGGCGGAGGCGGCGGCGGCGGCGGCGGTGGCGGCCGCCGCCCTCGCGCGGCCTCGGCCGCCGCCCCCTCGGCGAACAGGGGCTTGGAGCGGTCGATGACGAACATCTCGTGGCCGCGCTCGCCGCGGAGCTCCTCGAGCTGCGCGAAGGTGCAGGGCCCGTCCGCGTAGTCGCTGACGAAACTCGCGCCCTGGCCCGGTGGCGCCCGCGCTTTGGTCCCGCGGCGCCGCCGGCGGCAGATGGCCGCGGCCAGCAGCAGCGCCGTGAGCGCCAGCAGCGCGATGGCGGCCGCCACGGCCGTCTGCGTGGCCAGGCCCAGCGCGCGGAAGGCCATGCTGCCCGCTTCACGCGGCGGCGCCCGGGGCCCAGGGCCCGCGGGCGCGGGCGGCGGCGCCTGCGACGCGTTGACCCGCAGCTGGAAGGGCGCGCGGGCCGCGCCGCCCGCGTTGGCGGCCTCGCACTCGTACCTGCCGGCGTGTGCCGGCGTGACATTGGTGAGGAACAGCATGCCGCTCCCGGTGTCGGGTGCCCCCGGCCCGCGCTGGCCCTGCGCGCGGCCGGCCGGCGGGGCCTGGGTTCGCCGCGGCCCCTCGCGAGGCTGGGCCACCTTCCTCCAGGTCACCAGCGGCTGCGGGTAGCCGGAAGCCTGGCAGGCCACCCGCAGGTCCTCACCCAGGTTGGCCGTCACCTCCAGCGGCTCCACGTGCACGGAAGGCGGGATGCAGATGAGGCTGCTGCCGGAGACCTCCAGCAGGCTCTGCAGAGCCAGGCGCGGGGGCTCGGCACACACGATCTTCTTGTCCCTGGAGCTGAGCAGCCGCTGGCCCCCCGCCTTGATCCAGACTCCCAGCCAGAGCAGGGCGCAGTCACAGCGCCAAGGGTTCTCTGTGGGCAGAGCGGCGGTGGGCTTGCTGACTGTCCCGGGGCCCAGCCCCGCGCAGCTTAACTGGCTAGCTGGATCAGAAGCCCCTTCCCTTGCTCACAGAGTGGGGGGCCCTGGCATCTCTCGATTGACCGCACCCTTCCATTCACTTCCCTCTGATTCGCTTCTGCTTCCTGTCCCCACTCTGTCGGATCCAGGAAAAGCCTCTGCTCTTTGTTTGGAGTGAACCCAGCAGCATTAAATCCTCTCCTATGCCACCTGACTATCTGAGGTATTACCTCCTGGAGATAATCAGTGTCCGCTTCTCCTCCTCGTGGCCAAAAGTGCAAACCCCTCCAATCTGCCCAGCAGATTCAGGGATCCTCCTCTTTCTTACTTGCCTTCCTAAGAAGAGCCCCTGAGCTGCCTTCCCTCAACCCTATTCCTAGCCGACCCAGTTGCAGTGGTGCCGTGGCCCTGAGCACCGCACAGTGTATGCCCGGGCCCTTTTGCCATTGCCACCAAAGCCTCGTGGAGCCCCCTTACACCCTGTAAGTGGTACCTGTGAGGCGTAGGACCTGCAGGCTGGCCAGCGGCTGCAGGACCTCACGGCTGATGGTGCCCAGCTGGTTCCTGCTAAGGTCCAGCAGTGCCAGTGAGGACAGCCCACTCAGTGCCTGGTCTTCCAGCAGCTCGATGCTGTTTTCCTGCAGGTGCAGCTCCTGCAGTCGCTGAAGCAGGGACAGGAGTTGAGGGAAAAGGGCCCCGGGCAACGGATTCCCTCCTTCCCAGGGCAGGCTGGCTGGGATACTTTTCTTCCTGTTGCATGCCCAGGAGGCCCCCTACCCTTGATGCCCCGATTCTCACCGGCAGGTGCAGGAAGGTGAAATCCAGCAGTTGCACCAGTTGGTTACCAGCCAGGTAGAGGATGCGCAGTTGGCTCAGACCAGCAAAGGCGCCCGTGCGTAGGCCCTGCAGCCTGTTGCCAGTGAGCGCCAGCTCCAGGAGGCGGGGCTGCGTCCGGAATGCTCCGGGCTCGAGGGCACGCAGGCTATTGTTGTGCAGGTAGAGGTGGCGCAAGGCTGCGAGGGGCGCCAGGACACCAGGCTCTAGGTGCTCAATGCTGTTGTCTTGCAGGAACAGTGTCTGAAGCAGGAGGGAAGGTGGGTGACTGCGGTGCCCGGCGAGGTTCTCCCTCTGATGGTGCTAACCCCGTCCTCCTGTCTCAGAATCTCAGCTCATACAGGACCCACCTGTGTCCCGGCAGGGATTCCAGACGGGACAGCGCGCAGCCTCAGGGCACCACACTCCACAGTAGCGCTGTAGCAGCGACAGTTGTTGGGGCAGCCCACAGCACAAGGCGGGGACCTGGGCAGTGGCAGCAGGAGCAGCAGCAGGAAGGCGGGTGCCCCTGGGGCCATCTCCCACGGGATCTCCGGGGGGGCAGTCCCTCCGCGGCCTTCCCCCTTCCGGGTCGCCCCTGGGACACGCCTCCTGAAACACAGGTTGGCAAGCCTGCCCCCAACCTGCGAGCAGGCAGCATCAGCATGTGGGAGGGACTGCCTGGTGTCTGATAGCTCAAAGATCCATTCAAGAATATCGTCTAGTTCCGTTTTTTTTTTCTTTTTTGGGTCACACCCGGCGATGCTCAGGGGTTACGCCTGGCTCTGCACTCAGGAATTACGCCTGGCGTTGCTCAGGGGACCATATGGGACGCTGGGGATCGTACCTCGGTCAGCCACGTGCAAGGCAAATGCCCTACCCGCTGTGCTATTGCTCCAGCCCCCTCTAATTTCGTTCTTACAGAGACAGCCTCATAGGATTGAGGATATCAAATCCCATATGAAACCCAGAAAGTTTCAGGGCTACTGCTCAGTTCCTTGGGGGAGAACCACTGGCCTGTCTCCTTACCCTTTCCCTGCCAGGATCAGGAAAGGCTGTGCTGCCTCATATATCAGCCACCGGCCACTCCTGGGACTGAAGGTATAGCCAGACAGTTTATGGAGTTGGGAGCACAGAACACGTGGGGGTGAGGACTGGGGCCAGGTCTTCAGGCACAGGCTACAAGGGGAAAGATGCCAGCAAGCACATCCCTTTCCAACAGGGCTGCTCTGTGGAGGCCTCCCTGAGGCCTTGCAAGCCAGAGACTGGGGCAGATGCTCCTTTTGATGCTTCCAGGACAAGTCAAGCTGCAAGTGTTGTCCATTGCTGCCTTTAACTGCCCTCCCCCACCTGGGTCACAGGGAGATCAAAACCCTTTCAGGGTTTGCTGGAATAGCTTAGCTAGAATTGGGATTTAGGAATGACAGTATTGGGGCACACCTGGTAGTACTCAGGCTCCTCCTGGCTCAATGCTTGGGGGTTGCTTGTAGTCTACCAAGCTCTCTAGCCAGAGCTGGGTTCCCCCCTCCCCCAATCTCACATCCAGTGGTGCTCTGGACTTACTCCTGGCTCTGCATTCAAGGCTCAGGGGACCAGTACATGGTATCAGGGATTTTACCTCGGTTGACTGCACCTTGCCCACTGTTTATTGCTCTGGCCATGCGTGTTTTCTCCCTGAACGTATTGGTGAAACTGGTAAGGAGGTGGTAGGAAATGGTCTTCTACCTGGGAGGGCTAGGCAGATCCCTACAGAGGGGCCTGGGGTCCCAAAGGGCTTCAGATGTGGTGTCCCCAGTGGGCTGAGACTGTGAAGGAGTGAATGGCATGCTGGGTTCGTACACACAAGACTGATCCTAGACAGGTGGAAGGCCTGAGGTTAGTCCTGGACGTGTGCCCAGTTCTGAAGATGTAGAACCTGGCCAAGGAGCCAGCCCACCTGGAGACAAGATGAAGTTGAGGGTGTGCCGTGCCGTCCTCAGGCCCCCCTCCAGTGTCTCTCTGCTGATACAGGTGAGTCACCAGGAAAGGGACCCTGTGGTCCTTGCTGTGTGTTTCTGTCTTGTTCTGAAAAGAGTTTTTTTTTTTTTAAATTTTGGGTGGGTGGGTGAGTGCACACCTGGTGATGCTCAGGGGTTTCTCCTGGTTCTGCACTCAGGAAGCACTCCAAGCTGTGCTCAGGAGACTATAGGATGAAAGGGATTTTATCAGGTTGGTCGCATGCAAACAAGTGCCCTACCCTCTGTGCTATCCTCTGGCCCTTGAAAGTCTAACGACTTAGAATCACTAGAGAGGAATCAGGTCCAGCAAAAGTTTTAATGCGATAGTGTTGACCCAGGCAGAAGACCCAGGTATCTCAGGATGTGTGATATTCTCCAGAAGCTGGGAACATGCTCTGGGCCCGGGTTCCAGTTCCTGAGCAGAGGCTGCCGAGGGGTTCTCCTCCCCCGCCTGATGGCAGGGACTCTCCCTCCGGAGGGGAAGGAACGGGCACGCTCTTCGGGACTGGGCACGGCCATTCACACTCACGTCCGTGTACAGAGGGAGGGGCCGGGCCAGGGCGAAGGGGAGGCCAGTTCCCGGATCCTTTAACCCAGAGGGTTCCCCCTAATTCTGCTGGGTATTGTGGACGGCCGCTGTCAGTCCCGGGGCGTCGGGGGCCGGGTGGGGACGTGGAGGCGAGGGGAGGGAGCCCCGTGACGCCGCAGCGCGCGGTCGCCTATGATGTGCCCCGCATCCCACCATAGCGCTGATCGGTCCCCAGCCTGTTCGTGTCCGGGCGTGGTCCCGCCGCCCCCGCCCCCGCCCCCGCCGACCTTGGGTCGCGCGCCAGCTCACCTGACGCTCCCGCGCCGCCGCTCCCCGCCGAGCCCCCTGTGGCCCCGCCAGCTAGCAGCGCCGCGCGGGGAGGAGCTGGTGCCGCTTGCGCACGCGCGCCGAAGCCCTCACGCGGCCGGGCCAGCCGCGGTCAGCGTGGGGCAGCTCGGAGGCCCGCGGTCGCAGGCTGGGCTCAGCCCGGGCCCGCGACCCCGCCCGGGGTCCCACCGCCCCTCCGCCCGCCGCCCGCGTCCGACGGGGCCGCGGCAGCACCTCGGACAGCGGCGCGGGGGCGGGGCGGGGCGCGGGCTCCGGCGCGCACGCGCGCTCGGTCGGGGCGCGTGCGCAGCGGCGCGGGGGGCGCGGAGGCGCGGGGGCGCGGGTCAGGGCCGCTGAGCGGCGAGCAGAGGGGCCAGGTCCATCGTGAGCGCCAGGCGGCGGCCCTGCCAGCGCACATGCGAGGGCTGCGCGGGCTCCCCGCGCGCGTACTCGAAGCAGGCGCTCAGCTCGAAGGCCAGCGCCGAGCTCACCAGGCCCACGCCGCCCGCGCGCTCCGGCGCCGGATGGTACAGGCGCCCGTTGGCGGCCAGGGGCAGCAGGCGCTCGGGCTCGAAGGGCACGGCCAGGGCCTCCCCGCCGCCGCAGTAGGAGAGCCGCGGGGGTCCCGGGCCCACGGACAGCAGGTGCGTGAAGACCACGGGCCGGTCTTCGCAGCGCAGGAAGTTGCGCTCCCGGCCGCAGGGCGAGAGGAAGGGGAAAGCGGCCTCGTAGCGCCCGCTGCGGTTGAGTCTCAGGCGCGAGAAGAAGGTGACCAGGAACTGCAGGTCTGGGGGAGACGGGAGCGGCTCAGCACCGCGCGTCCCGCGCCCCCGGAGGGCCGCCGGGAAAAGAGCGCAGGGGTACCTTTGAAGCAGGTGGTGAAGTTCTTCATTTTGGAGTCATCCAGGAAAAGCTGCAGGCGGAGGAGGGGGCTGGAGCCGGGGAGTCCGGTTTCCGCCCCGCCCCGCAACCCTGGCCAACTTTTACCTCCTCCTCCTCAGTGGGGCGGCCCCTCCGGGGGGCAGCAGGGAGGGGTGGGGGGCTGGGGAGTGGGGCGCGCTAGGGGGTGTCAGGCGAGGGAGGCGGGGTGCGGGGCCACCGCCCCTTCCGGCCCCTTCCCCGCCCGGCGCCCGGGTCGGCGCCGGCGCTGCCCACCTGGCCCTGATGATCCACGTAGTAGAAGTACTCGCGCGTCCGGGGCTCGGGGCTCTGACCTTGAGTGTAGGAGACGCCCCCGTCTCTGCTGAGAGCCCGGGCTCCCCGGCAGCGGGCCAGGGCCAGGGCCCGGGCCCGAGGTGCCCCGCGCAGCGGCCACATTCTCCGCGCGTGCCGGAAGCTGCGAGCGGGTCACGCGGGTGCGGCGTTGCGCGAACTCGCGGCCCCCCGGGGCCGCGGCCTGGGGCGTTGGGTTCCGGCCGGCCGCGCTCTGGCGTTTAGGTCCCCCCACCCCCTGGGAGCTGAGGATTTCAGGCTCGGAGAGCAGCGATCAAGACTCACTTGGTCACTTGCAGTAAACTGGCCTGTCCCCTGCTCCACATCCTGCCCAGCTGCAGCGGGCCGATTTAGGGCGCAAATAAAAAGAAGTATCAAACCAACATGTCTGGAAGCTTGTGCTCGAGTGAGGGTCGGGGTGGGAGGTAAAAGGCGCCCCCATCAAACCGTGAATTCCGGGGTCATCTCACTTTGGACCACCTCCCACCCTACCCCCTACCGGCCCCCCAGATATCACAGCAAGTGACTGGCCCTGGGCGATGCAGCCCAGTTGCCCCTGCAAGGAACCGCGAGGCGGAGGGAACAGGCACGGGCCATGGCTCGCAGTCTCCATTCGTCCTTTATTCAAATGCGGTCACCTCTCAAGTCCATGCGTCAGAGCAACTCAGTGCCCAGCTTCCTCGCGCTGGCCCCAGCACCCAGACAAGGTCGCGCCCAGGGCAAAGCCAGGCCGCGCAAACCTGGGCTCTTTTGTTTTTAATAAATAAAAGCTCAACTCTAAAAAATATATATATATAAACTGGGGAGAAATCATGTTTACAACAATTGTAATTAAACGGAAATGTACAGACTGAGTCGAGGCCTCACATCCAGCTCCTCAGCCCCCCACCCCCACCCCGCCCCCGGGCTCCTCAGGAAGGGGGTCTGGGCTCTACTGGCCCCATCTGTGGTTCTCTCTGCTGCAGGTTTGGCTTGGGGATGGGCCAGGTTTGGGTTTTTGGTCAGAAGAAAGGATGAAGAAAACAAAGGAATGATATAACAATTTGCTCTCTAGAGAGGACCAGCAAGGACGGCTCAGAGATAAATAGCATTTGGGTTAAAACTATGTCATTAGCAAATTTAGTTCTTATATCTTTCAGTCTATTTATATCTCTATACACGGGCGAGTCGGGGTGCAAGATAGATGCTGAATTTATAGTTACACGAAGAAAAATACTCTCGCCCCTCCCCCCTTCCCCCAAAATGTCTGGCCAGCCCTGCCCCCACCCACAGGACTTTGGTTTGGGGAGGCCTGCCAGGGCCCTGGGCCAGCTGGTGTCCCATGACTGGGCACACTCAATCGAGAAGCAGCGGCAGGGTCCCGGAGGGCAAAGCTTTGGGCCAGGAGACCCGGGGACCGGGGCGGGAGGGCGCAGAGGAAAGAGGGCAGCGGGCAGGGTCCAGGCCGCGACCAGGTGGGGCGCATGAGGCCCCGCCAAGGCGGTGACGCGGCAGCTCGCCCCGAGTAGGGCTTGTGCTCTTGGCCACTCGGGAGGGGCAGTGTCGCTCGGCTCCAGGAAACAAGGCACTTTCTCGGGGCTGACCAGTTGTGGGCGAGGCGGCCCCACGGTAAGTGGCCGCCAGGTAGGGGCGAGAGGCGCCCTCTCCACGGGGCCTCTGCCCTAGCCGTGTCCTCGGGCCGGGTCGTGGGTAGGGAGTGTGGGCCAGGGCGGGGCGGCCGCGCCTGACATGCAATCTCTGTGGCCGGGCACCCCCCTGCCCTCCCCACACGCCCCCGCCCGCGCCCGCCCTCCGGCTCCGCATGCTATAGCACGCCCTCCATGAAGCTGGTGTCCAGGTGCTGGATGAGCACGCGCAGGAAGGACATCTCCTTGCGCGTGTTCTCAAAGATGACCCGCGGGTCGTCAGATCGGCAGCGTAGGCAGTTGGGGGCCATCACCATGGCGAGGTTGCTGACGTCCATCTTGGTGATGGCCACATTGGCAGGCTGCACGAACACCTGCGGGCGGGACAGGAGCCAAGGGGGGCGGTGGTGGAGCACAGGGCGTGGAGGGATGTGGGTGGAGCGGGAGGGACCCGGGGTGGGCGGGGCCTGGGAGGCGGGACCCAGGGCGGGCGGGGACCAGAAGCAAGCGGGACGCGGGGAGGGCGGGGCCTAGGGGGTGTCCGGGTGGGAGGGAGGCGGGTGGGGGTGGGGCCGGGGCCGGGCGAGCACCTGAAGGAAGCGGATGAGGTAGCACAGCACCAGGCGGTTGATGCGGGGCAACGCGTGCACCACAGCCACGGCGGCCTCAGGGCTCTCGTAGTGCGCGATGCACTGCTCGTAGAATTCGTGCGGGATCAGGGGCTCCTCCAGCTCCCGGTACCACAGCTTCAGCAGCGACGCTGGGGCACAGGCAGGGGTGGGGCTCAGTCTGGCCTGGGGCACCCCCAGATGGACTAGCAGCCAAGGACAGGAAAGTAGGAGTACGGGCAGAAGGTGGTACGTGGGTAGGCAGGGGTCCAAAGTGGCAAGGGTCTATGTGGGAGATGGACTGCAGGGCCAGAATCTGACGTCCTCACCCCTCCTGGACCCTGGGGGTCTGGGCTTTGCCAGGAGCCAGAGGGGTAGAGTACTTCTTCCAGGAGTGAGTAACAGCTTGGGAGACGCGGGGTCACACTGCCTCGGTCAGACCCAACCAACTGTGGAGGGCACTGGGCTTACCAGGGACATGGGGGTCCTCCAGGCCTGTGGGCACTTTCCACTGATCCACCTGCAGCTTCAGGGCATTCACCTCATCGATGTCCCCAGGGACTCTGCAGAGCACAATGAGGGTTCAGATATCAGGGAGGGGCTGGGTTGGCACAGGACTAGGGGTCCAGTGAGGTGTCGCTATCCACTTTAGGCCTTTGCTGGCTGCCCCATGAAGAGCCACTGGGCCTGAACTCGCAAGTCTTGGGTGCCCACCACGATGACAGGCCATCACTGGGCACAGGCTACTGGGTGGTGCCGCGCCTGCATCAGGCCTGCAGGGCTGAAGCCTGAGGCCCATATTACGAGGTACCTCAACCCTACCCCGTGTGAGCCGCAGAGGGCTTGGGTCTCCAGGCCTCTCAGCTAGGGTCGGAGCATGAAAGTGGGCTCAAGTGGGCTCAGTGGGCCTGATAACCAGCTGCTGCTGCCTGCTACAAACAGCTGAGGCCCCCGTGCCCAGTCCTGACGACAGCAGCACCTGAAGATGCCTTCTGTCTGGTCGCCGTTGAGTGCCAGCACCTCCTCGGACAGTCGTGTCTGCACCCAGGGCAGCTGGCGGTCTGGGTAGCGCTCCTTCTGCATGCTCATGACCTCCTGCAGTGCACTGCCAAACATGGAGGGGCTAAACACCGCGTTCTTGGCGTGCCGAATCTCCTCCACGTTGGGTTTCTTCAGCCCCTGCAAAGACACCCGGTTGTGCTGAGTGTGGCTCATGAGGGCAGCCTCTCCTGCCCACAACATCAGCTTTCTGCTTAATGTAATCGATGCCACAACTGCCCAGACCCTGTTTACTGTGGCTGCCTCCTGCTGAGCCCTCAGCTGCACCCTGAAGCTTCAAGTGACCTGCTTGGGACATGGGACAAAGTGGGGAATCCTGGGCAGTCCAGGCCTCGGAGAAGCCAGGTGAGACCCCTGGAGTGTGACTGAGCTTCAGCAGCAGCTCAGGAGTCCAACTGTGGCTGTTTTCCATAGAGAGGCATGTAGGAGGATGAGGAGAGGCAGAAAGGAGATGGGAGATGGAACACCTGGGGGGAAAAGGCCAAGCGCGTAAGCTTTGTGGCAGGGTGGCCGGGGCCTCCCCCTTGCAGGTCAGGAAGGGGTTGTGGGCAGGCGCTACCAGGTGGCAAGTGGTTCTAACAGGAGCCTGTGCCTGCCCTGCCATGAGATACAGGAGAGAAGCTGTTCAGAACTCTGATTTCTGGGGTGCCCCACCCCGAGGCAGGTCTGGTCCAGATCTGCGTGGGCGCTGGATGCTCCGGCCAGGAGGGCACTTGCTCATCTTTGGAGTCCACCCTACAGCGAAAGATTGGGCCCCTCGGCAAGCACCAAGCAGCTCCTCTGCACCCTGCTGTGCCCTGGGTGGGCTCCCCACAACTATGTCCACTGCCTCTTCCACGCCCCACATGCAGGTTGGACTCCAGGGGAGCAGAGCCCTGCAAGGACTGGGGCTGGCGGAACCAATCTCCTTCAGATCCCTCCCAGCTTCCCCCCAGGCCAGCTCCCCCTCCTGCTCCCCCTGCCCAGCTCTACCTTCTTAGCCCCGGTCAGGGCTGCCTTCTGCAGCTTGTGGTAACAGTACTTGGCGTATGTGCTTATCGCCACCCCTGGAAAAGAAGGGGTACCGGTTGGTCTGATGGTGGTGTGTGGGCCACACCAGCCAGTTCCAAGAGAAGCAGCAAGAGGGATGAGAAGAGGCAGCTCCTGTAGTAGTCTTGGGTCCTGACTGGCCCGTGCAGGGCAGTGTCCTTCAGAGAGACCCATAAGTAGGTGCCAGCACCCCTTCCTTCACCGTCGGCAGAGCTGGCTAGGAAAGGGACCAGAACAGGAAGAATGGCCCGGTTCTCAGGGCGCTCTCTCCAGCAGACCCAGAGGGGTGGGTGGGTGGGTGATGACAGCTGCTTCCACCAAGGGCCGGGGCTGAGCAGAGGGGACTGTGAGCTGGCAAGGCGGCAGCCCCAGCTCTCCAAAGTCACCTCTGTCCAGGAGTCGGGGTGTGGCCACCAGCCTGATTGAACTGGGAGCAGGGCAGGCCCCCAGTGTGAAGGAAACTCGTGGCAACTGGGAACTGCCAGCCAGCAACCATGGCCAGTGGAGGGCTGTCTCTGGCACTCCCAAGGGCTGAAGGTATGAGCAGGAAGAGGGCTGATGAAAGCCACCAGACAGACAGAGCCCAGGCTGGCACATTAGAGTAGCAGCAGGAAGCTAAGAAACACTGAGAGCCCAAGTCTGGGGTCTGAGGGGCAGAGGACAGATGCAGACCTGGGCGTGTGGCCTGGTCCACTGTGGGCCCTTCAGGGGTAGACTCAAGCCTGGGATCCACAAGTCTGCCGGGGGGCAGAGGGAATGGGGAGAAGGGAGAAGGAGAGGAGAGGAGGTTAGAGACGGGAGGGGGGGAAGAGAAGGGAAGGGGAGAAGATACAGGGCAAAGGAGAGGAGGGGCAGAGCGATTTACCTTGCTACTCAATCTTTGGCACACCATATGCTTCCCAGAGCCCCACCAGGAGTAATTTTTGAGCGTAGAGCCAGCAGTAAGCCCAGAGCACTGCTGGGTGTGCCCCAAAACCCAAAGCCCAAACAGAAAAGGAGGGGAGGGCTGAGGAGAATAAGGGGGAGGGGGAAAGGGAAGGGGGAAGCAAAGGAGGGCAGAGGAGAGGAGAAAACGGGAGAGGAGAGGTGAGGAGGGCCAAGCAGTGGACTGGAGCAGTGGCAGCTGGTATCCCGGGAGGGGCGGACAGGCCTTAGTCCTTGGGCTGACTGCTATGCTGGCTGAGCACCTCCTGTCCTGACAGGGGACGGCCTGCCCTGGTCCCTGGAGAGCAGAGCATGGGCGTGGCTGCTGGGCAACACAAGGCACGGCAGACACGGCCCCAACCATGCCCACACATGTGCTGCTCCTCTCAGGCACAGCTCCTGGGCCCTGAAGACCCTGGGCCCCTCACAGCCTGTCTGGGCCTCAGTCCCCTTCCTGGCAAGCCCAGGCAGTGCTGGGGATACGCCCAAGCCTGTCCTAGTCTGTGGGGCTGTCTCTGGTGTCCCGGCACCATGGCCTCCCACTCAGGGTGCTCAAGGCTCCTCCCAGTTGTGTGTGTGGGGGGGGGGGAGGGGGACAAGGACTCAGAGCCTCCCCAAGAAGACTGAGATCAGTGCTGCGGGGAGGAGGCGGGTGCCGGTGCTAGGAGGGACAATAACAGTCTCCTCCAGATGGAGACCGGACTCTCCTGGAGTGTGGGGAGACGCTGGGGGTCCCCGCCCTACTACATAAGGTCCTCGCTGACTTCTGTCTGAGCTCCCGGCCCATGTCCCTCACGGTACTCTCACCTCTCACAGGCCTCATCCCCTTGGACTGGCCCTGCCACCGCAACCTTGCCTACAAGTGAGCGTCAGGTCTGCTCCCTGGGCCCCTCAGCCATGGGACAGTGAGTGCGCAGCCCCCCAGCCCAGAAGCATTAGAGAGAGGCCAGGCGGCCAAGGCCGGAGCAGAACTGTGCAGAGCTGTGCACAACGGGAGGGCCCTACCATCCGGCTCCTCAACATAAGGCTTGGGTTTCTTTCTCAACTTGGATTTCTTCTTAGTGTTCCTTTCCAGGAGCTCTCTCATGTGCTGTGTCACTGGGGAGCAAACAGAGCCATGAGGACGCAAATACACGCCAGGAGCACAGCCCCCCCCCAGCGCAGACAGGCCCTGGGACGCGGAGGGCCTCCTGGGGGAGAGGTGCAAGCTTCCTTCGGAGCGGTTTGGGCAAGAGACACAGCCCAGCCACAGTGCCCTGCATTCAGCCACCCGGGCCACCTCCCACGGCCACACAGGGACTCTGGGCACGCCACACATAGCCAGCAGGTACCCTGGACGGAGTGAGCAGCCCACAAAGCAGGAGGCACTGCAAGCATGACCAGTGGGTGCACAGAGGGCAGTCCCTCACCAGGAACCGGCTCACTGCACGCGCTGCCCCTGCCTCTAACAGGGAGGTGCTGGGTTCTCAGGTGTGGCACACAGCCCCAACCCCACAGGACAACTCTGGTGAGAGCACGTTTCCCAAATGCAAAGCAAGGATTAAGGTAATCTTAACCTGTGTGTGTGTGTGTGTGTGTGTGTGTGTGTGTTTCATTTTGTTTTGCGGCCACATCTGGCTATACTCAGGGTCGACTTCTGGCTCTGTATTCAGGCATTACCCCTGGACAGATCAGGGGATCACATGGGGTGCTGAAGATCAAACCCAGGTCACCACGTGCAAGGCAAGTGCTCTGCCCTCTGCACCACTTTTTCTGCATTTGGAGACTCAATTCTCCCAGTCCCACACAGGGGAAAACCACGTGTTCCCACCCAGTGCACCTAACTGAAAGGACCTGAAGCCTCTGTCCTTCTACCCAAACTGTGCTGTCTGAATCCTTACTTGGCGTTCTAACAAGGCTTGAAATCATATAACATGAATCCCCCTCACTCTTAGATGTTTTCAAAAGTTCTCCCTCCTCTCCTTTCTTCTTTTGGGCTGTTCGAGGTCCTTGATGCTTTCTGTGAATTTTAGAATCAGCCTGTTAATTTTTTTCCTTTGCGGGGGGAGGTGTGTTGGGGTCCTGGGTGGAGGCTTGCTTACTCCTGACTGCACTCAGGGATCACTTCTGGCGATGCTTGGCGGACCATCTGGGTACTGGGACCATCACTCCAGTCTCACGAATAAATTTTTTTTTTGGTGGCAAGAAGGGAACTATACACAGCTTTACTCAGGGATTATTTCTGGCCATGTGCTCAGGAGTAAACACTGGCAGTACTCAGGGGATCACGTGGTACCAGGATTCAAACCAGCGTCAGCCACATGCAAGGCAAACGCCTTCTTGCCTATTCTATTCCTCTGGCCCTAACACTTTAGTTGATACCACGATCTTGTAACTGCTCACTCCCTCCTTTGGGCAGAGTCCATCCCTGCCACTAGCTGAGGCATTTCAAGCTGGATGCTGACCACCCAACCCAGCAATGGCTGTTTTCCAGGAAGAGATGAGATGCACAGGTGACAGCTGCTCTCCAGGGGCTGCACCTCTTTTGTGGTGCTTGTACACCCTTGCCTTGCACACAGCAGGAAACCACCTGCAGGACGAGGGGTCAGAGATATCTGAGCTTCAAGGGTCCAACAGTGGAGCTGCCAGGATCAGGCTTAGCCCATGTGGGCACCAGGATCTGAATCATGGCCACACGCCTGCAAGGCTGATGTGTAGCCCCATACTTCTCCACCCGACTTACTTCATATATGCCTCTTTCTCACGCTCCACTGGTTCTATTCCTAGTCTGCAGCATGTATCAAGAATGGAATGTTGAATTGTGTCATATCTCTTTCTATACCTGTTGAAGGGATCAAGTTTTTCATTGCAGTTGTTTTTTGCTGATGTAGTTATTAACACTTCGCTCCTTTCCCCTCTGATTTGTGAAGGTCTAGGCTCACGTACTTAGTTATGGTGCTTGGCTGTGCACATTTGGTTGTGGGATCCACACCTAGCACATGAGGTGCTGACGATCAACTTCACAGAAGGAACTCCACCACTGATCCATGTCATGGCAGCTGCAGTGCAGGAGTTCTTTTTCTTTTAATTTTTCCCCACTCTGTTGATAATGCAATAAATTGGTACAGAATGAACTGGGGAACAGTTGCTCCACTTCAGTTTTGATAGAATTGCTATACAAAAGGAGAATTTAGCAGTGAAGTCATCTGGACCTTGGGAATTCTCTTTGCAGAAAATTTTTTTAGGTAACAATATAATTATTTTGACATGTGTGTTTTTTTTTTTACACACCTGGCAATGTTCAGCAGTTGCTCCTAGCTCTGCACACAGGAATCACTCCTGGTAATGAGTGCCTGAAGGACCAAACCCAGGCTGGCCGTGTGCAATGTAAAGCATCCTACCTACTATACTATCTCTGTGGCCTACTCTAGTGTTTTCTTTTTTATTTTTATTGCCTTTTTTGGGTCACACCTGGCAATGCACAGGGGTTACTCCTGGCTCTGTGCTCAGGAATTACTCCTGGTGGTGCTCAAGGGACCATATGGGATACCGGGGATTGAACCCGGGTCGGCCACATGCAAGGCAAACACCCTCCCCTCTGTGCTACTGCTCTGGCCCCGTTTCCTATTTTTTTAAACTAAATAATCTTTGGTAGTGTCTTCAAGGAATTTTTTAATATTCTATAAATCATCAAATTTATTGGCATAACAGTTGTTCATATTTCCTTGTTATTATCAGTATTTCTCAAAGTGGGAGACTCTCCTTCTGGGGGTACTGCAAGCAGCCCAAAGAGCCGTCCAAAGCAGCCCTCCTCTGGCAGCAGGAGGGCCGAAGCGACAGCACACAGCAGGGAGGCATTTGCCTTGTATGCAGTCGACTCAGGTCAGGTTCAATCCCTAGTATCTCATATGGTACCTCGAGCACCACCAGGAGTAATTCCTGAGTGCAGAGCTGGGACTAACCAGCTGAGACTAACCAGCTCACATGCATCATTGCCGGGTGTGACCCAAAAAGCCAACAAATAAATAAAAATTAAGAGAGGAAAAAAAAAAGCAGCAGGAGCCGTAGACACCACTGGGGGTACTTCCTGTTAGGTCTCTTAAAGAAGGAAGATTTCCAGGGCAGCATTGAGTGATCTGGGGCTCGGGGCCACTCCTGGCAATTCTCACCAACTAGGCCAGTGGTTCTGTGCTGGGGTGTGAGGACATCCTGTGTTGCTGGGCGTTTTCTGGGCACCTCCTATGGAGCTCAGGGGACTACAGAGCTATACCCAGTGATACTAGAGAATTATGAGGTGTCAGGGATCAAACCATGGGTGGCCGCATGCAAGGCTTATGCCTTCACTTCTGTGCTCTTAGGTCTCTGAGTGCCTATTTGTATGAAAAGAGATGGCAGGCCAAGTAAGTCTGGGAATATGTTTTATAACTTTGAATCTGTAGTGACATTATCTCATATTTGATATTGGTAATTTATTCTTTTCTCCTCTTGTCTGGATTAGTGTGGCTGGAGGCTTTTAAAAATATCAACTTTTGGGACTGGAGCGATAGCACAGCGGGTAGGGCGTTTGCCTTGCACGCGGCCGACCCGGGTTCGATTTTCAGCATCCCATATGGTCCCCTGAGCACCGCCAGGAGTAATTCCTGAGTGCAGAGCCAGGAGTAACCCCTGTGCATCGCTGGGTGTGACCCAAAAAGAAAAAAAAAAAAAAACAACTTTTTATTTAGATTTTCTTGTTTTCCTATCTTCTCTTTCACTGATTTGGTCTTCACTATTTCCTTTCTTCTGCTTACTTATAAATACTATTTCTTCCTGACTTTTGGGGCAACACCTGGCAATGCTCAGGGCTTACTTCTGGCTCTGCATTAAGGAATTAGTCATGGTGGTTCTTCGGGAACTATAAGGGATGCTGGGGATTAAACCTGGGTTGGCTATGTACAAGGCAAGTGCCCTATCTGCTCTACTATCTCTCCAGCCCCCCCCCCCTTTTTTTGCTTTGGGGCCACACCTGGTGGTGCTCAGGGTTTACTCCTTACTCCTGGCCTTGTGCTCCAGGGATTACTTCTGGTGGGGTTCATGGGTATAGGACTGAACCTGGATAGTCCATGAACAAGGCAAGTCCACGTGTCTGCTCACTGTTCACTGACCTCTGTCCACTGTGTATTATCTCTCCAGTCTCCCTTTTATAAGTTCCTTCAAGTAGAAACTGAGGTTACTGATTTGAGATCTTATAAAGGATTTCAGGCCCAAATAGGTGCTTAGGCTGCATCCCACAAATTTTAATAGGTTTTGTATTTTCCTTTCTTCCAATTCAAAATGCTTTATTTCCCTTTGGAATTTTACTGGTCCATAGGTTATTTTGTTCCCAAATACTAGAGACTTTGCAGATAAACTTTGTTGCTGGCCGGTAGTTTAGTTAATTCCACTGTGGCTACGGAGTAGATTTTTGAGGTTTATGCTGTGTTATACTGAGATTTACATGGCTCAGAATATTTTCCACACCAGACTGGAGTCCAGAGTTCAGGTTCAGGATGGGTGCAGAACCCAATGCTCTGAAGCAGTTGTTTCTTTAACATACTTTTAAACAGGTCCTTCTATTTTCAGCATCAAGGACATCCCAGCCTCAAACCGTGCTGGAGGGAGTTGGCTCCGCACCTCTGAACTAAGACTCTGATCCCTGCTCCAGCTTCGTGGCTTCCCCACCTGCTGGCACCCACCTTTTTGGTCTCCAATCCAGTCCTGCCACTTGTCCATGAACTTTTCAGATTCCAGACTTGGCTATATTTTTCTCCCTTCCCTTCTCTTCCCTTCCCTTCCCTTCCGAGATTGTTTACTTATTATTTTTAAATTTTTGGGTTTTGGGCCTCCCCTGGCTCACTGCTGGGGGCTGTTCCTGGTGTAGTTGGGGGTCCAATGTGGTGCCGGATCAAACCCAAGCCTCCTGGATATAAAGCATGCACTATAGGCCTTTGAGACATCTCCCCATTCCCAATGTGTCTTATTTTATAATGATTTAAAATACACGCGCGATTTACCATTTAAAAAAATTTTCATTGTACAGTTCAGTGGCATTGAGTATACATTCGGATTGTGTGCAGCCATCAAAACCTACTACTTCCCAAACGTTTCCAGCTTCCCAAATGAAAACCTCGCCCCTAATATGATCACCATTGTCTCCTAAACTTCGGGCCCGCTAAGGTGTTTTCTGTCTCTGCTGTCAGGGACCATGTGTATGTGGCATCAGAGCACTGGTCTGCCTGGCCCAACAGTGCAACCTGAGCCACTAGTCTTTTCTTTTTTGAAGCTGAGCACTACTCCAACTCAACATATGTATCAGATTTACTTTTGTTTTGGGGCCACACCTGGCCCTGCTCAGTGGTTACTCCTGGCTCTGCACTTAGGAATCACTCCTAGCATGCTTGGGAGACCATACAGGGCACTGGGATGGAACCCAGGTCAGCCCTTGTGCAAGGCAAGCACTCCAACTGCTGTACTATCACTCTAGCCCCAAATACCATTTTTTTCTTTTTTTTTTTTTTGTTTTCTGGGTCATACCCAGCCGATGCTCAGGGGTTATTCCTGGCTCTGCACTCAGGAATCACTCCTGGCGGTGCTTGGGGGACCATATGGGATGCTAGGAATCGAACCTGGGTTGGCTGCGTGCAAGGCAAATGCCCTACCCGCTGTGCTATTGCTCCAGCCCCTCAAATACCATATTTTGTTTACTTATCAACTGATAGATAACCAAGTAGCTTCCAGATGTTGTCTGGTATGAACATGAAGGTTCAGCTTTCTACTAATTTTTTTGGTAAGTACTCAGAAATTAAACTTCTGGATCCCATAGTAATTCTATATATAATTTTTTGAGTAATTGCCATTCTGCTTTTCACACGGCTACCTATCATGCTTTTTTTTTTTTTTTTTGGTTTTGGGGTCACACCTGGCAATGCACAGGGGTTACTCCTGGCTCATGCACTCAGGAATTACTCCTGGTGTGCTCAGGGGACCATATGAGATGCTGAGAATCGAACCCGGGTCGGCCGCGTGAAAGGGAAACACCCTACCCGCTGTGCTATCGCTCCAGCCCCTCATGTTACACATTCTTGAGATTATATTCTTCCATTAAAAAAATTCCTTCACTGTTCTTTCAGCAGGAGTATGCCACCCTTACGCGGAAACCACTCAGGAATGCATGCACTCTGGCAGAAATCATGGAAGAGCAGGTGTGTATGAGGCTCTGAATCGCAGTCTTTTGGTGTGCCTTTGCAAAGGAAAAGAGGGGGCAGTCCCTGGGAGACAGGCTATGGCTGGTGGTGCCTGGCACAATGGGGTGGTCTTGTGGCCTTGTCTGAAACAAGTTAGGCCAGTACGAGGGCACAAGGACCGGGGATTACTATCCCTAGGGTAGTGACCAGATAGCAGTCATGGTACAGGCTAATGCAGATGAGTCAAAGATACAGTTCTAAGCGAGATGCCACACACAGCAGCCAGGCTCACTGGTGACCTTACTGTTGCCTCTGAGTCTTCAGACTTAGCATTCTTGTGTCTGGCAGATGTCCACCATGAGTGGGACCTGGGGTTGGGCTGGGGCTCTGGCTGCGGGACACGCTGGTACCACAGACGTGGGGCTATATGTGACAATTCAGATGATATGGCACCAGGAGACCACCTGTGCCTTTGTCAGGGGACCTCAAGGCCAGACAGAAGCCCTTTACTTTTTCCTTCCGAGCCAGGACTACATATAAGCACCAGGACAAAGATGCACAAACTTAATGCTACAGGGTACCCCTGCTGGGGCTCTCTGCACAGCCCTGCTGGCAGCCAGCCTGGGAGCGTGTACACTCCCCGCTCACTCACCTCTGTACTCGGGAAGGTCCAGAGGACTGTAGGCAGAGTTGTGGCTACACACTTCTGAGATGCTGCCTAAGGGCTCTGGCATTTTGGGTTCTTATGGAAGAGGCTGGGTGATCCATGAAGCTCACAGGACTCCACTTCTCCCAGAAAGGCCTAGAAGGCCAGGGTAGGGCCAGGCCACCTACAGCTGTGTGTCTGCACAGAGGGAAGTGGCCTGGGAGAGGTGTGAACGCTGCCAAAACCAGCTTCACAGACCACATACCTAAGGCAATACCAGATCGCTTCTAAGAACCCCCCTGAAGCCTGCTGGGTGGTGCCTGCCAGAAATTCTCCAGAACTGACAAAGTACGGCTCAGTAGCACAATCTGGCCAGTGACTGGCAATAGTTACTCACACCCATAAAGCTGGCCCTGGAGGGCACAAATGAGTGTGCACCATCTGAGCACCAGGGTGGTGGCTGGGCCCTCTGGACACTAAGGTCAGTAGACTGGTGCTGGCACGACCCCGGCCCTGGTTCTCCCCCACAGTGCAGGCCTAGCCTTTAAGGGTCCAGGCAGAATCAGTGCCCTGCTGAGCTGCAGGGGGCTTCCAGCACGTGCCACTCCCTCCTCGGACCCCTAGAAGCAGCAAGCCTAACTCAGGTCTACTGGCATCTCTGATCTGCATCAATGTCCATGCTAACACTGGTGACTCCACTCCTGCCTGGACCAGGCACCCCCTCTCACCTGTGGCAGTTGAGATAAACCTTCCAGGGGAAGGATGGCTGAGTGAAAACAATCAGTTTACCCGAGTGACCTCGGGAAGCCAGCTGCGATGGCCTCAGGACACCCACCCTTATCTAGCCTCGTCCTCAGGCCTGTGCCAGGGTGTTCTGTGGGTCTTCTCAAGGCCCCAGTGTTGAGGGGTCTCGAGGAATAGACACCACAGCAACAAATCCAGGTCCTACCTCCCAGAAGAAAGGTATATGTATGAAGGGGTGTCCCCAGGCGTGTTCAGCAGGCCAGGGAGTCCGGCCACCTCCCCAACCCCACCCCCGGCTCAGCGGGGCCCCTGGGCCAGGCCTTACCTTTGGTGTCATTGACGGGGTCCATGTGCCGGTAGATGTAGCCCTCCAGGTAGGAGTGGAACTTGGGGGTGGGTGGGAAGAAGGCCAGACAGATGGCCATGAGCTCCCAGCCCCGGGCCAGGCTCTCCAGGCGGAAGTTCTCTGTGGTCTGCCGGCACAGCTGGATGTAGAGCTCGTCCCGCAGACCCTGCACGCTCCAGCCCTTGGTGGCGATCTCCAGGGCCACATGAAGTGGGTCTGCCTTGGCACGCCGGTCTCCCATGTACATCTGGATCAGCTTGAAGATCTCACAGGCCTCCTTCTTCACGTGGCGGTCACTGGTCACGATCATGGGCTTCTTGATGGACTCGCTGCTCCAGGCTAGCATGTTGGCAATGGACACCTTCCGTCGGAACAGGCCCTGGGTGTGCTTGTTGAAGTGCTTGGAGGCCCAGTTCTCGATGTCAGTCTCCGAGGATGGCTTGCGGAGCGTGAAGGTGGGGAACACGCAGCTGGCGCTGGGCATCACGCTGCGTGTCTGCCGGCTGCTCTCAAACTGGGCACAGGTGCCAAGGTCCTCAGACTGAGAAGGACAGAGGGGCTGTAAGGGATGGGGGCACCCTTGTGGAAGACACCCCGAGGTGGGGTGAGGAATTAGCACCCTCCTCCCACCCCCACCCTGGGCTTCCAGGACACAGGGCATCTGACATCCACAAAAGGGTACAGATGCTGCCCTCTGCTGGCTGGTGCTGTTCGCTTCTGGGCGGGAAGATGGGGAAAATTCCAGATGCAAAGTTTGCCTGAGAAACGCAAATGCTTCTCTGGATCCATCACAGGCTTGTCCCTCCCTGTCACTTTGCCCCACTCCCTAACAATGAAGCTGCTTCCTGCTGCTGCTGCGTGGCCATCAGGATAGTGCTGTCATGCCTCTGGTTTTGGGGACACAACAAGAGTTGGAAATTTCCCAACCCCCAAAGTATCTGAGCAAGCAGCCAGCTAGGACCACAAGCCTGAGTGGCGGGGGGGGGGGGGGGGAGAATGGGGGACACAGGTCCTTCAGGGCACATCTTCCCTGGGGAGGTTGGACAAGCACTCGGGAGCTGGCTGTGGAGTCCCAGCCACTAGGGCTCCGAACACTTCCCAGAGCACAACCTCAGCGTGGCTTTCCTGCATGGGCAGGGCCAAGGGATGGGGGCCAGAACCGAGCTGCGTGTCAGCCCACAGCCGGACAGAGGCCGGTACGGCAACTCTGCCTCAGCCTGAAACTGGAGTGTGTGTGCATGTCTGCAGCAGCTGGGGTGACTGTGTGAGGCTGCTGTGGCCTCTGCCCTGCGGCATCTCCACTGCCCACCCGCCAGCACACTCACAGGCAGAAAATGGCGGCACAAGGTCTCCGGCCCGCAGTGCTGCGCCACGCCTGGGCAGGGCCTTACCTGGGAAGGGTGCAGGTAGGGCTCGGGGGAGGCCAGGTTGGTCTGCACGGACACACTCTTCTCCAGCAGGATCTGGGGGAAGGCCAGCCTCTCCAAGGCGCCCCTCTGCCAGTGCTTGCTCTCCTGCTGGGCCAGCGCCTCGTCCTCACTGAAGGCCCGCACCACAGGCCCGGGCATGGGCAGCGGCACGGCCCCATCGCTCTCATAGCCCGAGCCATCCTGCTGTGAGTCCCAGCTTCCCCGCTGCTTCATGTGGAAGTGGGCCTGCTGGGCCTCCCACGCCAGCCGGGCCTGCGCCAGGAAAGGCTCAGTGGCGGCCCGGACGCCATCCGCCTCCCCCACGCGGCTCTCCGCACGCTTGGCGGGGGCGAGGCTGGGCCCGCATGGGGAGCGCTCCTCGGGCAGGGGCTGCTCTCCGGGCAGCTCGTGGTCCCCAGGGCCCTCTGTGGAAGAGGCGCTGGGGAGGTGGCACAGAGAGGGGTTCCTGCTCTTCCTTTTGCGGGTGCCTGGGGAGTAGCCCAGGGAGGAAATGGTGTCCTGCTGGCTAGACCAGGACATGGCGTCCTCCTGAGCCTGGGGCAGGGGTGTGGCTGGGGTGTGCCGCAGCTCTGGCCCCTCCATGCTGCTGTAGTCCCCAGAGGTGATCCCCAGGCGCTGGTCCCTCAGCAGGCCAAGGCTGGGCTGCAGGGAGAGGGAGCCACCGCTGGGGTTGGGCATGTACTTGTGCCGCGGGCCTGCACGCAGCTTGGGGCTGGAGCCGGCCTGCTCCACGTACACCAACTGCCGCACATACTCCTTGCCCGCAGGGCTGTACTCCAGACTCAGGAAGCGCTCTGGACACTTCTGCCGGGTAAGCACCAGCTGCTGGTAGGGTGACGCCGAGGCCGGCTTAGGGGACTGGGGGCAGGGGGGTGGCTTGCGGCTCGGAGACCGCTGGGGAGAGCCAGTCTCGTATTGCACGTCCATGGGGGGCTCATCATAGATGGGGGCCTGGTACTCCACTGGGGGCTCCTCGTACAGTGGGGGCTCATAGGCGTAGCGAGGGGAGGAGGGCTGCGAGTCCACGGAGGGCTTGCGAGGCTGAGCCAGCAGCGGGGAGCAGCTCCCCAGCTCGGCCCTCTTCAGGAAGGGCGACGGCCGCCGCTCTGAGAAGAAGACGGGACCGTCTGTGTCCGGGGCGAAGGTCTGCAGGCCGGGCGAGTGCTGGCCACCAGAAGGTCTGCGGGAGCGGCTCCCCACTGGGATGTCCAGCGGGTAACCGTTGCCCTGAGGGGAAAAGAAGCTGGGCTCCCGGTCTGCAACTTTGATCAGCATGCGCTCCTTGGTGCCCGAGTTCCATCGGAGGGAGGAGGTCCTGCAGGAGAGAGAGGGACACGTTCTGGGAGGTCCTGGGAGGGGCTTGGGGAGAGGAGTACCACAAGACACAGAGGCTGCGGCAGGAATGGGGTAGCCAGGGAGTCTTGGGGATCCACGGTATGACTGGGAAGCCAGAAGCGGAAGGACCACCACAATCAGCCTGGTTCTGAACCACGGCTGTGTCAGTGAGGGCTGAGGGCCGGCTGGGGCTGGAGAAATCACTCAGTTGGTAAGGCGTTTGCCTTACATGCAGCCAACCCGAGTTCAATCCCCAGCACTTCACATGGTCCACCAGGAGTGATCCCTGAGCACAGAGCCAAGAGTAAGCCCTGAGCCCTGCTGGCTTTTGACCCCAAAAATCCAGAATGACAAAAAGCAAGAGTTGGTCTGTCAGCAACGCCATTCCCCAGTGTGAACTGCCCCTTCCAGTGCCCTGGGGAGCGGCTGAATGAGCCTCACTTGTAGCCCTTGCTGCTATCCACCAATGTGCTCCCAGCCAGGCTTCTCAGTGTGAACCTGGGTGTCGTCCTGGCCCAGCTGAGGCCCTGAATCTATTCTATCCCCGAGATGGCCTGACATGCAGTTCCGTATCCATCTCCAAACAGCACATTCCGCTAGCTGCAAGCAATTGCATCTGCAGGCTATGCTCTTGCCTGTATTTTCTTTGTTTTGGGTCATACCTAGGAGTACGCAGGGATCAAATTGGGGCTGGTCAGGGCTGGTGTGATAGTAAAGTGAGTAGGCTGCATGTCTTGCACACAGACAACCTGGGTTTGATCCCTGGCACCCCATATGGTCTCCTAAACACCATCAGGGGTGATCCCTGAGCACTGAGCCAGGGTTAAGTCCAGAAAACTACTGGTGTGCCCCCAAAACAAAAATAAAAACTGAACTTGGGTAGGCAACATGCAAGGGAAGTATCATAACTCCTGTTCTATTTCTTCAGTCCTCGTAAAAGTCTTCTTCAAACAGGACACCACCGGGTGCTGGGGACCGAACCTGAGCGTCCTGTGTGCAAAGCATTTACTCAGTCTACTGAACTGTATCTCAACTACTCTTTGACTTTTTTTTAGGCCACACCCAACCGTGGTTGGACTGACTCCTGGCTCAGTCCTTAGGAATCATTCCTGCGGGGGCTCAGTGGACCAGAGGGGGTACTGGGAATTGAAGCTGGATCAGCAACTAGCAAAGCAACCACCCTGTCCACCATGTTACTGCTCCAGTCCCTCTTCTTTGATTTTTTTAAAATCTGCTTTTCAGCTTTCCATAGAGATTTTATACAGATGGGATCCTAAAAAAAAAAAACCCTTTTATTTTTACTTCAGTGTTCTGTCAATTGCTAATACAGAGAAAAGCAACTGATTTTTTTCTCATGTATTTCTGATTTATTTATTTTTTATTAAAATTTTTTTTTAGGGGCTGGAGCAATAGCACAGCGGGTAGGGTGTTTGCCTTGCACGCAGCTGACCTAGGTTCGATTCCCAGCAACCCATATGGTCCCCCGAGCACTGCCAGGAGTAATTCCTGAGTGCATGAACCAGGAGTAACTCATGTGCATCGCCGGGTGTGACCCAAAAAGCAAAAAAAAAATGTGAGACATCATGAGCTACAAGGCAACTGATTTTTATATGTTTACCTTGTAATTATTTGTTCCTTTTAGTTATTGTTGTTTAGGCTCTTCTATATAGCCTCTCATATCTGTAAATAAAGTTTTATTTTTCCCTTCCAAAGTTCTCATTGAGTTGTCAATAGGTTCTTGAAAATTATGTCTTTAATTTAGACAATGCAGAATGAAACCTACTTAACCAGAGGCTAACTGATATATATATATGTGTATATATAAAGAGTTAAGTACCAATGCCATATTTTTAGTCATGAAAAAGAGTACGTGTGTACACCTGAAATTTCACACCCCACCTAGCATGACATACTGCCTATCTCATGCACTTACTCTGACACTCACACACTAACCCTGTCTTTCTCACACACACACCCCTACCATGACACTGTCTCTCACACACACCTACACTGACTCTTTCACACACACACACCCTACCCTGACACTCTCTCTCACACACATCCTTACCCTGACAGTTTCACACACCTACTCACACTCTCCCACACACACCCCTACCCTGACACACTGTTTCATACAAACCCACCTGACACTCTTCCCCCCACCTATCCTGACTCTCTCACAAACATCTACCCTAACACTCTCACATACACCACTATCTGACACTGACACACACACCCGACACTCTCACACCTCTTTCACACACACCCCCCTATCCTGAGACAGTCTTTCATACTCCCACTCATACACACACACACACCTATGCTCACTCATACACCCCTTGCACTCTCTCACAAACACCCTGATTCTCTCATCATACACCTACCCTATCATTCACACACATATACTCCTACTCTGAAACACTCGCTCTCTCTCACACACACACACCTCCTGAGTCTCTCTCACATACATTACTACCCTGACACACACACACACTCTCTCTCTCTCCCTCCCTCCCTCACACACACACACACACACACACACACACACACACACACACAGCCTGACACTCCCCATGTCTCTCACATATGCCCCAGTCCCAGTCCCCTCCCCCACCCCCGAAGGGTCTTTCAGGGACTGGAGCAATAGTACAAATGCCTTGCACCTGGCCAACCCAGGTTCGATCCTTGGTATTCCATATGGTTCCTGGAGTACTACTAGGAATGATTCCTGAGTGCAGAGACAGCAGTAACCATTGAGCACTGCCAGGTGTGGGCTCCTCCATCCACCAATAGAAGGCACTTCCATTAGTTACAACACACACATACTCCCACACATACACTCAAACATTGAGAATTTCTCAAGATTTTCCCCTTTGATTTGTGTTACTGAGGCTACTGTTATTTAGTCTTGGGAACCCTTGCAAACCAATTTCCTGTTTATGAATGAATGCAAATATGGTACCATTTCTGCTCTTTTACAACTGCTAAAGCTCTTCTGGCTTGTTTTTGGTTTTATGGCCACACCCAGTGGTGTTCAGGGCTTATTCCTGGTTCTGTGCTCAAGCATCATTCCTTTGGGAGATGACATGGGGCGCCGAGATCAAACCAGGGCTGGTCATGTGCAAAGGCAGTGCCCTTCCTGCTGCTCCAGCCCTAATACATACTCTAATAATTCCCCACGGAGATAGAGGCTTCATGGTGGGTGGGCAGGTGCCGTAAGAGTCAGGCTCATGTTCAGAGGCTGCTTTCCCAGGCTGCACCCATCCCTCAGCATGAGGAGCAGGTGCACAGAAGGGCCCGTGGCTGCAATGCCACAGAAGTGTCGGGACGACACTCCTCTAACCCTCACCCCTTGGGACAGGGCTCTGCAGAGGCCTCTGAGCAAGAGTCACTTTGTTCCTGCTGCAAGACTAGCCTAGCTGATCTGCAGCAGTGTGCCGAGGTTCTGGCCACAGCTGTTTCCAGTGCCTTGAGCGGCATCCATGGTCAGTGAGAACACGGTTCTGTCAAACTGCCACAATGGTGGGCCTAACATTTAAAAAAACCGTCACCATTACTGCAGGAGCAATCTGCCTGGGGGACTCCAGTCCTTCAGAATTCTCTTGCTAAAAACGGAGCTGCTCTTGCCATCCAGAGGTATGGCCCACTGCCCCCTCCGCCTGGCCCCCTCGCCTCCAGAGCTGGCTGGTAGGCCCCAAGGCCAGGAGGGCCGTCTCTGCATCCTTTCCATGCCATGCAAGGCTCAGCCTGCTCCCTTCTAGATACTACATGACAATTTCCTGTCCTACAAGCACTGTGTAGGGTGTGCATTTGTGTGTGGGTGAAGCCTCAAGACCTCGCCACGGGGGGTTCTGTCTATCCACAATGGCAGTGGCAACATTTTCCCAGGGCCCGAGGTGGCCTTGGAGTTTGGGGGCTGTCCCTGGCACCTGAAGCCCCTGAACAAACATGTGCAGACGGTCGCTTCCTGCTGAGCCACAGGCTTCCAGTCAGTGCCAGGCACTGTAGGAACAGCTTACTGGGCCAGGAGACAGGCTGAGACCCAACAGCAAGTCATACCTGTAGTGAAGGAGCTGGCCGTCGGCAGTGTAATCCCGGTAGACCTCATAATCCTTCTCGAGGAACACTCCTGGGGGCAAAGAACTGAAAGACAGCAACAGGACAAAGATATGAACAATCCCTGAGAAGCAAGGTTGATGTTCTAATCAAGAGGCCCCTCAGCCAAGCTCCACCAGCACCATCAGAGACAAGGAGGAGAAATGCCAAGGACAGTGGTTTTACTCTCTGGAGCTTGGAAGCCACCAGACAGGTGGTGCATGGCAAGGAGGTGGGCAATTATGCTATCATGTCCCTCTGTTTCTGACTCCCATGCCAGTGCCCATCCCTGCAGATCACTGCACACCAACAGGAACACTGACCTCATGCCAGCCTGGGCTGGGGACAGAGGCAACAGGCTGAGACTGACACAGTTCTGCATACAAGAAGCTTAATCTTTTTTTTTTTTTTTTTGCTTTTTGGGTCACACCCGGTGATGCTTTGGGATAACTTTTGGCAGTGCTCAGGGGACCATATGGGATGCTGGGAATCGAACCCGGGTCGGCCGCATGCAAGGAAAACGCCCTACCCACTGTGCTATCACTCCAGCCCTGGAAGCTTAATCTTGATGTGAATCACATGTTCTAAAACAGAGTCCCACATAGCTTCAGGACCCAGGAGGGGACAGTCCCAGAGGGGAAGTCTTGCATGATGAATAGGGGGTAAGAGTCCAGGAGGAGGTCAGGAAAGATGGTTCAGGGGGTAGGCTTTGCCTTGCACGCAGTCCACCAGGGTTCAATCCCCAGCATCTCATATGGTCCCCTAAGCCCCATCAGGAGTAATTCCTGAGTGCAGAGCCAGAAGTAAACCCTGAGCACTGCCAGGTGTGGCCCCAAAACAATGCAAACAAAGAGTTCAGTAGGAACAAGTCTGACACATCCCAGGAAGAGAAGAGGCCCTGTGACAAGGCAGCTGGTGGCAAGCAGGGAGAAGGAGCCAGAAAGCTCAGGGTCCTATGGGCTGGCGACATCAAAAGGTCCAGGTCAGGGTCAATGGCGTGCTCAGAATGGCATCTGCACTTATAAGTGGCTTCTGGAAGATAAATGTAAAATTACAGGAGACTGGGATTTCCATTCAGCAGAACTAATGGAACAAGCCCTTCTCACTGCTTCCATGGCCTGCTTCCTTCTGCTCAGCAGCAGAGCCGAGGAGTGTGAGACGCCAGCTGCTCAGCACAGGGCACAGCAGTGAGTGGGGCCTGGCACATGCCAGCTGGCATCACGTGTTCCTATGATGGGCACACACCCACACTGTGGAGAGCGGAGAAGGCAACTCTGCCACACTCTCAGCGCTGATGGAGGGCTGGCGACTGGGGTGGGGTTGAGGCGGCAGCACCCGCCTCACTGTGCCCAGACATCATGTCAAGACTAGTGTTCGTTGCCATGTTCCCAACACAGGTGGCGAACAGGGAAGGTTCCTGAGGACAGAGACACTCCGTGGGGGGAGTCAGCACAGCAGAGTCACCTCAGATGGAAACTGGACGAGCCTTGGAAGCCGTGTGCCAAACCAGTGAGGAAAGCATTTCGGTATCACTCCAGAAAGTACTTGCTGCAGATGGAGCCCAGGGAGGCAGCGCCCACAGCAGGTTCTCCAGTCAGTGCTGCCACAGATGATGCTCAGGGGCTGTCTAGCACGCCCGGTTTCTGGCCCTGCCCCATGCGAACAATGCCTGCAGCTCTCAGGCAGCATGTCTGCACAGGACCCACTCCCTGCTAAAAAGGAGTTGCAGTAGGGAAAAACTCAGTGCATGGGTCTGACCCAGACTGACCTGATGATGTTGTTAGTGAAGGAGGAGGTTCAGAGTCATGAAAAGCTGCTCACAAAGGGAGCAGCAAAACCACATTAGGTGGAGCCACAGAATGTACCATGGACCCCGTCAGGCCAGGATGCAGCCCTCAGGCAAGTGCATGCCTGGTATATGGAGGCCCTAAGTTCGATCTGTTTGTTTTGTTTTCTTTTTGGGCACACTTGGTGGTGCTCAGGGCTTAATCTTTGCTCTGCACTCAGGGATCACTTCTGGCAAGCTCAGGAGACCATATGGGGTGCCAGGGATGGAACCCAGGTCGACAACATGCAAGGCAAGTACCCTACCCACTGTCTCTCTAGGTCTGGACTAACATCATCTCTTAAGACTGAGATCATAAGAAAAGGACTAGCACTCTCCTCTGCCCAGACCAGGCGGCAGCACCAGGACCCCCCGCCCCCCATCCCTCCCCACAAACCCTGCTCAGCATGACAAGAGAACCCCCTGCCTTGCACGCAGCCGACCAGGGTTCAATTCCCAGCATCCCATATGGTCCCCTGAGCAGCCCGCCAGGAATAACTCCTGAATGCGGAGCCAGGAGTAAGCCCTGTGCATCGCCGGTTGTGACCCAAAAAGCAAAAAAAAAAAAGGAATCCTCTGCACCTGAGGTAAGGTATCTGTCAGGAGACACGGCAATAGAGGTGGGCAGAGCAGTCCATGTTGGTCAATTCTGCTAATATGAAATTCATTACCAATATGAAGAAGTAAACCAAACTGTTTTGTTTTTGTACCACACCCGGTAATGCATGGGTTACTCTTGGCTTTACACTCAGGAATCACTCCTGCTGGTGCTGAGAGGACCATGAGGGATGCCGGGGTTCAAACCTGGGCCAGCTACATGCAAGGCAAGTGCCTTCTCTGCTGTACTCTCTCTAACCTCTAACAAAGAATTTTATAAAGTATAATTTTCAGGCTTCCTGAGCACAATATGGTTATAAATGAATAACAGATGTAGAGCCCTGAGCAACAGTACAGTGGGGTAGGGCAATTGCCTTGCACATGGCCAACCTAGGTTTGATTCCTGGCACCATGTATGATCCCCAGAACCCTGCTAGGAGTTAACTCTGAGCACCAATGGGTGTGGCCCCAAAACTCTACCACCCTCTCCCCCCAAAACCCAAGAAAAACACAAATAAAAGAATAAAGGATTAATGTTTGCTTCCTCTTGTCTGAGCTACACCAGGCAACAGGGCTTACCCTTATTGCACTCAGGGATTGCTCCTGACGGGGTCTGGCAAACCAGACAGGATACCAGGGATTGAATAATGGTCGGCTGCATGCAAGATAGGTACCTCCTGCTACCCTATCTCTCTAGCCCAGAGGAGTCCTAAATTCATCCTTGGCATGGCATATTGCCTAAGCACCCTGAGAAATGACCCTTGAGCACTGTACCAGGAACAGTAAAATGTGACCCCAAAAAACAAGAAAGGAGATGGAGAAATCCCACCATTTCAGGCAGGGGCTTCACCCTTCCCAATCAAGGAAGGAAAAAGGCAAAAAATTGGTAAGAAACTTGACTGTACACTGAAAAGTGATCTGATCAACACACACAGAATTCAAGATTTTGGTTTTGGGCCACACCCAGCAGTGCTCTGGACTTACTCCTGGCTCTGTGTGCTCAGGGATCACTTCTGGTGGTACTTGGTCCATCTGGGGTGCTGGGTTTGAACCCAGGTCAGTTTCATGCAAGGCAAGTACTACCTCTCCAGCATTAGAATTTTTTTTTTTCTTTTTGGATCACACCCGGTGATGCACAGGGGTTACTCTTGGCTCACGCACTCAGGAATTACTCCTGGCGGTGCTTGGGGGACCATATGGGATGCTGGGAATCAAACCCGGGTCAGCCACTTGCACGGCAAGTGACCTACCCATTGTGCTCTCGCTCCAGCCCCTAGAAATTATTTCTGAAGTAGTCATAATTTTAAAAAATCTGGGATTGGGGCATGTAGGCCTCAGAGCCTGGTAGAAGGCAACTCTGGGAAGATACAACCAAGTGTGCTCTAGGACCAAGTACGTGTGCGGATCAGCATAGCCGAGGGAAGAGAAGGGGAGAAAAAAATGGGAAGGGGTGAGAGAGAGGAAAGTACATCAGGGAGGGCACTTGCTTGCCCTGCATGCAGCCGACTGACCTGGGTTTGATCCCAAGCACCCCATATGGTCCCCTGAGGCCACCAGGAGTGATCCTCAGTGTAGAGCTAAAAGCAACCACTGAGCAACGCTGGGTGTGGCTCAAAAATAAGCACTGTAGCACAGTAAAATTGTCCTCCCATTGTTCACTGACTTGCTCAAGCGGGCAGCAGTAATGTCTCTATTGTGAGACTTGTTGTTACTGCTTTTGGCATATCGAATACATCACGGGGAGCTTGCCAGGCTCCCCATGCGGGCGGGATACTCTTGGCAGCTTGCCAGGCGCTCTGAGAAGGACAGAGGAATCAAACCCGGGTCAGCCTCATGCAAGGCAAACGCCCTACCCTCTGTGCTATCACTCCAGTCCAAAAATAAAGCGACAAAAAAAAAAAATGGTTTAAAAAGGGAGGGGATGAAATTACTACAAATTTTGGCAAATACGACATTTCCTGGCAAGCTCCCCGTGACGTATTCGATATGCCAGACACAGTAACAACAAAGTCTCCAATGGAGACGATACTGGGCCCACTCGAGCAAATCGACGAACAACGGGAGGGCCTTTACTTACTTACGACATTTCCTAAATTATAAATGAGCCAAAGAAGAGATTGTATTGAAACTAGTGAATATTAAAAATGTAACAGCAGTGAAAATTCTACCCACCCAAGGCTGTGTAACAACACAGAGAAGTGGCCTATCAAGGAAGTCTGTGGCCTCAGAAGTTCCTTAAGTGAAGGACTGAGAAGCAATGAGTCAGACCTGTGTCCAATAGCTAGGAAGAGAACGAGCACTGAGGAGAGGCAGGGCTGGTGGTCCCTGCTCAGCAGCAGCTTCACATACAGCTAAGGGGGCAGAGTCTGCCCCAGGAGAGGACCCTCCCAAGCCCGGGAGCCCGGCACAGCCTGGTCTGGGGGGCAGAACCTGGAAGTCCTCAAGGACTTCCTGAGAAAAAGGGCCCCGTGGAACTCAGGAAGGCAGGCCTGGGTGGATGGACCATTTAATTGAAAAACATTTTATAAAATGGAATTTAAAATACGAGAAAACCCTGAATATTCCTAAAAGCATTAAAAAATTGAATCAGTAGTTAAAAATCAATTTCCACAAACCACAGGCCTGGATGGTGTACAAGAACATTTTCAAACACTCCCAGGACAGACAATGTTTCGAAAAACAGAAACAGAGATGAAATGTTCTCAAACAAGCGAGAAGGAAGGTATAGGCCATTTTTACTCATTAGCATGGAAAAAATGTCCTAGATAAAATATTAGGAACCTGGGCTGGAATGATAGCACAGCAGGGAGGGTGACTGTTTGCCTTGCACGCAGCTGACCCAGATTGAATCCCCAGCACCCAGTATGGTTCCCCAAGCACCACCAGGAGTGATCCTTGCTTGCAGAGCCAGGAGTTAGCCCTGAGCATCACGGGTGTGGTTCCTAAACTGAAAACAAACAAGAAAAAAAGGGAACTGAATCTATTATTTTTGAGGGGTGTAGAGTCTGAGTGGTGCAGAGGGTCGGGACACCCTCAGCAGGTCCTAAGGAGCTCAGCACAGCCGCACCCATGTCCCCCTCAGCAGCTGCTCTCCTGGTGGCTCAGGACCTCCAGGGCTACACCCAGCAGTGCCTGGGGGACCATGAGGTGCTGGGTATTATACGAGGTTGGATACACACAAGGCAAGTACTTCATCTCCATTACTATTTCTCTCGTCTCCTGCTTAAAACATTTTAGGGGGCTGGAGAGATAGTACAGGAGGTATTTACCTTGCATGTAACCAATTTGGTTCAATCCCTGGTACTCCAGAGGGTCCCCTGAGCTCCACCAGGAATGATCCCTGAGTGCAGAGCTACGAGTAAGCCCTGAAAAGTCAGGTGTGCCCCGCCATCCAATTAAAAAAAAATTTTTTTAATGGGCAGTTATCTCTGGAATACAAGAAATACAGAATAAAAAGAAAAATGCTGATTGGAGGCATAGGGCTATGACCACAGAGCACCCTACAGAGCCTGTTTCTCCCCTGGGCCTCAACTGTGAGTCTGCAGATCTGGGGGAGACACCAAGTTGGTGGGCAGACCTGCTCCCTGGAGCCAGGACAGGGTCACTGGACTCTGGTCAGTGCTGCACTGCATTCCCACATGGCCGCGAGCACGGGTCCCTGGTTCCTCACTGTCCCACAGTCTCGGGCTGCCTGAGGGAGGAACTGTCTACACACTGGACACAAGACTGCCCCTACCTGGGCCTCCAGAAAGCCCCTCCGGAAAGGGGCCCAAGACCCTCTCCCAGCTCTTGCTCTCCAGAGATGAGGTCCGCCTTGGGGACACTGTGCACAGCCGCCCAGCCTCCACCTCACCTGCTGTTCTCCTCCTTCATAGTCCCAAAGGGGGGCTGCCGACTCGCCCTGCCCAGGGGCTCCTGTGCCTTCTCGTTGGTGTCCAGCTCAGGCTCCAGGGAAGAGCTGGTGCTGCCATCACGGCTCACACTGCTGCCCCTGCCGGGGCTGTTCTCGGCTGAGGCCCGGGGAGACTCCGTATTCTGCTTCAGAGTCTGAAGCTTGGCCAGGGGGATGATGTCGCAGTCCTGTGGTCGGTGCCACACGGTACGCTGCGTGCTGGCATTGTAGTAGTAGAAGCGAGATGTATTGGGGTCGAAGAGCTCCCACCACTGGTTCTCGCTGGTGCGCTTGATGCGGACACCGGTGGGCGGGTCCCACACGCACTCACCGGTGACCAGGTTGGCGTACATGCGCTCCCGGGTGCGTGGCTCGATGATCTCCACCCACTCCAGCCTGCAAGAGTGGGCACCATCAGCGGGGCAGTGGATAGGCGGGAGCTGTCCCCACCCAGCAATGCTGACCACACCCTCTGGCAGTGCAGTGTGTGGCCGAGGGTCGGAGTGAGAAGCACCGGTCCTAGCTGAGTGCTCGTCAGCCCTTCCAGGTATTACCAACCCTTCTACTGGCAGCACAGGAAGGCGCCGGGTACCCGCTTCCTGTTGTCAAAGAGGTCCAAGTGACATTAGTCTCTGCAGAATGCCCTCACTGATCCAAGGAGCCAAGCCACCCGGTCCCCATCACTAGTTACCTATAGCAATAACACAGTCCAGTGCCTTTAAGGCAGCGGACAGTCCTGGGCTTGGGGCATTTCCGCCCAGGGAACTCAAGTCCACCTGCTGGTACCCAAAGAGGAACTTCTCAATACCAAGGCGTCTGAGTCAGGACTTGCTGCAGCTCTCTCAGCCATATTTTCACTCTGCTTCCAAGAAAACAATCTTTCAAAGGAACTGAGCGTCCTATAACATGAATGGGCTGTGTGCATGATCAGTGATCAACAGGTCTCCTTATGTCTGTGTGATCAAAGGTGTCTCTGGCATGTCTGTATGTGCGTGATCAATGGTGTCTCCTGTATGTGTGTATCTATATGTTTGTGTCTGTATGTTCATGTGATCAACAATGTCTCATGTGTATGTGTCACCTATGTACACATGTGTCTGCACATGAGTGCTTGTGAGAGAGATCAATGGTACCTCCCTGTGAGACTGTATGAGTGTCCCCTGTGTGTCCATGTATGTGCAATCAAGGATATCTCACTGTGAGGCTGTATGTGTATGAGTGTCCCCTGTGTGTGCATGTGTGTGTGAACAATGGTACCTCCCTGTGTCTATGATGACTGATAACTATGTGTGCCAATAAGATCAATACAAAAATATGAGTATGGAAAGACCAACATTACTGCAGAAAAATGGGCCCCAGTGAGCTGGGGTCAAATGCCTTGGGTGTGTCCAGGATGAAAGGTGCACCAAGGACTGGCCAGAATGCAGAGGAAAGGTGAGTGGACTTAGCACTCGCAGGCAGTGCAGCAGGAAGATGGGCAGATGTCCACGCCCAGAATCACAGATCAGCTGCAGAGCTGCCTTAGGTGTGGGTGTAGAGGGAGAATGCCCAAAAGGGTGTGTTATTCCCACACAGGGAGGTCACCCCTGCGATCCAGGAGCGGCACCCCCAATGCTGGGCAGTGTGGCTGTGTGGGAGGCAAGTGGGTCCTGGCCACTTACACAGCACACGGACACATCTGAAACACACTCGATATCCATTACCAGTAGCTTGCTTATAGGAGCCGAGGTCCCGGCCTGAGAACCAACACAGCTTTGGAGAGAAGAGCACAGGGAAGGGTCAGGAGCTGGGGTGCTGCCGTAAATCCACGCTAGTCAACTATGTCAACAAGGACATCCTTATCCATTTTGTCATTCATCCGCTGACACAGCCAGAAGGCCAACACACCAGCACCCAACTCACTTCTCAGAGGACTCTGGTTTCCCGTCAAGGGCAGAACCTCAGGGGACCCACCGGTGAGCCTGGAGATCCAGCCACATAGAGAGCCGGATGTGATGAGAGATGTCAGGACAGGAGCAAAGCACCAAAAAGATAAGGTGCATGAGGGAGGGACAGATCACCCATGTCCCCACTTTCGGGGTGACAGCCCCAGGCCCCACAAAGTAACATCTAAACACAAAAAAAATTAAACACAAAGAAATCTGTGAGGTCAAGAAAGAGCAGAGAGCAGAGGACTGTCCCCTGGAAGATGAAAGGAAGGCGACAGCTAGCCCCCAGGTGAAGGCTGAGGACTGGGAAGTGCCCAGGAGGAGCTGGTGGAAGAGTCTGAGCTCAGGGCCCAGATGGGGGGCAGGAGGCAAGGATGTCCCACCGAGAAACTGCCAAACACAAACCTAACCCCATGCAGAGGCATCCATCATCACAGAAAGTATGACTGTCAGAAAATACAGAGTAACTTGTAATTGTGACGCCCTTGGACACCAGCAGCAAATAGTCTCCTTTGCCCACCCAGCCCCTCCAACAGGCACCTGTGGATAGGGTAGGACATGCTACCAAGGCAATAGGACAAGGTCTGGCACTGCACAGGCTTACTCAGGCAAGCGTCATGCTGGGTGATACCAGCGACCCAGTAAACAGACCCTCCAAAGGACTCAGAGAAGAGCAGGGGTGGGGGGTAGGGACTCTGGTACACACATGCACCTTTGTGTGGGATTATTTCCAAATAACGTTGAAATTAAAGAGAAAGGCATGCGTGAGGCTGCTAGCCTGATATAGATCCAAGCCCCAAGGCACAGGAGCAAAGGCCAGTCTCGAGGTTGGCAAAAGAGATGATGCTGGAGGTGAACCCCTCAACGTGTGGGGCGGGAGGAGCTGAGCCTGGGTGAACCCAGACAGGAAGGCAGGCAGCATCATAGCACAGCAATCCACACACCCAAGGATGAGCCCACTCCAGCTCCACATACGTGACACTCACCTGGTGCTGGGCGCTGAGGTCCGAGGCTCCGGTGCGCCGGCATTTCGGCTCTCGCATTCGTACTCCTGTGTCTGGGACATCGCAGGCTTCTCTGAAGACAGGTAGACTGAGGCCAGCAAGTCACGGGGAGTCCCTCCAGCATCAGTCGGGAAGGCGCCGCCCAGCTGCAGATAGAGTTTAAGTCTCTAAGCACACTGACTGGAAAGGAACCTTTGCACAGTTCTGGGTTTGAGGAGCCAGTAATGACCAGCTCCATGCTCGCGACTCGGAGCCTCAAGGAGCACCAGGCCCAGTGGACCCACACTCCACATGAGGGCAGACACACACCGGCCCTCAGTGGGTCAACACAGCAGGTCCTCTCGGTCATGACAAAGGGCCCTGAAAGTATGCTGGAAAAAGACACTGCTGACCCCTACCTCATCCAGTAGGAAGCACTTAATTCCAGGTAAAATACTCATCTAATTGTTACAATTAGGCCTTAGAAGAATGGAGAAGGAAATCTTTATAAGACCTGCTCTGGGACTGGAGACACAGCATGTGCCTTGCACACATGAGGCCTCGATTCAATCTCCAGCTTCATACAGTCCCCCAAGAACGGCTGGGAGACCCCAAGCAGAGCTGAGAGTGGTCCCCAGAACTACTAGGTGTGGCCCAATAAACAACAGAAAAGCAATATATAGTGTGACCTACAGCAGGTAGAGAGAGCTAATCAGACAGAATACCAGTAAAAGAGAGAATGAAAAATAATAAATTGGGTAATTATAAAGGACCATTATTCACCAAGACACAACTTCAGGAGTAAAAGGTAACTGCAGGATCTGCGCTATGAAGAACGTCACAGCAAATCACACATGTGTACTACATATATGTTCTACACATGTACAATTATGCAAGTATGCCCCACACATGTCTATTACACGTGCATTGTACAGACAATTAAGTACCGTGCACATACATATCACACATGACATATGTATGCTGTATGCGCTGTATTGGCTACATGTATCATACATGTGTGTTACATGTATACAGATTACATAAGCACTACACACATTACATATGTTCGCCACGTGTCCCTTAGACATGATGTACTTGCTGCTGCATAGTAGTACACTTATGTACACTATGTGCTATACATGTAAATCTCACACAGTATATATGTAACCACTGCATGTTGCCAAGTATTACTGTTTTTCATCATGCCTGTGTTACACATGTATATATACAAGCACTGTCTAATCTGACAAAGGACTACATCCAGAACATACAGAATTCCTTGAAATAAGAAAAACACAGGGGGCTGGAGTGATAGCACAGCAGGCAGGGCATTTGCCTTGCATGTGGCCGACCCGGGTTCGATTCCCAGCATCCCATATGGTCCCCCCAAGCACTGCCAGGGATATTTCCTGAGTGCAGACCCAGGAGTAACCTCTATGCATCGCCAGGTATGACCCAAAAAGAAAAAAAAAAACACCCACACACAATCTAGCAGGAAAAGGGATAGTTTAAACACAAACTTTGCATTACAAATTAATATTGCCACGGTTAATAAGCAAATACAAATGAGCTCACTTTTTACTTCAGTCCTCAGGCAAATGATAGGCACAGCATGGGCCTGAGTTTACCCACCCAAGCAGAGCATGCTTCTGGTGAGCTGGCTAGGCCCTGCCCTGTCAGGCTCCAGACTGAGGGGACACACACCAAGACCTGCACTCAGACCCATGCACAAGCTACCCTGAGCTGCGGAGACAGACACACTGCGTGTTCCCGTATGACTGCTTCCCTTATGCTGAGACAGAGCAGGTCAAACCACCTCTTCTGCCATAATGTCCAATAGCCACTGTGTGGAGGGCCATCCCGAGGAATAAGGGGTTGTCCTCATCTGCCAAGCTTACACATGTGCTAGGGAGTCCAGCACGCTCACCATACCCCAGGCATGCCTGCTCCCCTAAGTCCACAGCAATGAAGAGCAGGCCCCCCGTCCCTGTGGGCATATCTACATCTAGCCGGTACCGGGGCAGAGCAGTGCCCAGGCCAGAGCAGCAAGTAGTCTAGGCAAAATCAAGGATGAAAACCCTGCCTGGAGCCTGTTTTTCTCAGGAACACTCTTGGCCTTCTCTTTTCTGTGCGCCAAAATTCACACATTATGTACCTGATGCTCTGACTACCAGGAAATGCAGGTTTAAAGGGAAACAAGAATTTCTAATTTCATGCCTAAGAAAACAGGTGACCTTCTTGTTTGGGTTCCACATTTAAAAACATTAAAAGCACAGTAGTGTTAATGGAAATTTTGAAACACTGTAAAGTTTCTATCTACCTAGGAAGTTAAAAAACAAAAACAAAAACCACCCCACCACTACAACTCTGTCTCCTGCATGTCCCTGTCCTATAAGTTCACGTAGAACAAAGAGGAAGGCAAGGCTCTTGCCCCTGTGAAGCCACAGCCACAGACCTCGGAAAGCCTTCCCTATGAGGGTCAGCCCTGGTGACTCAGGCAGCACCCCCTGAATCCAATTCTGCTTTCATTTTGAAGTGGTTTCATTCTAAGTCTTTAAATTTCTCTGCAAATCTCAAAATCTGCTTAATTTCTACAAAAAGATGGCTGGGATTTGTATTGCAGTTGTGTTTAATTAATCCATCAATATGAAATCTCACACTAACAATAGACTCTTCCAACCTATTAACAGACCATCTCTCACCATGAAATTAGGTGAACTTACTTTCAGCCATGTTAGTATTCCTTTGTATATATGTCTTGCACACATTTAGTCAAATTAATCTTGGTACTTCCTTTTATTCTGAAGAGGGGGGGCATACCTGATTGTGGTTGAGGCCATCACACACAGTGCTAGGGAATGAACAAGGCTCTCCCATGCAAAGCATGAGCTCTGGGCTTATTATTTTTTGTTTCTGAGAAATACCTGGCTGTGCTCAGGCTACTTCTGGCTCTGCACCCCGGGGTCACTCCTAGCAGGACTTGAGGGACCGTTCTGGGATCAAACCTGAGTTGACTGCCTATAAGGCAAGTGCCTTACTCATTGTACCATCTCTCCAACACTTTGAACTACCACCCTGGTCTCTAATTAGGTTTGTGTTGTACTGTTCAGTGCTAGGGATTGAACCCAGGGCCTTATGCATGTGAGGTGTGTGCTCTATCACATAAGTTGAGCCATAAAACATCCTCAATTCTTTGGGGGCTGTGATAGTACATCAGGCAGGGTGTTTGCATGTTTGCGTTATAAGTTGCCAAACCAGGTTTGATCCCTGGCATCCCATATGGTCTCCCAGGCACCGCCAAGAGTAATTCCTAAGTGCAGAGCCAGGAGTAACCCTTGACCACTACTGGGTATTACCTATAAAGTAATAAATAAGTAAATAAATACATCAGTAAATAAATCCTCGACTCCAAAGCAGAGAAGGTTTTCCAGCTGTCTCCACTTCCCGTCCCTGCTGCACCCTGTGCTAACAGGGACACATTTCCTGGGAGATAGTATAATCTGATTGCCACAGTGTCTTGGGGGGGAGGGGAGTTGGAGGGGTCTCACACATGTGCTCACAGGAACTGCACTTTTGGTCAAGGTGCTCACACACACTTGGCAGTTTCTTGGGGTGCTGGGGCTGTCACACACAGCAGAGCCACTGGGACCTTGCTTAGAGCAAGTGGGTGCACCGGGGACTGACCATGTGCCCTGAAGTTTGCAAAGCAGTGCTACTGCTACTGATCCACCCTTGGAGGATGCTTTGTTTTTGCAGTGTCAGAAATTGAAGACTACCCACTTATAGGGAATGTGCTTTAACCACTGAGCCACATTCTCAATAAAAACAAATTTAAAAATTTTTCTAATGTAGGCTGCATAGATAGTACAGAAGGTGAGGTGCTTGCCTTGCATGCAGACTTCAGCACCATGTATGGTCAGTCCCCTGAGCACAGCCAATGGTCATCCTGAGCACCATCAAACGTGACCCAGGAAACAATTCCTCCAGAACTTGCTTATGCTTCTCAAAGAATCCATCCATTTCATACAAGCTGTCCAATGTACTGGCATCAAGTTGCAACTGTATTCCTATCTTAGCCTTTCAAGATAAAAGAATCTGTCTTATCCCTGGTATTGATAATGTATCTTCATTATTTCACTTAATCAGTTTGGTCAAAAGTCCGTCAGTTTTACTGCTCTTGTTAAAAAAATGAAACAAGACAGTTTTTAGCTTAACCATTTTTCTCTAATTTTTCTGCCTATTAATTTCCATTCTAATCAAACCTTCAGCCTACTCGGGCTCAATCCCCAGCATCTCACATGGTTCACTGAGCAGCACCAGGAGTAATCCCTGAGCACAGAGCCAGGAGCCAGGAGTAAGCCCTGATCACCACTGAGTGTAGCCCCCAAAACCAAAAATATCCCCTTTGATCTCTCTGTAGCCATATGCACTATTCAAACAACAACAAAAACCATTGATTTTTCTAAATATTAATACTGGTTCCTTTTTTCCTTTTTCTGGTTACAAAACCTATTTTGTGTGACATATCTATTGAAGCTTATTAAAACTTCATGGCACTCGGGGTTGGAGAGATAGTACGGCAGATAGGAGGCTTGCCTAGCACAAGGCTAACCAGGGTTCAATTCCTGGCACCCCATACAGTCCCCAAGCCCAACAGGACCAAGTCCTGTGTGCATCACCAGGTGTGGCCAAAAAAAACCTCAAAAAATTAATAAAAACAAACAACAATAACAACAAAAAAACTTTTTGGTAGAGATAGCCAGAAAAATAGTACAGCGGTTAAAGAACCTGCCTTGGGGCTGGAGCAATAGCACAGTGGGTAGGGCATTTGCCTTGCATGCTGCCGACCCAGGTTCAATTCCCAACATCCCATATAGTCCCCTGAGCACCTCCAGGGCTAATTCCTGAGTGCATGAGTCAGGAGTAACCCCTGTGCATCGCCATGTGTGACCCAAAAAGTGAAAACAAAACAAAACAAAACAAAACAAAAGGATAAAATAAAGAACCTGCCTTGCACAATTCCAACTCCAGTTTAATTCTGGCATTGCATATGGTCCCCTAAGCACTGCCAGGAGTAATCTCTGAGCAGGGCCAGGTGTGTCGCCCCACAAAAAACAAGAAAGATTTTATGGTACAGAAAAATGGCCTCTTCAGGTGCTAGAGCATA